CCTAACCCTTAACCCTAACCCTTAACCCTAACCCTAACCCTAACCCTAACCCTTAACCCTAACCCTAACCCTAACCCCAACCCCTAACCCTAACCCCTTAACCCTAACCCTAACCCCTAACCCTAACCCAACCCTAACCCCCTAACCCTAACCCAACCCTAACCCCCTAACCCTAAACCCTAACCCCTAACCCCAACCCTAAACCGTAACCCTAACCCTCCTAACCCAACCCTAACCCTAACCCCTAACCCTAACCCCAAACCCTAACCCCTAACCCTAACCTAACCCTAACCCCTAGCCCCTAAGCCCCTAGCCCTAACCCAAACCCTAAACCTAAACCCTAAACCCTAAACCCTTAACCCCTAACCCTAACCCCTACCCTAACCCCAACCCCTAACCCTATTGCTTTTAAAGCACTTTAAACTGCAGCTGCAAGTTGCGCCATGAAGCACGCCCTGCCATCCCCTTTTGCTGACTGGGAGCAGAGGAGGTGCTGCTTACAGTCTCTCCAGGTGCATTTCAACAGTCAGGAGGAGGCCTGAAGCCTTCGGGCGATTGTACATCTCCTAAGAACATTTAACGCAATTTCTCTATATTCTTTCTGAAGCCCTTTCCAAAGAATGATGATGGTATATAAACCTCTGGAAGGGACCCCAAGGGTCATCCAGTCCAACCCGCTGCATCGCAGGAACATGCAGGAGTCCCTTACAGGGAACAATCCCATAACCTTGTTGTGAAGCAAATGTTGCCCGCTTAAATGGCAAACCTCTCCCGGAGCTGCAAGGTCAGCCATGAAGCCCACATGGCCATCCACTTTTCTGGACTGGAAACAGAGGAAGTGCTGCTTACATCCTCCTGGGAGCATTTGAACTGTCAGGGGGAGGCGCTGACCCTTACCCCTAAGCCTAACCCCAACCCTGACAATGACCCAAACCCCAAGACTACAGTTACAACAGCAGACTTACAAGTTCTGACCTTTGTGAAAGGTGAAGATAAAGGGGCCCCTGACCATTAGGTCCAGTCGTGACAGACTTTGGGGTTGCGGTGCGTATCTCACTTTATTGGCCAAGGAAGCCGGCGTACAGCTTCCAAGTCATGTAAGAGGCTTCTGGCAAACCAGAGCAGCGCACGGAAGCGCTTTCAAAATGATAGCTGGGAAGGAGTAGGGACCGAGCAATGGGAGCTCACCCTGTTGTGGGGATTCAAACCACCAACCTTCTGATCGGCAAGTCCTAGGCTCTGTGGTTTAACCCACAGCACCACCCGCATCCCTATTTTCTGACCTTTGACCCCTAGTTAGAAACTAGGCTTTCTGTTGCCCTCGTTATTCCAACCACAAATTGTCCAGCTTATTGTGCATCTGCCTAGAAATATCATTTTCATTTGGGAAAACATCTCATAAAGAGATTTTTTCCCCCAGCTGCGGCATTAGAACATGGGAAGGTGTGCATTGCAGGGCATCCCAAAACAAGTCTTCCTGACCCAGGGCTTAGGGGAATTAGGGTTGGGGGATAGACTATACTTTTTAGGAAGCCTGTTTATTCTGACACTGCTGTTGGTGAAGGAAACCACAGACTGATCCTAGCACAAACGCACTGCTTTAGGAGACAGGGGTCCCATCCCAACCCCTTAGCCCTCAAACCCAGAGGATCCCAATACAATTTGGCTCCTACCGTTCTCAGTATGGGTTCTGCTCCTCTTCCGGGCAGGCACTGAAGGTGGGACCTTGTCTGTCATGATTACGGAGGGAAGACAAATTGGGGGGGAAGAAGGCACAGCGTTCTCTCCATCTCCCCCTTCTGCCCTGAAGTGTGTGCAGGGAAACCCACTCATTTCAGTAATCCTCGTTTCCCCCCCCTCTTTGGTTTGCCATGCATAAGTAGGCTTCTGCCCGAAACATAAGTGTTATAATAAATCCACAAAATCTGACATCAAGTAAGACAGCAAACCTGCGGACCTGATTTCTTTCAAGTGAACTGAAAGAGTATAAGTATAAAACAGGCACCCATCGTTTCTGCTGCATCGTTTATTCCACAAACTTGTGTCTTCTTTCTGAAGCACATTCCAAAAGAATCCTACAATGGTGTATACATCTATATCTGGAAGGGACCCCAATGGCCATCCGAGTCCATGGCAAAGCAGGAACATACAGGATAACAACCACCAAGCTTGGTTGTGCCATCAGTGTTGCCCTATTGAATGGCACTTTTAAGGCACTTTAAACTGCAGCTGCAAGTTGTGCCATGAAGCACACCTTGCCATCCCCTTTTCCTGACTGGGAGTGGAGGAGGTGCTGCTTACAGTCTCCCCAAGAACATTTCAACAGTCAGGAGGAGGCCTGAAGCCTTCGGGGGGAATTGTACATCTACTAAGAACATTAAATGCTATTTCTCTTTCCTCTTTCTGAAGCCCTTTCCAAAGAATAATGAAGGAATATAAACCTCTGGAAGGGACCCCAAGGGTCATCCAGTCCAACCCGCTGCATCGCAGGAGTCCCTTATGGGAAATAATCCTGCAACCTTGGTTGTGCAGCAAATGTTGCTCTCTTAAATGGCACACCTCTCCTGCAGCTGCAGCTGCAAGGTCCGCCATGAAGCCAACGTGGCCATCACTATTCTTGACTGGAAACAGAGGAAGCTCTGCTTACATCCTCCCTGGGAGCATTTCAGCCGTCAGGGGGAGGCCCTGACCCCTAAGCCTAACCCCAAACCCACCCCTAATAATGACGCTAGACTTACAACAGCAACCCCTGATCATTAGGTCCTGTTGTGGCCAACTCTGGGGTTGCATGGTGCACCTCACTTTGTTAACAGAAGGAGCCGGCGTACAGCTTCTGGGTCATGTGGCCAGCATGACTAGGCCGCTTCTGGCGAACCAGAGCAGCGCACGGAAATGCCGTTTACCATCCCGCTGACGCGGTACCTATTTTTCTTCTTGCACTCTGAGGTGTTTTTGAACTGCAAGCTGGCAGGAGTAGGGACGGAGCAACAAGAGCTCACCCCGTTTGCGGGGATTCAAACTGCTGGCCTTCTGATCCACAAGTCCTAGGCTCTGTGGTTTAACCCACAGCGCCACCCGTGTCCCTTCTTTCTGACCTTTGACCCCCCCCAGTTAAAAACTAGACTTTCCGCAGCCCTCGTTACTCCAACCACAAATTGTCCAGCTTGTTTTACATCTGGCTAGAAGTACCATTTCCATTAGGGAAAACATCTCATAGATTTTTTTCCCCCAGCTGCGGCCTTAGAACATGGGAAGATGTGCATTGCAGGGCATCCCAAAACAAAGCTGTCTTCCTGACCCGGGGCTTAGGGGAAGACTATAATTTTTTAGAAGCCTGTTTATTCTGACACTGATGTTGGTGAAGGAAACCGCAGACTGATCCTGGTTCAAGTGCAGGAGACAGGGGTCCCGTCTCAACGCTCAGCCCTCAAACCCAGAACATCCCAAGACAATTTGGCTCCTACTGTTCTCTGTATGGGTGCTACTCCTCTTCCAGGTAGGCGCTGGAGGTGGGATGAAGACCTTGCCTGTCATGTTTAGGGAGGGAAGACAGATTGGGGGGAGAAGGCAGTGCTTTCTATCCATCTCCCCATTCTGACCTGAAGTATGTGCAGGGAAGCCCACTCATTTCAGAAACCCTTGTTTTTTCCCCACCCTTTTGTTCCCCCACCATGCATAAGTAGGCTTCTGCCCCAAACATAAGGGTGATAATAGATCCACAAAATCTAAAATTAAGGAACACAGCACAGAGAATTATAAGTGGGCCCAATTTCTTTCAGATGAACTGAAAGAGTAGGGGTATAAAAGAGGCACCCATCGTTTGTGCTGCATTGTTTACTCCACAAACTTGTTTCTTCTTTCTCAAGCACATTCCAAAGAATCATATAATCCTGCATTTATATCTGTATCTGGAAGGGACCCAGAGTGTCATCCAGCCCAGCCCACTGCAAGGCAGAAATATGCAGGAGAACCACCAACCTTGGTTGTGCTGTCAGTGTTCCCTATGATATGGCACTTTTCAGGCAATTTAAACTGCAGCTGCAAGTTGCGCCATGAAGCACACCGTGCCATCCCCTTTTGCTGACTGGGAGCGGAGGAGGTGCTGCTTACAGTCTCCCCAGGAGCATTTCAACAGTCAGGAGGAGGCCTGAAGCCTTCAGGGGGGTTGTACACCTGCTATGAACATTTTTACCTCCAGAAAAGGAAAAAACCATGAGCCTGCACCAAGGGAATGTTCATGAATGTATAAAGTGCTTATCTTTAGAACACCTCTCTTAACATTACAAACGGCTGCAAATTTCCAAAACGCATACAAATACATGCCAGTATTTTGTCAATGTAAATGTAATCAATGTAAATAATTTGTAAATGTAAATGATTCAACTGGCTTTTGGTTTTGGCCCATTGCAGGGGCTCAGCCCACCTAGTCTCCTGCCATTGGGGCTCCCAGCCTATGTGTATAGCGGTGGGGACAGTCTTCAATCTTTGCAGTTGATTTTTAAGGACTGACACAACCACCCCCAAACTGTATTAAGACAGTATTAAATGCTAAGGATTCTATTTTTTGACAGACCGTGGGAAAGTGCAATCTCCCTGACCATCAAGGAAGAGAGACTGATCTCTGGGAGGTTGCCAGGGTTACAGGTGTGAGGAGAGGAAAAGAGACTTCACCCAGCTGTTTGAACTGAAATCCACCTTTGGAGAAGGCAGGCTGCACCTCTGGAAAGGATCAGGCCTTGTGGAGGTGTAGGGACTGTGCGGTCTTACCGATTTAGAGAGATAGCTAGGTATTGCCCACCGTTCCCTTTGCTCCTTGCTGCTAAGAATCTTTTCCAGTGGATGGAAGTGCACTTAGGCAGATGTAGCTGCCTTTTGTAACTTCATGGAGATGTCTGGGAGCTGCCTTGCCTCTTTTTCTTCTCTTTCCTTTGGCTGCCACGCTGCTGGTGAATCAAGTGTTTGGTTGAAGGAGCTGTTTGGATCTTGTGCCCAAAGATCCCCTTTCCTGCTCTCGCCCCAAAAGGCAGCATCAGGAGGGCCCTGGCACTGGCATTTTTGGGGCACTGGCATCTGGTCTGAAAAGATCCCCTCTTCTCCCTCCCTCTGTCCGGCGAAACTTCCCCCTTCCTTGTCCTCCCCCTTTTTGGGAGAAGGAATTCAGCACAGCCCTTTGAGACCTGAGAAATATCAGGGGGGTGGATTATTTCAAGAACTGAAAGAGGGGTCCGTGTAAAAACAGGCACAGGATCAGCCAAGCTCAAATTAATGTGAAGGAATAATAAAGACGCTTACAGGAAGCGAAGTGACTATCCCATCATACAACTAACTGTAAAGAACACTATTTCTCTTTCTTCTTTCTGAAGCCCTTTCCAAAGAATAATGATGGTATATAAACCTCTGGAAGGGACCCCAAGGGTCATCCAGTCCAACCCGCTGCATCGCAGGAACATGCAGGAGTCCCTTACGGGAACAATCCTGCAACCTTTGAAGGCTACTTAGGAAGCAAACATAGCCATCCACTATTCTTGACTGGAAACAGAGGAAGTTCTACTTACATCCTCCCTGGGAGCATTTCAACAGTCAGGGGGAGACCCTGACCCCTAAGCCTAACTCCAAGCCTCTCCCGAACCCCGACCCTAACAACCCAAACCCCTAGACTTACAACAGCAGACTTACAACTTCTGACCTTTGTCAAAGGTAAAGGTAAAGGGACCCCTGACCATTAGGTCCAGTCGTGGCCGACTCTTGGGTTGCGCCACACATCTCGCTTTATTGGCCAGTGTACCGCTTCCAGGTCATGTGGCAAAACATGACTAAGTAGTTGGCCATCATACAACTAACCTGGAGGTATGTTTCTCTGTTTCTTCTTTGTGTGGCACTTTACAGCTCTTAGGAATATGCAGGCGTCCCTTATGGAGATTCCCCTGCAATCTTGGTGTTCACAGTACCAAAAGGTGGTAGCATTTAACTGTTAGGTGTCACAGCCAAAAATGAGGCACCTTTGCCATCATACAGCTAACTTAAAGGAATGCTATTTCTGGTTCTTATTTCTGAAGCACATTCCAAAGAATCATATGATAGTGTATATATCTAACTGGAAGGGACCCCAAGGGTCATCCAGCCCAATCCACTGCAAGGCAGGAATATGCAAGAGAATAACCACTAACCTTGGTTGTGCTGTCATGGTTGCCCTATGAAATGGCACTTTTAAGGCAATTTAAACTGCAGCTGCAAGTTGCGCCATGAAGCACACCTTGCCATCCCCTTTTGCTGACTGGGAGCGGAGGAGGTGCTGCTTACAGTCTCCCCAGGAGCATTTCAACAGTCAGGAGGAGGCCTGAAGCCTTCAGGGGGGTTGTACATCTGCTGAGAACATTTATACCTCCAGAAAAGGAAACAACCATGAGCCTGTTCTAGGGGAATGCTCATGAGTGTATAAAGTGTTTTTTGTTTAAAACACCTCTCTTAGCATTACAAACTGCTGCAAACTTCCAAAACACATACATCCATGCCAGTATTTGTCAATGTAAATGATTCAATTGGCTTTTGGTTTTGGCCCCTGTTGCAGGGGCTCAGCCCACTTAAGTCTCCTGCCATTGGGGCTCCCAGCCTAGGTGCACAGCAGGGGAGAGGCTTAAATCGTTGCACAGTTGATTTTTAAGGACTGACACACAAACACACCCCCCAAAACTGTATTAAGACATTACTAAATGCTAGCGTTTCAATTTTTTGAGCGACCGTGAGAAAATACAATCTCCCTGACCATCGAGGAAGAGAGACTGTTCTCTGGGAGGTTGCCAGGGTTACGGGTGTGAGGAGGAAAAGAGACACTTCGCCCAGCTGTTTGAGCTGAAATCCACCTTTGGAGAAGGCAGGCTGCACCTCTGGAAAGGACCAGGCCTTGTGGAGGTGTAGGGACTGTGCGGTCTTACCGATTTAGAGAAATAGCTAGGTATTGCCCACCGTTCCCTTTGCTCCTTGCTGCTAAGAAGCTTTTCCGGTGGATGGAAGTGGACTTAGGCAGATGTAGCATTCGACATTAAGGAATAAAGCAGAGCCCATGCAGGCAACCCATCTTTTTCCACTGCTGCCTTGCCTCTTTTTCTTCTTTCCTTTCGCTGCCACGCTGCTGGGCGAATCAGGTGTTTGGTTAAAAGAGCTGTTTGGGTCTTCTCTCAAAAGATCCCCGTTCCCCCTCTGGCCACTCTTCTTCCTCTCTTTGTCCCACAAAACTGCCCCCTTCCTTCTCCTTCCACTTTTTGGGAGCAGGAATTCAGCACAGCCCATAGAGACCTGAGAAATAACGGGGGGGAGGGCAGATTTTTTCTAGACCTGAAAGAGGGGTCCGTGTAAAAACAGGCACAGGATCCGCCAAGCTCAAATTAATGTGAAGGAATAATAAGGGAGCTCACAGAAAGCGAGGCGACTTTCCTGTGTTAGGCTGCAACTAACTTTAAGGAACGCTATTTCTCTTTCTTCTTTCTAAAGCCCTTTCCAAAGAATAATGATGGAATATAAACCTCTGGAAGGGACCCCGAGGGTCATCCAGTCCAACCTGCTGCATCGCAGGAACATGCAGAAGTCCCTTATGGGGAACAATCCCGCAACCTTGGTTGTGCAGCAAATGTTGCTCTCTTAAGTGGCACATCTCTCCTGCAGCTGCAAGGTCAGCCATGAAGCCAACATGGCCATCACTATTCTTGACTGGAAGCAGAGGAAGCTCTGCTTACATCCTCCCTGGGAGCATTTCAACAGTCAGGGGGAGGCCCTGACCCCTAAGCCTAACCCCAAACCCATCCCTAATAATGACGCTAGACTTACAACAGCAACCCCTGACCATTAGGTCCTGTTGTGGCCGACTCTGGGGTTGCATGGTGCACCTCACTTTGTTAACAGAAGGAGCCGGCGTACAGCTTCTGGGTCATGTGGCCAGCATGACTAAGCCGCTTCTGGAGAACCAGAGCAGCGCACGGAAATGCCGTTTACCTTCCCGCCGAAGCGGTACCTATTTTTCTTCTTGCACTTTGAGGTGCTTTCGAACTGCAAGCTGGCAGGAGTAGGGACGGAGCAACAAGAGCTCACCCCGTTGCGGGGATTCAAACCGCTGACCTTCTGATCCGCAAGTCCTAGGCTCTGTGGTTTAACCCACAGCGCCACCCGTGTCCCTTCTTTCTGACCTTTGACCCCTAGTTAAAAACTAGATATTCCGTGGCCTTCTTTACTCCAACCCCAAATTGTCCAGGTTGTTGTGCACCTGTCTAGAAGTACCAAACATCTCATAAAGAGATTTTTTTGCACCTGCGGCCTCAGGTGTGCATTGCAGTCCCAAGACAAAACTGTCTTCCTGACCCTGGGGTTAAGGGAATTAGGGCATTTAGGGTATAAAGACTATACTTTTTGGGAAGCCTGTTCAGAAGTGGTTGGCCATAATACAACTAACGTAGAGTTATGTTTTTCTGCTTATTCTTTGTGTAGCACTTTCTATCTCTTAGGAATGTGCAGGCGTCCCTTATGGAGATACCCCTGCAACCTTGGTGTTCACAGTACCAAAAGGTGGTAGCATTTAACTGTTAGGTGTCACAGCCTAAAGTGAGGCAACTTTGCCGTCGTAAAGGTAAAGGGACCCCTGACCATTAGGTCCAGTCGTGGCCGACTCTGGGGTTGCAGTGCACGTCTCACTTTAATGGCCGGCACACAGCTTCCGGGTCACGTGGCCAGCATGACTAAGCCGCTTCTGGCGAACCAGAGCAGCGCACAGAAACGCCATTGACCTTCCTGCCGGAGCGGTACCCATTTATCTCCTTGCACTTTGACGTGCTTTCAAGTTGCTAGGTTGGCAGGAGCAGGGAACCTGCAAAGGGAGCTCACCCCAGCGCGCAGATTCAAACCGCCAACCTTCTGATCAGCAAGACCTAAGCTCTGTGGTTTAACCCACGGCACCACCTGCTTTCTGACCTTTGACCCCTAGTTAAAAACTAGACTTTCCGTGGCCTTCTTTACTCCAACCCCAAATTGTCCAGGTTGTTGTGCACCTGTCTAGAGGTACCAAACATCTCATAAAGAGATTTTTCTGCATCTCCGGCCTCAGGTGTGCATTACAGGACAGTCCCAAAACAAAACTGACTTTGTGACCCAGGGGTTAGGGGAATTAGGGAATTTTAGGTATAAAGAATATACCTTTTTAGAAGCCTGCTTATTCTGACTCGTTTCTACAGTTGTGTATGCACTGCACACTGATGTTGGTGAAGAAAACCCTCACCCCTTCATACCCAGAAGATCCCTGGACAATTTGGCTCCTACCGTTCTCTGTATGGGTGCTGCTCCTCTTCCGGGCAGGCGCTGGAGGTGGGACTTTGTCCGCCATGATTAGGTAGGGAAGACAGATTAGGGGAGAGAAGGTAGAGCGTTCCTTCTATCTCCCCCTTCTGCCCTGAAGTGTGCGCAGGGAAGCCCACTCATTTCAGAAATCCTCGTTTTCCCCCACCCTTTCGTTTTCCATGCCTAAGTAGGCTTATGCACGAAACATTTGGGTGATAATAAATCCACAAAATGTGACATTAAGGAACACAGCAAACCTGTGGGCCTGATTTCTTTCAGATGAACTGAAAGACTAGGAGTATAAAACAGGCACAATAAAGTAGCTGGCAGGGAAGGGGAAGTTGTTGGCCATCATTCAACTAACCGGGAGGTATGTTTTTCTGGTTCTTCTTTGTGTGGCACTTTACAGCTCTTAGGAATATGCATTTCAACAGTCAGGAGGAGGCCTGAAGCCTTCAGGGGGATTGTACATCTGCTGAGAACATTTATACCTCCAGAAAAGGAAAAAACCATGAGCCTGCACTAAGGGAACGCTCATGTGTGTATAAAGTGTTTTTCTTTAGAACACCTCTCTTAACATTACAAACTGCTGCACATTTCCAAAATGCATACATCTGTGCCAGTATTTGTCAATGTAAATGATTCAACTGGCTTTTGGTTTTGGCCCCTGTTGCAGGGGCTCAGCCCACTTAGTCCTGTGCCATTGGGGCTCCCAGCCTATGTGCAAAGCGGGGGGCAGTCTTAAATCTTTGCACAGTTGATTTTTAAGGGCTGACACACACAAACACCTCCCCCAACTGCATTAAGACATTACTAAATGCTAAGGTTTCCATTTTTTGGAGGGACAACCAGCTGTTTGAGCTGAAATCCACCTTTGGAGTAGGCAGGCTGCACCTCTGGAAAGGACCAGACCTTGTGGAGGTGTAGGGACTGTGCGGTCTTACCTATTTAGAGAGATTCCTAGGTATTTCCCACCGTTCCTTTTGCTCCTTCCTGCTAAGAAGCTTTTCCAGTGGATGGAAGTGGACGTAGGCAAATGTAGCATTCGACATTAAGGAATAAAACAGAGCCCATACAGGCAACCCACATTTGCACATTTGTCTGGGAGCTGCCTTGCCTCTTTTTCTTCTCTTTCCTTTGGCTGCCACCCTGCTGGGCGAATCAGGTGTTTCGTTAAAGGCAGAGCGTTCTCTCCATCTCCCCCTTCTGCCCTGAAGTGGTGCAGGGAAGCCCACTTACTTCAGGAACCCTCGTTTCCCCCCCAACCTTTCCTTTTCCATGAGTAAATAGGCTTGTGCCCGAAACATATGGGTGATAATAAATCCACAAAATCTGACATTAAGGAACGAAGCACAGCCCATACATAGAAATATAAGTGGGCCTGATTTCTTTCAGATGAACTGAAAGAGTAGGAGTATAAAACAGGCATCCATCATTTGTATCGCTATGCAAGAAAGAATAAACTAGCTGGCAAGGAAGGGGAAGTGGTTGGCCATCATACAACTAACCTGGAGGTATGTTTCTCTGTTTCTTCTTTGTGTGGCACTTTCCAGCTCTTAGGAATATGCAGGCGTCCCTTATGGAGATCCCCCTGCAACCTTGGTGTTCACAGTACCAAAAGGTGGTAGCATTTAACTGTTAGGTGTCACAGCCTAAAGTGAGGCAACTTTGCCATCATACAACTTACTTCTGTTTCTTCTTTCTGAAGCACATTCCAAAGAATCATATGGTGCTGCATATATGTATCTATATCTGGAAGGGACCCCAAGGGTCATCCAGCCCAACCCACTGCAAGGCACGAATATGCAGAACAACCACCAACCTTGGTTGTGTTGTCAATGTTGTCCTATTAAATGACACTTTTAGGCCATATTTAAACTGCAGCTGCAAGTTGCGCCATTAAGCACACCTCGCCATCCCCTTTTGCTGACTGAGAGCGGAGGAGGTGCTGCTTACAGTCTCCCCAAGAGCATTTCAACAGTCAGGAGGAGGCGTGAAACCTTCGGGGTGATTGTACATCTGCTAAGAACATTTATACCTCCAGAAAAGGAAAAAAACCATGAGCCTACTCTAAGGGAATGCTCATGAGTGTATAAAGTGTTTTTCTTTAGAACACCTCTCTTAACATTACAAACTGCTGCAAATTTCCAAAACACATACATACGTGCCAGTATTTGTAAATGTAAAAGATTCAATTGGCTTTTGGTTTTGACCCCTGTTGCAGGGGCTCAGCCCACTTAGATGTCTGCCATTGGGGCAGCTGTGGGGCACATTGCACAGTTGATTTTTAAGGGCTGACACACCCCCCCACCCCAAACTGTATTTAGACATTACTAAATGCTAAAGTTTCGATTTTTGGAGAGACTGGGAAAATGCAATCTCACTGACCATCGAGGAAGAGAGACTGTTCTCTGGGTGGTTGCCAGGGTTACGGGTGTGAGGAGAGGAAGAGAGACTTTTCAACCAGCTGTTTGAACTGAAATCCACCTTTGGAGAAGGCAGGCTGCACCTCTGGAAAGGACCAGGCCTTGTGGCGGTGTAGGGACTGTGCCGTCTTACCGATTTAGAGAGATAGCTAGGTATTGCCCACCGTTCCCTTTACTCCTTGCTGCTAAGAAGCTTTTCCAGTGGATGGAAGTGGACTTGGGCAGATGTACCATTCAACATTAAGAAATAAAGCAGAGCCCATGCCGGCAACACAACTTTTGCAACTGCATGGAGATGTCTGGGAGCTGCCTCTGCCACTTTTTTCTTTTCTTTGGCTGCCATGCTGATGGGCAAATCAGATGTTTGGAAAATCAACTTAAAGGAGTTGTTTGCAGCCACTCTCGGCGGCTTCCAACAAAACACTAAAATACAATAACCTATTAAACATTAAAAGCTTCCCTAAACAGGGCTGCCTTCAGATGTTAAGAACTTAATTTGTTCTGGAGGTCCATTCTTAACCTGAAACTGTTCTTAACCTGAGGTACCACTTTAGCTAATGGGGCCTCCTGATGCCACCGCTGCCTTCAGATGTTAAGAACTTAATTCGTTCTGGTGATCCGTTCTTAACCTGAAACTGTTCTTAACCTGAAGTACCACTTTAGCTAATGGGGCCTCCTGATGCCGCCGCACCACCGGAGCACGATTTCTGTTCTCATCATGTAGCAAAGTTCTTAACCCGAGGTACTATTTCTGGGTTAGCGGAGTCTGTAACCTGAAGCGTCTGTAACCCGAGATACAACTGTATAGCTTTTGCTTCTCTATGTCTCTCTGAGCAGACAAAGAGAGAGATGACATGTTTCTTTGTCCTGATTTAGGATCAATAAATCCATAGCTGTAGTATGCTTCCACAAGCCTCACGCCTAGTCTGTGTACACAGTTCGCTTGGCTGATATAGTGTGCCCTGGCTTTGAAGCCTGGGTCGCTGATTTATGTCAGAGGCAGATGGGTCTTCGCAGTGGGACGGCTGGAGGAAAATGATGCAGCTGGGGCTAGCCAGCTGGCCTTGTGACCCTCTGCATGCCGACAACTACAACTAACTTAAAAGAATGCTATTTCTCTTTATTGTTTCTGAAGCACTTTCCAAAGAATCATATAATGGTGGGCGAGTATATATCGGGAAGGGACCCCAAGGGTCATCCAGTCCAACCTGCTACAAGGCAGGAATTTGTGCATGGTTGAGGGATCCACACTTCTCCTGCAGCTGCAAGTTAAGTTACACCATGAAGCACACCTTGCCACCCCCTTTTGCTAACTGAGAGCAGAGGAAGTGCTGCTTACAGCCTCTCCAGGAGCATTTCGACAGTCAGGAGCAGAACTGAAGTTCTTGGGGTGATTGCACATATGCTAACAACATTTATACCTCCGGGCAAAGGAAAAACCATGAGCCTACTCTGAAGGCTCATAAATGTAGAAAGTGCTTTTCTTTAGAGCACCTCTCTTAACATTGCAAGCTGCTGCAAGTGTCCAAAACTGGTGTGAAGTTGCTGGTTTGTAAATATTAATTATTCCTACTTTATTGATCTGAATTACTCAAATGGCTTTTAGTGCTGGCCACTACAGCAGGGGCTGATCCCCATTTATTCTTGTGGTGTTCAATTCAGAGTATCTGTTAAAAAAAATCAAACAGAAAGCAATGGAGGGTTGCCATTAAGGCTGGGGGGAGGGGGCAAACAGGGTCTTACAGACCCAAACTGGGTTTTGGATGCTACATTAGACAAATCAGCCAGCTCACTGCCTATCTAATTCACTGGGCATTCAAGTATTTGCTTGCAAATTAATTATCTTTTTTAATTTATGCCTCTTCCAAAACATTTATCTTAAGATGTAATGTGCAAGTATACCACTTTTGGATGCTAATTAATCTCCACTTGGATTATGTGGATAAGTCAATAGGTGAAAGAATTGGTGCCTTGAGTAATTACCTGGTTAAAGCAATGGTTCATCTGAAGAAATTAAGTTTTCAACACATTCCTTTGTCACCTTTAGATAGCCTAACAAGAACAGGAAAAAGGAGACAAACCTCACCAACATGGGTGAAGCCAGGAGGTGCTGCCCTACCCCAATCAAATAAATAAAAATACTTTATTGTATTTTTACTGTACTGTACTGTGCTGGTTAGGGAGAATGAGATCAAGCCCCACTTGGGTGGGTGTGATATATCAGGAGTGGGGTTGTTTAAAAATGTTCGTAAGTGTTATATGTTAATTTGTATTTCTATTTTTTCCCCTTTTACCTTCATGCCTGCAGCTGACTTTTCCTCAACCTCCTCTTCTCCCTTCGTCAGGCGAAGCTTCCTCCTCTTCAGAGCAGGAATTCAGCAGAGGCCATACAGACCTAAGAAATATCAGTAGGATCGATTATTTTCACAAGGGAAAGAGGGGATCCACATAAAAGCAGACATATAATATGCCAAGCAGATTGCAGTGGAAGAAATAATAAAGTGGGAAACGAGCCTCCTTTCCCTATGAGCCATCATACAACTAACTGGCAGAAATGTGCTTTTCCCCGTTTCTTCTTTCTGAAGCACTTCCCCAAGAATCATATAATGGTGCATATAGCTGGAAGGGACCCCAAGGGTCTTTCAGTCCAACCCGCTGCAAGGCAGGAATATGCAGGAGTCCCTTACGCAAATGAACCACAAGGTGATTGCATTTAATAATAAGTGATGGAATTGGGATCTTGAGGAATTGTCTGCTTACAAAAACACTGCTTAAAGCAGTACTTCATCTGAACAATACATTGTTCAGATACAGTTTTCAATACATTGAATACATTTTTAATAAAATTCAATACATTGTTTCAGATACAGTTTTCAATACATTAAAGGCGGCCTGAGAGGGAAATCAATGGAGATCTGAACTCACAGCCAGTTACTCTGGAGTTGCTGTAGCCAAGGGGAGCTTCCCCGCCCCAATTCGAATAAATAAAAATACTATACTGTTAAGGCTTAGGGGGGAAGAGGCCAGGTCCCACTTGGGTGGGTGTGATTTATTAAATAATAATTTAACGTTTAATGATGATAATAATAATTTATTACTATTTCCCAGCCACTAACAGAATATTAAAAAAAATGATAAAGCATAATACACTACAAATTTCCCTAACACTTTTATAATAAGAACAATTATAATAATAATAATGATAACAATTTAAAAATTAATGATAATCATAATTTATTACCCTTCCCCAGCCACTGTGGACTGCTCCCAACAGATTAAAAACGCGACAAAACATAATTACACACTTCCCTAAGCCTTTTATAATAACAACAAAAGTAATAATTTAAAAATCGATGATAATCATTCCCCACCCACTATGGGTGGCTCCCAACAGAATACAGTATTAACAACACGACAAAACTTGAGGAAGAACCGCTGAGGAGAAAAAGCGCCAAGCGGCGGGCCCCGCCCACAACCCGACCTGTGATTGGCCAAAAGACCCACCTATTGCTGCCGCGATTTTTATTGCTGCTGCGGCTGCTGGGCGCGTGCCCTGAACGAGGGGGTTCTGGGGGGCGTGACTGGAAAGAGCAAGAGACGCGCCACCGCCGCCATTTTAGTTGAGGGCAGTGGGGCCTAGCCTGGCCGTTGGGTGGCGCTGGTCTCCTCGTGAGGTGGGCGCCTCTTGCGGAGAAGGAAGGCCCCACCCCGAAATCCCCTCCGGGAGGAGTCCCAACAGTGCCTGAGGGGCCTGGGCCTTCCTCTGGTTTCTCATTATTTTTATTATTATTAATGGTTATCCTCATTATTAGCATTCTCCTTATTCTCCTCCTCGCAACGTTTCCCTCAGCGCTGCTTCCAAGCTCCATGAGGGGGAAAGCAATGGAGATCCCAACTCACAGCCAGTAACGAAGGGGAGCTTCCCCGCCCCAATTCGAATAAATAAAAATACTATACTGTTAAGGCTTAGGGGGGAAGAGGCCAGGTCCCACTTGGGTGGGTGCGATTTATTAAAATAATAATAATTTAACATTTAATTATATTTCCCAGCCACCAACATAATATTTTTAAAAAGACACAACATAATATACTACAAACTTCCCTAACCCTTTTGTAATAAAAATTATAATAATAATGATAACAATTTAAAAATTAATGATAATCATAATTTATTATCCTTCCCCAGCCACTGTGGGCTGCTCCCAACAGAATATTAAAAACGCGACAAAACATAATAATTACAAACTTCCCTAAGCCTTTTCTAATAATAATAATAATATAAAAATCAATGATGATAATAATTTATTATTATTTCCCACCCACTGTGGGTGGCTCCCAACAGAATACAGTATTAAAAACACGACAAAACTTACAAGCGTCCTTCCCTTAAACGGCGTGGGAAACACTGAGGAGAAAAAGCGCCAAGCGGCGGGCCCCGCCCACAACCCGACCTGTGATTGGCCAAAAACAACGAAAAGGCCGACCTATTGCTCCCGAGATTTTTAGTGTTGCTGAGGCTGCTGTGCGCGTGCGTTGAGGGAGGAGGTCCTGGGGGGGCATTTGGACGTGACTGGACAGAGGGAAACGGAGCGGAGGGGGGAAGAAAGGGCAGAAGACGCGCCACCGCCGCCATTTTAGTTGAGGGCAGTGGGACCTAGCCTGGCCCTTGGGTGGCGCTGGTCTCCCTCGTGAGGTGGGCGCCTCGTTGGGGGTGCCTGCGGAGAAGGAAGGCTGGAGGGGCCCCCCCAAATCCCCTCAGGTAGAAGTCCCAAACGTGCCTAAGGGGCCTGGTTTCTCATTGTTATTATATTAAATTATATTATGTTATAATAATAATGTTGTTATTATATTATATATATTATATAATTATATCATATTATATATAATATTTTTATAACCTTATAATTAAGGTTTCTCATTATTATTATTAATAATGATAATCCTCATTATTAGCATTCTCCTTATTCTCCTCCTCCTCGCAGCGTTTCCCTGAGCGCTGCTTCCAAGCTCCCTCAGGAGCAGCCCAGGTAGACTGCCTCTGGCCCAGGAGGCTCTGCCAGAGCAGAAGAGGCGCCTGGGAGGCCAGGGGAGCCCCACGAGGTGGGCTTCTGACCCCCCAGGTGTCTTTTGGGGTGCAGGGGCCAAAGTCCTGCTTTCTGCCTCCGCCCCTCCAGCCTTTGGACCGCCTCGCCCTGCCAGCGCGCAGGCAAGTTGGGGGCAAAGTCCTGCTGGGCGGATGGCACTCCTGTGGGTGCTGTGGGGTGCCCTGCTGGGCTGGGGTGAGCCAGGGGGACAAAGGGAGACGGGGGCTGCAAATCCCGTCCCTCTCTCTCTCTTCTCTCTTCTCTCTCTCAGTTCCCAAAGTCCTTGGAATTATAGCTCTGAGCAGCGGGTTGGACTAGATGACCCTTGAGGCCCTTCCATCTCTCCCATTCTAGGATGTTCCCTGTCTCCCTCACTCTTCCTCTCCTTTTAATGGCGCTTTCTACCTTTCCCCCACCCCCAGCTGGGCCTCCATTTCCTAGCTGGGGCGCCTATGGGAACTCAAGTGCCAGCGCCTGCAACTTCGCCTGCGACCGCTGGGATTGCTCTGACGAGAGCCATTGCAGTAAGTTTTGACGTTGCCAAAGGAATCGGGGAGACGTGTCTCGATTCCCCTCGTAGAGAGTGATTTAACCCATCTTGACATCCCTCAAAGCACCCTGGGAACTGTAGTTTCCTATGGAAGGAGACTATTCTGCACAGCCTTTCCAAGGAAACTGGGAGTTATAGCTCTGAGAGGGTCTCCTTGGGAAACTGAACAAGCTACAGTTCCCACAATGTCCCCCAAAGCACCCTGGAAACGATTGCTTGCTCTGGGCATTGAGGGCTGCGATTCTCTTGTCAGAACTACAGTTCCCAAGCCCATTTCTCTTCCTAGGGAACTCTGGGAACTGTAGCTCATGGGGGGAACAGGGGTCTCCTAAAGGCACTTGGTGCCTGGAATGCTGGGAACTGTAGCTTGCTCAGGGCGCCTGATTCCTTCTCCTTCCAGGCTACCGGAATGGGTTGGCACCGCCGGGCGCCGCCTTGGCCTGTGACTTTGAAGGCCCCACCTGCGGCTGGGAGGACGTCAGCACGTAGAGTACCGGTGGTGCCCAGGGTGGGGCGGAAGCTGGGTGCGCAGCGCAGACCCCCCCCCCTTCAACCACACGCTGGGCACCGACCAGGATAAATGTGCTTCATTTGAAGGGAGGGGAAGCATTGCTCAGCGGTTAGAGCACCCCTTTGAACTGGCGCCCCCCCGACCTCCCCTCAGGCTGGTACATGAGCACCTCAGAGCAGCGAGCCAAGCTGCCTGCCGCCCCCACCCGACTCCACTCCCCAACCCTGAGCGACGCGGCCTCAACCTGTGAGCTCCGCGCCTGGTACAGCATGGCTGAGACAGGTAAGCTTGGGGCGCTGGCGGTCAGAAATCGAACAGGTGCAGAGCCACCTACTCGGCCTTTTCCCCAGTGTGGTGGAGGAAATGCCACCTGGCACGGTTCTCATAATTCCATATCAATATCACATAATACGTTTCTAAACTGCAGGACGTATCGTATCATATAATCATTATTTATTGATTTCCAGACTACTAAACCACCTGGTAGGGTCGGCGTAAAGAAGTACCGTCCTGACCATTATTATCATGACATTTACTGATGCCCTGCTTCCCGTCCCCCATTGGGGACTGATAAAAACGAGAGCGGCTGAGACCAGATGGCAATCCGCAATCCTCGCCGGGGTCAGACTCGATGACCCTCGGGTCCCTCACCCCTCCGCCCTTCCCCTTCAGGACTCAACAGGAGCTTCACATTGGAGCTGAGCAAACGGCGGCCACGTTGTCCGATGTCCCCCTGTGGCAAAGCTCTGCCTCGTCCTCTGGTGCCTGGCGCCCCCTGCTGGCCTACACCGGAAGAGTCCACGGCGCTTTCCAGGTGGGTCTTGGGCTCCTCGCTCTGATTTTTGTGGTTCATGCTGTGCCCGTGGCCATGATATTTGATCTGATAGTGACTTCAGGCTGATCCAGTGCAAAAATCATGAGGATCCGTGTTTTTTAACCATGTTTTTGCGCCATTGCGGCACCATGAAACAGTGGATGCGTGATTTTTTTTGGTTCTGCCTACAGACTAAAATGTGGTGTAGAGTATCATCGTGTTTTTATTTTGTTTCAATATAAAAATCATATGAATTCATGAGGATCCATGCTTCGGATCAATGTTTTTGTGGTGCTGCAGCGCGGCAAAGTGTTGGATCCACGTTTTTTATAGTCCAGTCTGTAGGCGTGCCTTCCAGGTGTAATTTGACACTGGATTTGTTGGAGTTATTTTTTTAAAAGTGGAGGATCCATGAGGATCCGTGCAGATCCGCCTCTAACCCAGACCCCGCACTTTCGCCTACCGCGTTGCAAGATGCAGTTCCTGGGTTATGTTGCGAATGCAGCAGCAGCAGCCAATCGCAAAGCGGGTTTCCTTCCGACGAGCCAATAGGCGCGAGCCCCTCTGTTGCTTTCCTTCCGGGAGCCGCTTTGCAAACAAGCTGGGTCCCGGGGCTCGTGCAGAGAAGGGGAGGCGGAGACTTGTGTGCCGCTTGAGGTTTTGTTGCAAGCGTGCAACCACCAGCAGCAGCGGTCCGTGATGTCTCGCTTCTTCCAAAGTGTCTCCGCTAAGCGCACAGAGAGCCAAGGGGGACCAGGCGTGGAAGAGCAACACTTGAGGCAATGGGGGCTGGCAGGTGAGTGGGATCGTTGGCTTGGCTGCTCTGCACCAAGTTTCCCCTAAGTCAGAGCTTTTCAACCTTTTGGATTCCACGGCTCCCTAAAGCAACTCCTGTGCGGCTCAGGAGCCCAGTTATGTCACCACCACCCTCAATTTGGGTATGCAGAAGATATTAAAATTAAATTTAAATAACCGCAGAAAGAGGAGGAAGGAAGTTTTGAAATGTCAAAATGTTTGTAAAATTAACGAAATGTATAAAATCAGTGAAATGTCTAAACTTGAAAAGTATAAATAAAAAAAATTGAAAAAAAAGTTATGTCACCCTTTGCCTGCAGAGCTGACAGCCTCTCACCCTTTTTCAAACACCCTTCCTTGGGGAGTGCTCCCTTAGCCTCCTCTCCTCTCCTCTCCTTGGGTGTCCTCTGGGCAGCCGCTGCTGCTGCCCCTGGTCTCTGAGCTGACCCACCACCCCACCCCAAAGAGAGGTACCTCCCAGACTGAGGCCCTATTCACCAGCAGGGCTTTTAGCCAGGGCTGCTTCAACAAACAGATGCAAGTCTTTGGGAGAGAGAGACAGGAGAAGGCATCAGAGGAGGGAGGGAAGGAAGCAAAGAGGGACAGAGGCCAGTGTTGCCCGCAGCCTCTAACCATCATTCAAGGCATCATGGCACACTGGTTGAAAACCACTACCCTAAGTGAGCAAATTTTGTGGCTCCTAGGGGTGCGGCAAGAAAACTGCTAGCACGTTTGCAAAACTAAGCAGGGCCCAATATGCTTTCAAGTTGGGGGGGGATGTGTTGAGAAGCCTGCATCACAGGGAGTTAGGATGGATGACCTTGGGGGGGGGTCCCTTCAATTCTCTACAATTCTATGATTCTGCGGGATGCTGCACTTAAGTGGTTCAAATGTTTCCCAGCTCTGGCCAGATTGCATATGTCTGGAGGGGGGAGTATTGTTTTGTCTTTTTATAGTGCAGAGCACCTCACAATCTTTGGAGCCCACTCCTAGGGGCTGAGGTCCCTTTAGCTCCCCGATTAAAATATTTACCCCTCCCCAAGTTGATGGGCAGTGCCATTCAAATGGTATGTGTGTGCCATGTCTTGTGATCGATTATGCGGGGCGGGGCTTGCCTTACTTGCCCCTCCCCAACATTTTATTCAAGTTCATAGAATCATAGAATCATAGAATCATAGAATCATAGAGTTGGAAGAGACCACAAGGGTCATCGAGTCCAACCCCCTGCCAAGCAGGAAACACCATCAGAGCACTCCTGACATATGGTTGTCAAGCCTCTGCTTAAAGACCTCCAAAGAAGGAGACTCCACCACACTCCTTGGCAGCAAATTCCACTGTCGAACAGCTCTTACTGTCAGGAAGTTCTTCCTAATGTTTAGGTGGAATCTTCTTTCTTGTAGTTTGGATCCATTGCTCCGTGTCCGCTTCTCTGGAGCAGCAGAAAACAACCTTTCTCCCTCCTCTATGTGACATCCTTTTATATATTTGAACATGGCTATCATATCACCCCTTAACCTCCTCTTCTCCAGGCTAAACATGCCCAGCTCTCTTAGCCGTTCCTCATAAGGCATCGTTTCCAGGCCTTTGACCATTTTGGTTGCCCTCCTCTGGACACGTTCCAGTTTGTCAATGTCCTTCTTGAAGTGTGGTGTCCAGAACTGGACACAGTACTCCAGGTGAGGTCTGACCAGAGCAGAATACAGTGGCACTATTACTTCCCTTGATCTAGATGCTATACTCCTATTGATGCAGCCCAGAATTGCATTGGCTTTTTAGCTGCCGCGTCACACTGTTGGCTCATGTCAAGTTTGTGGTCAACCAAGACTCCTAGATCCTTTTCACATGTACTGCTCTCAAGCCAGGTGTCCCCATCTTGTATTTGTGCCTCTCATTTTTTTGCCCAAGTGCAATACTTTACATTTCTCCTGTTAAAATTCATCTTGTTTGTTTTGGCCCAGTTCTCTAATCTGTCAAGGTCGTTTTGAAGTGTGATCCTGTCCTCTGGGGTGTTAGCCACCCCTCCCAATTTGGTGTCATCTGCAAATTTGATCAGGATGCCCTTGAGTCCATCACCCAAGTCGTTGATAAAGATGTTGAATAAGACCGGGCCCAAGACAGAACCCTGTGGCACCCCACTAGTCACTCTTCTCCAGGATGAAGAGGAACCATTGATGAGCACCCTTTGGGTTCGGTCAGTCAGCCAGTTACAAATCCACTGAGTGGTAGCATAGTCAAGACCGCATTTTACCAGCTTCTTTACAAGAATATCATGGGGCACCTTGTCAAATGCCTTGCTGAAATCAAGGTAGGCTACATCCACTGCGTTCCCTTCATCCACCAGGCTTGTAATTCTGTCAAAAACGAGATCAGGTTAGTCTGACATGACTTATTTTTCAGAAATCCATGCTGACTATTGGTGATCACAGCATTCCTTTCTAGGTGCTCACAGACTGTTTGCTTAATGATCTGCTCCAGAATCTTCCCTGGTATTGATGTCAGACTGACTGGGCGGTAATTATTTGGGTCCTCTCTTTTCCCCTTTTTGAAAATAGGGACAACATTTGCCCTCCTCCAGTCTGCCGGGACTTCGCCTGTTCTCCAGGAATTCTCAAAGATGACTGCCAGTGGTTCTGAGATCACATCTGCCAGTTCTTTTAATACTCTTGGATGCAGTTCATCTGGCCCTGGAGACTTGAATACATCTAAACTAGCCAAGTATTCTTGTACTATCTCCTTAGTTATTCTGGGCTGTGTTTCCTTTGCTGAATCATTTGCTCCAAATTCTTCAGGTCGGGCATTGTTTTCTTTATCGGAGAAGACTGAGGCAAAGAAGGCATTGAGGAGTTCAGCTCTTTCTGTGTCCCCTGTTTGCATTTCACCATCTTCTCCTCTGAGTGACCCCACTGTTTCTTTGTTCTTCCTTTTGCTACGGACATACCCATAAAAGCCTTTTTGTTGCTTTTAACCTCTCTAGCAAGCCTGAGTTCATTCTGTGCTTTAGCTTTTCTGACTTTGTGTCTACACGTGCTGGCTATTTGTTTGAATTCCTCTTTGGTGGTTTCCCCCTTTTCCATTTTTGTACACATCCTTTTTAATCTTAACTCAGTTAAAAGTTCTTTAGATAGCCACCCTGGCTTCTTTAGGCACCTTCCATGTTTCCGTCTCATTGGTATTGCCTGACGTTGTGCTTTTAGTATCTCCCTCTTAACAAACTCCCAGCCATCATGAACTCCCTTTCCTTTTAGTATTACTGTCCATGGGATCTCACCCAGCACTTCCCTAAGTTTTATGAAGTCAGCTTTCTTAAAGTCAAGAAATTGAGTCCTAGTATGCTTGGCTGCTCCTTTCCGCTGTATAGTAAACTTCAGAAGAGCATGATCACTTGCGCCTAATGATCCTTCCACTTCTACCCCACTAACCAGGTCATCAACATTGGTTAGGACCAGATCTAAAATGGCTGTTCCTCTTGTTGCTTCTCCCACTTTCTGGACAATGAAGTTGTCTGCAAGGCCAGTGAGGAATCTGTTTGACCTTATGCTCTTGGCTGAGTTTGACATCCAACAAATATCCGGGTAATTGAAGTCCCCCATTACTACTATCTCCCTTCCTTTTGCATGCTTGGCCATCTGTTCCAGGAAGGCATCATCTATGTCCTCCGTTTGGCTTGGGGATCTATAGTAAACTCCCACAATGAGGTCACTGTTATTCTTCTCTCCCTTAATTTTGACCCAAATGCTCTCACTTTGGCTTTGAGGTTCTAAATCTTGGATCTCTTCACAGGTATACACATCCCTGACATATAACGCCACTCCTCCTCCTTTCTTGTCTGGTCTGTTTCTCTGAAATAGATTGTATCCCCCATTATTACATTCCAATCGTGGGACTTATCCCACCAGGTTTCAGTGATGCCTATTATGTCATATTTAGTTTGCTGTACCAAGAGCTCAAGCTCATCTTGTTTATTTCCCATGCTTTGCGCATTAGTGTACAGACATTGAAGTCCATTAATCATTCCCCGTGACTCTTATTTAAGGATTTTTCCTCCCACCACTAGGTCTGTGTGCTGTTTGCTCCATTTGGTCTATGACATTTGGATGATCATCTTCATCAATTGATAGACTCCTACCTTCAGGAGCACTATCTCCCTCCCCACATTAGTCAGTTTAAAGCCCTCCTGATGAGGTTTCTGAGATTTTTGGCAAAAACATTTCTCCCAACTGTTGTGAGGTGCAGCCCATCGCTTGCCAGAAGTCCATCTTCAAGAAACTGCAGTCCGTGATCTAAGAATCCAAACAGTTGACACCCCTACAGAGTTGTATAAAGCACATTTAAGCTTGAGGCATAATAGTTATGCCAAGATAATTTATTTCTTCAAGATGCACAATCCATCCATTCTCCCAGTACCCAGATCTCTGGGTTAACCTTACCAGTATTATGCCATGTTCTCTCTTTTTAGGCATTCATCTACGCCCCTATCAGATGGAAGGAGTAAACTGGCTGACACACTGCTATGAAACCTGGCATGGCTGCATCCTGGGTGATGAAATGGGTCTTGGGAAGACTTGCCAGGTCTTTCATTCTCTCCTTCCCGTTTAATCATTGTAGGAAAAGAGCGGTTATAAGCACTGCATTTCTGTGAATGACACCATGTATTTCCCCCCCCATGTATTCCAGGCTATTTCTCTGCTTGTTGTCTTAAGTGGGAAGCTTAATAAAAGGCCGTTTTTGATCCTTTGCCCTCTGTCTGTGTTAAACAACTGGAAGCAGGAACTAGAAAGGTAAACTTTGTAAATGTTCATAATCTTCTCAACAGTGGCACACTGTCAGTGGACTAGGCTAGCCCCCTAAATGTTCCTGGTAAATTAGAATATTAAAGCCTGGAGCCTCCTTCTCAAAACCTGGGAAACCTTTGCCCATCTTAGGGAGGGATGCACAGTTGCTGACCTGCATGATGTTGGCCTCCACATCACCCTTGCAAGCTGGCGCCTCTGGCCCTAACTGGTCCCCTATGGAAAAATTCACCGCATGACCCTGCTTCTCAAAGCAATGAGGCCTACCAACGTTAAACTTCATTGAAAAGTCCTGTAAGTCCTATGGTGAGTGCCTGTAGAAAGTTCATACATCAACCATGTAGCAAATAAACGGTTGTATTTCTCATTTTTTTCATCATCAAATTGAAATAGTAATTTTTTAAAAGGGCAACTTGCCCATGACAGCTCTATGCACTGGGAAGCAGTAGAATAAAATGTTGTTTGTTTATTTAACCCGCTCCTGCCTTTCCACCATCTTCCTTGATCCTGATATGTGCAGCTGCCCTCAAATATGAATACTGGGCACCTTTACCATTCACAGTAGCCCACAAGATATATAACATATGCCATATTCAAGCCTTCTGTTAATTAGGACAAAGACCACATTGTGCATAGAGAAGACACCATCTGAGACTGAAGGCTGTCGGGCTAGATAAATCAGCTTCATATGTTAATAGATTCTGATTTGAGCACTGTATTCTCTGTATTTCCTCAATATTATTATTTTTACTATTATTATAACAGATTTTCTCCAAGTCTTTCCCTCGTGACGTATTCAGGAAACAAGGAAGAAAGAACTGAGCTACAGCAGGACTTCAAATCAAATCATGATTTCCACATTCTGCTGACTACTTACGAGGTACTTAGCATCGTCTAGGGGTACAGAACATACAAAGCACCTGTTTTTCTGTTAATATTTTGGAGGTATGCATCAGGCCACCACCTCTACGTCGTACCTCTCCCACCTCTAAATTCTCTCTGGTATTGCATTTGTCTTTGTTTGGGGTAGCTCCTCACTTAGATTAAATATCGATCTGCCGGAGCACTGAACTTTGTCCCCAGTGGATACTACACTCTTGTCTTCGATCAAAATCATAATGTGAGAACTGGGAAGCCAGCCAGTGCCTCTACATAGCTCCATCCTTATTTTAGACATTTGTGATATATCAGTATATCGCAATGTTAAGCTGTTGATGTATCACAAAGTTGAGAATCAGATATCTTCCAGCCCTAGACAGCATCATATAGATGCTGCGGTTTGGGAAGTGGGCATGAGATGCAAAAATGGAACAGCACACTTCTGTCTGGAAGCTCTAGCAAGGGGTGAGGGAGAGCAGGATCCACTCTTTAATTCATTTGTTTCTTCTCCAGCTACAATATCTTTCTGAGCCTCCATTATTACAGTTCTGCAGCAGTTAAGTGACCGACACCTTTCTTATGCTTGATTGCAGGTGTGCCTTAGAGACACAACATTTCTGAAACGGTGAGAACATTTCTACCGAGGGCAAAATAACTTCCCCATTACATATGGGGATCAGAGATTGGTCACATTTCTCCTTGCACTAGCTTTTAGCGGCTGGGGTTAAAGGTTTGTCTCTGATGCTTTCTTAGTCTCTGCCTCAAACTGTGGTTTCTCTCCACAGAAAATTGCCCATCTCATTCTTATCAAGGGGGCAGAGGAGTCCCCTTTCAGAACATTCCTTCATCAGGAAAAAAATTGTCTACCATTTAATTCCCATGGAAGCACATCACTTGAATAGCCTGACTCTTTCAGTATAGGCAAGGTGTGACTTGGCCTACTGGCTATTAGGAAACATTCAAAGTTATTCGTACTTCATTAACTCTCTCCTGTCCAAGCCCACAATTTCATTACAAATTAATCTTGTGTAAAACTCATGGGCCCAGATTGTGGGATTACTGGGCAAGTTAAATAACTGCCTAAGTCTGTGTGAAACTTTTCTATATGTTTAAGATTCATGAGGCTTGTGCTTCCAAAGAACAGCACCTTTTTGTGTGGTACTTATTTGATTCAGCTAGGGAAGGAAAACCAGTAGCAGTTCTTACTTTAAGCAGAGTTTGGGAACATGTTGGCAACAGCAGCAGAAGCAGGAAAGACAGAAAGAGCAATTCTTTTGCTCCCCCACCAAATTTGCATTCTGATGCAAACGGTCTACTCTGTCAGGATTTAATTAATCTAAACCTTACACATAGGTTGATGCTGAAATGGAGGTGATGCCTAAAAGCCTTTTTTCTCATAGAGAGAAAATGTATTTATTGGGGGGGGGTCATTTTTTAAATTAAGCCTCCATGTGACTGTGTCTTTATCTAATGAGTTGTTTTCCTAATCAGTTAAGCAGAATTTTGCTGTAATTTTTCAAATAACAGGACTTTAATCTTTTAAAACCTCCAGAAGACTAATAACAGCAGCTAATATTTTGAGTGCAAAGAGAAACAGATGTTCTGGGAAGAGTAAGATGAGTTTGTTTGTTTTTCTTTTTAAAATTTCAGCAGATGTAGCACATCAGAAAATAAATGGCACTTTTAGGTTTCAAAATATTCTAATGTTTAAAAATTTAATAATTAAGTACATATGCCCTTGTAAATGGCAGGTGTCGGCTAATGGTTGTTTTTCACAAGATAGCACAATAGCACTCTTGTGAGGATAATCTCAGTGTTTCCCTTCAGCCAGAGGAAATTAATTTTGAGTCACTACTGCCCTTTCTGGTTTAACCTTCTGCTCTGTGTAGGCTTTTAAAACTCTGTTCAAAGTGCTCTTGAAAGAGTTCATATCTTAATCAGACTAAGTGCTGACAGCTTTCTGTGCCTGCAAGCACTGGCATATGGATTTTAAAAAATCAGTTGATGCAATAATGGAGTTCTTTTTTGTGTAAGTTTGTGTGCGGAAATCTGGGCGGAAGAAGAAAGGAACCATAGTATGTAATATAACCCAGTAGCTCGTGAGTAAGGAAACAGGACAAATGTCTTGCGTCTGGTTGCCCCTGGTGGTTGTGGTTCCTCTAACTTTTCTTCCCCGTGTTCAGTTTCAGCTGGGCTTGCCTTGTTGTGGACGAAGCTCACAGACTGAAGAATCAGGATTCGCTACTTCATAAAGTACTCTCTGAGGTAAAGAAAACTACAGTCCTGGTCTTTGTAAAGAAGGAAAGCACATATGTCTTGTCACAGCCTTCTGACTTGAGCTCAGAAAGGATCTTCTACAGTGAGTTTTTGTTTTGTTAGGTGGATTGGCTTTTCCTCGGGCTCATGCAGACTCCCTGTTGCGCTGTGCTTTCCAGGCACATATCTGGGATTATAACTCAGTGTCTGAGCATTTTCCTCTTCTTTTGCCACTTTCTTCAGGTAAGCCCACATTTTACCGCTGAATCAGAGCAAACAACAATTGGGTTTTCCTTGGATTGTCATTACTTGAGCGGTAAAATGTGGGTTTTCTGGGGGAGAGCACTAGGTCAAAACCACACCAACACCCCACTTAGACATGGAGCTTTAAATCCTGGAGCTGAGCCTACCACCACAGGAAGCCTGGATAAACTCCTTGTCTTTAACCAAATAATGATACATTCTAAAAGCAGAGAAAAGGTAAGGATTAGAAAATGTGCTTGAAAATGTTGACAGCATTAAGATAAATTCAACAGTGTAAATAAGTTTTGATGGATGTAATGATGGAATACTGAATAGTTTATGTAGTTTAGTTTATTTTATGTAAAATATGCAGGGATTTTTGTTACGCAGAATGAACCATGGAAAGAGAAGAAGGGAAGTCATTGGAATTTTAAGGTTGTTGAAATGAATACTCTAAATTGTAAAACAGAAAATTTAATAAAAATTACATGGATAGAGAAAATTTGCAAATGTAGCGAAGTAAAGCATGTCAAGACTAAAACTGCACACCGTCCTTGCCTTATTCCTAAAACTAACTCTAGTAAAAAGGCCTCCAATTTCTTCCAGAGGCATTCATAAGCGGACAAGTCTTGGTCTTTTAAAAATATTTTTTATTTGATTTTACAAATATAAAATTATAACAGTACCACTATACACATCAACAGTTAAAAGATTATCCAAATCTCTGGACTTCCCACCTTCCCATCCATGGGTCCTATTGTCAAAACTTTTCTACTGCATCTTTTTCAGTAGTCCGTATATAATATAACTTCCATTAGATAATACCATTAGATAATACATAGTACTTGCTACATTACAAGCGTTATTGCAATCCTGCTAGTGTTTTCATCTGCTTACAGTGGTCTCCAAGATATTCCCATTCTTTGTTAAAGTTTGGTCTTCTTGGTTCCTGAGCTTTCTGGTCAGTTTTGCTATTTTGGCATAGTCCAACAGTTTAACTTGCCATTCTTCTCTGGTAGGGACTTTATCTTCTTTCCATCTCTGGGCTAATGACATCCGTGTGGCTGTCGTCGCTAGCAAATTCTCTGTTCAACCTGAGCAAGAAATTTGAGATGTAAAGCAGTCGCAGGGGGAACCAAATCATGACGCTGCCTTACCTCCCTACCTTATCCCAGTCGTACCTGAACTGTACATATTCTGTATCTCTTTCAGTTCACAACGGACTTCAACCTCCTGCTGACGGGCACTCCCATTCAGAACAGCCTCCAAGAGTTATATGCCCTGCTTGCTTTCATTGAACCAGCTACATTCCCCAAGGAGCTGGTGGAAGAATTTGTTCGCTATTATCATGGAATTGAAAAGGAAAGCAAAGTAGGCAAGTACAAATGTGATAACTGGATGTCGGCTATTACCTGCAGAATGTTGGCAACTGAGATGAAGGTTTTCTTTAAATGGGATTATGTAGAGTCTGCATTTAGGCAAAAAGTCCTTTGGCTTTACAGCAAAGATTTCCATGGTATGTTATGGAGGACGAGAAAGCTTCTTCTCTTTGTTTTTTAAGAAATAAAAAATTAAAATATGTACTGAGTTGAGTGTATATGTGTGGGAAGGCGAGTTGAGTCACATGGTAAAATTATGAGCATCAGGCAATAGATGCCTGTGGTACTCAAATATGTCACATAGCATTCAGCTTTATGGACTTAGAAACCCGCCCCCTTCAGGCCTTCCTGCCCCCCACTTCATATTTAAAATCTAGGGCTATATCTGTGTTTCTCTCCCGTATAGCCAAAGAACTGCACAGTCTCTTGCAGCCCTTCTTGCTCAGAAGAGTGAAGGCTGATGTGGCAGCCGAACTCCCCAAGAAAGAGGAGGTGGTTCTCTACCACGGGATGTCAGCCTTGCAGAGAAAGTTTTACAAGGCTGTTTTGATGAAAGACCTAGGTAATTGGGCAAGGGGAAGACTTTGGAATCGGAATGAAGTGAGCGTGGTGGTTTTACGGGCGCCTGGGAGGCAGAGACTTTGGGGGTCCATCTACACTTCCGCTTGTCGTGTGCCTAAAAAGCTTGGGTCTGAGTGCTTTTCCTGTGATTTCCAGGGACGAATCTGAGCGGCTTTCCCTTTGTCTGCTGCTTTCTCTGGGAAAACCTGCTGAATCGTAGCAGTCCGCAGAGAACCCAACTGACATTTGCTCCAGTTCAGCAGTAAAACCCAAGTTGCAGGGAACCAGGCAGAGGGCCTTCTCGGTACTGGCATCCGCCCTGTGGAACGCCCTCCCACCATATGTCAAAGAAAACAACAACTACCAGACTTTTATAAGACATCTGAAGGCAGCCCTGTTTAGGGAAGCTTTTAATGTTTGATGTTACTGTATTTTAATATTTTGTTGGAAGCCTCCCAGAGTGGCTGGGGAAGCCCAGCCAGATGGGCGGGGTATAAATAATAAATTATTATTATTATTATTATTATTATTATTATTATTATTATTATATAAAGAGCAGATTTTTCCTGGGGAAAGTGGCAGGACAGGCAAAAGTATAGAAGAGCCCTCTGTTGCCATTTCATTACTGTGTTTACTATTTTTGTTAAACATTACAAACAGCGAACATAACCACGCAATGTTTTTTCAGTTACAAGTTACCGTACTTTTCCGTGTATTAGACGAGGATTTTTTACTCCAAAATAAAGTAAAAAATGGGGGGGGTAGTGCAGAGGAGGGGACGGGTGATTGGTTGCCTCCGCGAGCAGGATCTAGCAATTGGGTGAGTGAATGGTGTCTGCTGCAAGGGCTGCTTTGGATTGGTGGCTGCTTTGTCAAATGGGCGGGTTATTAGTGGATGCTTTGGATTGGCTGCCGCTTTGGCAGTTTGGCTTGCATTGCTTGCGATGGTTAGTGTTTGCCAGTTGGGTGAGTGATCTTTGATTCGGCATTCCCCGCCGCCACCCAAAAAATTGCTCATTTTCTTAAATTTGAGCCCCCCCAAATAGAGGCGTCTTATATATGGGGGCATCTTATAGACAGAAAAGTACGGTACTCCACTCTCAGTGAGCACCTAAGTGATTTAAATATTGAATTTGTGGAACGGCAGTAATCAAACTTCTGGCTTGAATGGAAAATAAACTCGCTAGTTAATCACTGCTTTGATTGACTGAATACAACATTTTTATTTATTTTTTAAAAAAACACACACTTTGTTCTATATTTTAGATGCATTTGAAAATGAATCGGGGAAGAAAGCAAAGCTCCAGAATGTGTTAGTTCAACTCCGGAAATGTGTAGCTCATCCGTATCTGTTCAATGGTAAGAAGGCCGCCCAGGACCATCGTTGCTGGTTCTGCTGTCGAGGCAGTTGGTTTGCTGTCTGTTCTGCACAACTGAGAAGGTTTGCCCATTGGTGCAGATCCGGCGTGCAACTTAAGGGCTGCTTCTCACCCTAGGACTTTCATCTGTAATATATACAACTTGCAACTTGTAAGTTTCCTCCACATCCTTGTTATGGAATGATAGAGGCATAAGAGGGAGTGGAGTTGCTGTGATTTACAGAACTCCCATCTTCCTTGCTAGATTGCCTAGCCAAGAAACTATCTCTATCATGTGTGTTTACCTGGGGATTCTGCTGCTGGCTTTAATATAGTGTATTTCAGTGATTTATTTTTTATGTACTATAGTTTTCTTTGCTAGCTGTTTGTAGCGAAAAGCTATTTTTTGCATGCTGCACATCAACAGATGCAAAGTCTATTTATGCAGCTTAGTGATGGGGCAAGTGCAGTTTTTACCTCTCCTTACTGGGTTGTAGGGAACTGAGATGCTTCCGTGTGCCGAGATTACGCTATTCTAACGGTCCTGTTGCAAAGGGCTTGATCAGGAAAAGATTTCCATTTCCCTCTAAAAGTATATTTAAGAGTGTTTGGGAACAGCAGGACAATTATTTGCTCTGCCTTGAAGTACATATTCAGATGCAATCCTTTTGTGGTTAGTAGTCTATAGTCTGCAGTGTTAACAGAGAAGTTTCTTGCTAAAATGTCTTTCCATTTCAGGTGTTGAACCAGAACCTTTTATCATTGGGGATCATCTCATTGAAGCCAGTGGGAAGCTGAGCTTGTTGGATAAACTTCTGTCTTTCTTATATGTAGGGTATGTGTTTCACTACTGAACTTTATTACTTTCCATAAATCAGCAAAGGACCACCTTTACCTGCACAACTCTTCACAGGTGTTGACAGCCTGCCTATAAAGTTATTCAGTTGGTAGGCATGAGAGACAGGGGCCATTTGGTGGTGGCCTCCAGAATTGTGGAATTCCTTCGCCTAGGAGGTGTGTACAGCCTCAGTGTTGCAAATCTTCAAGCAGGTTTTTAAAACCTGCTTTGAAACAAACTACAGTGTTTGGATTTTGTGTGGCTTGAGTGTGGCCTTCTGGTGTCACCTCTGCAATTGCAAATTGAGCAATGAGGTTGGACTCTTCCTGCATTTCCACAATGGCAACCCAATCCCTCTATTTGTTAACCTATTCTCAAATCAGAGCACATTAGGTTGCAGTCTAAATCTTCCTTGGTTGAGGCAAGCTTTGTTACACTACACAGAAAGCTGAGCTGAAGTCAGAGCCTTCCCTTCCTTTCTCATTCCAGTGGTCATCGTGTTTTGCTGTTTTCCCAAATGACACAGATGCTGGATATCCTGCAAGACTATATGGATTACAGAGGTAAATGCCTCTGTTTCTTGATGTGTCTGATCCTGATTCTGGGTACGGAGAAGGGCCGCAAAGAAAAGGTTAAAATGTATAACGCAGATGGGGCCTAAGATCTGTCTGTGTAACTTGAAAAACTACTACAGGAAGGGGAGAGTAAAAGGGGACAGCAAAGAGAGGACTGTGGAGAAAGAAAATTGAGATGTGGATAGGGGACAGTGCAGGATAAAGATTCTAAAGGGCCACAAGCGCAGAAGTTTTCTGAATGGCTGTGATTAATCCATTTAATTCTTCTTTTAACCGAAAAGGTTACAGCTACGAGCGCCTGGATGGATCTGTTCGAGGTGAAGAGAGGCACCTTGCCATTAAGAATTTTGGCCAGCAGCCCATTTTTGTCTTCCTCCTGAGCACGAGGGCAGGTAAGGCAAACGTTACAAAAAGGCAGGATCCCTTTGCCGCCTTCCCAGATGGCGAATAGAGATGCACACAAAACGCCTTGAACTGAGTGCAACTTGGCTTATCCAAATAAGCCAAGGAGGTCAAGCAGAATTTTTTATGTAAATTCAAGTCCAGTTGTACTGGTTCTGTGCTAGACTTTAGCATTACGCCTGTTGTCAGAGCCAGTCTTCAATGCATCTGTTGTTTCCTTCCTACGCAAACACTTAATTTCATTTTTTTTTTAAAATCGTAGTCTCTAGCTCTTAAAGCACATATTGCAGCTCAACAAAAACTAGCAAGGTGAAATACAGTAAAATTCAAATTTACCCTGGTTCTCTCAGTATGGTATAGTGGACCAGAGAAATTCAGATTCAAGTCCCAGCTCAACTGTGAAGCTCACTGGATGATTCTGGGTGTTCTCTCTGGTTAATCTACCTCACAGGTTTTGAGAAGTTGAACAAAAACTGAGGTGTAAGGTACACATGAGAGGAACACATCCATGACTCCAAAGATGGGTCAGCTACATTTATATGCAGTAAGGATGAGAGGGTCCATTGGGTCAGAAGGCTTTTGAAATGGTATTTTAATGTAATTCTATGTAACAATATGCTTATTTTAAAAAATTGTTTACCTTCCCTTTGGGATTACATGGTTTATTCATCTAAATCAGTGTTTCCCAAACTTGGGTCCCCATCTGTTGTTGGACTACAACTCCCATCACCCATGACCACTGGTCCTGCTAGCTAGGGATGGTGGGAGTTGTAGTCCAAAACCAGCTGGAGACCCAAGTTTGGGAAACACTGATCTAATTAAATGAAATGCAGATATACTTAATATCAGTGCTTTTTTCCTTAAAAAAAATGTGTAGGGGTACTCTCATTTTCCTTCTCATATTGAAATACTGCCCCTCAATGAGGCCAAACTTAGATTCACAAAATGTTAAATGGTATGTGTACCCCCAGAAAAAAGCACTGCTCAATATACTGTTTTATCAAAATACTGTTCCATGCAGTCAGTCAAATTAACTAACAGTTTCTCTCTCTAGTCACCATTTGCTTTGGGGCTGTAAAGAGGGAAAACATGTATTTCATTTGCAATGCTATTTCCGTTATGAAAACTCCAATGTCACCCTCCTTTATTTCCCAAGGTGGGGTTGGCATGAATCTTACGGCAGCAGACACAGTTGTTTTTGTTGACAGTGACTTTAACCCACAAAATGACCTACAAGCAGCAGCAAGAGCCCACAGAATCGGCCAGAACAAGTGAGGACAAATCTTTTCTGTGCTTTGCTTCTTCTCTCCCTAAGGATATGTTCCACCCATCCTGCTGCGTTGCATTGATGCAGCTCTTCCCAGTAAAACTGCATCCAAGTCCCTGACCATACCCCCCCAAAATACCTACAAAGACTCCTCCAGATCTGTGACTCTACGGGTTGCTACTCCAGCACAAAAGGCATCAGCTCACATACACACCCTGCCTCCTGGAAAGTTTTGTGAATGATTTGTGAACGCTTGCTGTTCCTGAAATTTCTTGTTGTGTTTTTTTGTTCTCCTTAATTATCGCATAGGTTGTGATCTAATGCGAACCATCATCTTTAAATGCTTTCTCCACCCCCCACCCCTGTGTTCTGCAAGGCCTGTAAAAATTATTCGTTTGATTGGGAGAGACACTGTGGAAGAAATAATCTACCGGCGAGCAGCATCAAAGCTCCAGCTAACCAGCACCATTATCGAAGGGGGTCAGTTTGCGCTTGGAACGCAGAAATCACAGGTGGAAGCAGATATCCAGGTAAAAGAGGGGCCTAATGTGTCTCTGAATAGCAATCTAAACTGCTGAGCAAAGCCAGCCCTACTTTTATTAAACAGTTGTGGAATGCAACAAAGAGATTTAGCACTGCTTGTGTTGGATCTGGGAATCCAGGACAATTTCAGGCTGGAGAGGAAAGCTGTGGTTTTGTGCTGTTGTTTTTTAAATTTTTGGAAAGGCTCAAATCATGTTGTATCATTAGCAGCTTACTGAAATCTTAAACTTTCCTTTGTGAGGCTAATGCAGGTTGGAATTCAGTTTTTCTGTGAAATTCTGAAGTTCAGCCCAAACGCCTAGAAAACTAGAATCTATAGGAAGTAAATTCCCAGGAAATTCTCCCCTCCCTTAGCCTCACTTTATTTTTACTTCCAGACCAACAAAGCCTTATGACACAATAAAGCACAGTTGTTTTATTAAAAATGCTTTCCTTTGCTGTTGTAGGATTTCATCTTTGAACTCAAAGCAAAACAGCAAGGCAAAGGTGATGCAGTCCTCGGCTTTATGTCTGAATCTGCTGCTTCTTTCATGATGATTGCTTTATCGCTATGAAAAAGGCTTCTGTTGTGTTGGCTCTCAAAGCAGTTCATACACAAGTATAACTTGTATAGCCAGTGTGGTGTAGTGGTTAAGAGCGGTAGTCACGTAACCTGGGGAACCGGGTTCGCGTCTCCGCTCCTCCACATGCAGCTGCTGGGTGACCTTGGGCCAGTCACACTTCTCTGAAGTCTCTCAGCCCCACTCACCTCACAGAGTGTTTGTTGTGGGGGAGGAAGGGAAAGGAGAATGTTAGCCGCTTTGAGACTCCTTAAAGGGAGTGAAAGGCGGGATATCAAATCCAAACTCTTCTTCTAATGGGAATTTGATCAATAGGATCTTCTTCACGCATGTCCAAGCTCCTATATCTTCCTAATATACTGATAGGAGCAGCACTCTGGGAGCGTTAGAGAGGGTGATAGTGAAGCCTTTTAGCCTCCATTTTTCTTTTCGTTTTTTGAAAGCTGAGCGAAGTCCTGAAATTTGGCTTGGACAAACTGTTGTCGTTGGGTGGAAGCACCATCTGTGATGTGGACCTGGGAAGTATCCTTGGGGAGACAAGAGAAGGATTATGGCTGATGGAAACTGTCCTGTCTACCGCAGAGGGAAATGTAGAAAATGAAGAGCAAAATGCAGAAAGTATGTTGATGGCTCCAAAACAAATATATTGGGGGTTTTTTAGAGCTGTAGGGGTCAGAATTGGCCTCAGTTTGAAAACTGATATTTGTTTCTAAACCCTAGCCCTACTCGTTCACCCTTCTCATTTTTTCCAAACAGCCAACCATTGGCCTCTGCTTAAGAAAGATAGTTCTGCCTGCTCCTCACTGCTTTCACTGTAAACTTTCCTTTCCAAAACTTCAGACTCAATAATAATAATAATAATAATAATAATAATAATAATTTATTATTTATACCCCGCCCATCTGGCTGGGCTTCCCCAGCCACTCTGGGCGGCTTCCAAAAGAATATTAAAATACATCCCCTTAGAACCTTGTTTCCGTTCAGAAGTTGGTTTGGAAGCAGAACTGTAGTAAATTAAGTGTGGGTTGTTCTGCCTTGGCTTTGATGAGAGGGTTAGAGACAATTAATAGAGGATAGAGCTGCCAAGATGTAGCTGAATGGGGCTTTCAAATCGAAAGGCAGTAGACTTCTGGCGCAGATGGGGCGTACAGGTGCAAGAGAGGGCTGTTACCTCCATGCCTTGCTTCTGAGTTTCCTTGGAGGCATCTGTCTGGCCATTCTTGGAAATGGGATGCTAGATTAGAATGACATTTGCTCTGATCCGAGAAAGCTGACCTTGCGTCAGTATTCATCCTTTGAAGTTTGCTTCACTGAAGTTGTGTTGCATCCAATAGCCAAGGTGTTTTTACAGGAGACAGATCTGATGGGAGCAGCCATATTTGCTGATAACGGATCAGCCCATTCACATATAAAATAGGGTTTGTGAGTCTACTTTTTGCAGCAAAAGCTGTGCATGGGTGTGAAAGTGATACAATGCAGCTCTGTAGCTTGAAGCTCCTTTATATCCCAGCTGTGTCTCTTCTAGTATTTGAGCTAGGTTGGGAGAAGAGTGTCTGAAGCTATAGGGTGAAAGGCAAGTTCAGCTTTACTCACCTTTAGTGGTGGTGCTGGGATATGGCCTATGCCTATGACATCCCAATGCAAACTAGGCAGATGTGAGAATAAGCAAACATAGTTAATTGAAAAATAAGGTTTAGAGGAGATGCTGGGTATTGGAGTCCTAGTCTTCATTTGCTTAATTAGAATTCCTTTTTTAAATTTGGATTTATTAATTGGTCAAATAGAATATATCCTATTTTTTATCGGACCTTTGTGTGATAGGGAAGTTGATGAAACATCAGCTAAAATACCCCTGCTGCAGGAAACAATCACCGTAGACTTAACTCATTGACCCTTTTGTCCAGAATTTCACAGTGGTTTTCTTTCTGAGTGGAACTATTGAACAGAATGGCAGTTACTTTATAATTTGATTTTGTATTTTGTCCAAAACCGTTCACTTAAGTTCCTCTAATGCAATTTTTTATAAATCGATCATTTATGTTGGTGCTAATCCACACTTTCTTTTAAGGGCATGTGTGCTAATTCTATTGCCAGGTAGTCTGATAGTAGGTACAGTGGTACCTCGGGATGCGAACGGGATCTGTTCCGGAGCCCCGTTCGCATCCTGAATGGAACATAAGACGCGACGGCTTGTCTGTGCATGTGCGGGTCACATTTCGCCACTTCCACGCATGCGCATGAGGTCATTTTGAGCGTCTGCGCGAGCGGCGAAACCCGGAAGTAATGCGCTCCGTTACTTCCGGGTTGCCACGGAGCGCACGTCGAACGCGCTCAACCTGAAACACATTTAACTCGAGGTATGACTATATTGTTGGAACTGTCAGAGCTCACTAAACAAAGGAGGCAACTTTTTAAAAAGAGCATTGCGATGCTCAACCTTATCTTAAAACAAAAAAATCTGCTGTAATGTTGGTGGCTCATTTTGAGATGCTTGCTGTTTTAAGGCCACATGTACCTATATGAAGGCAAAGACTACTCAAAGGAACCTAGCCACGAAGACCAGAAGGCCTTCGATCTTCTGCTGGGTCTTCAGAAATGTCTTCTTGAAGATGGAGGTCAGGAAGGAAGAGCTCTCCGAAATAAAGCAAATGTAAGGACACTGTGAACACTTTGGGTGGGTGGCAGTCCAGCTTCAGGCATGCTTGGAGGAGAAGGTAAAAAAAAAGGTAAAGGACCCCTGGACGGTTAAGTCCAGTCAAAGGCAACTATGGGGTTGAAGCGCTCATCTCGCTTTCAGGCTGAGGGAGCCAGCGCTTGTCCACAGACAGCTTTTCAGGTCATGTGGGCAGCATGACTAAACCGCTTCTGGCATAATGGAACACCACGACGGAAACCAGAGCGCATGGAAACGCCGTTCACCTTCCCGCCACAGTAGTACCTATTTATCTACTTGCACTGGCATGCTTTCGAACTGCTAGGTTGGCAGGAGCTGGGACAGAGCAACAGGAACTTACTCGGTTGCGGGGATTCGAACTGCCAACCTTCCAGTTGGCAAGCCCAAGAGGCTCAGTGGTTTAGACCACAGTGCCACCGATTATCTGAATTCATATTTCAGTCTGGCTTCAGGACCAATAGGGGCACTGAAATGGGCTTGGTCACGCTGGTTGAGAGTCCCTGGAAAACTGACTAAAGGGTGCCTTCCTGTGGTGGATGCAGGAGGACATGAAAGTAGCTTGAGATAGAAAAAACTGTTGCAGCCCATGAATATCTTTTCCTTTTCCAGGTTCTTGTCACGGGCATTCAGCCGGGACCCAGCAAGAAGCGGCGTAAATTGAGCCCAGAAGAACTGGCGGCTCGGCAGAGGAAGCGGCAGGAGTCAGCAGCAGAGAGGGCCAGGCTCAGGGAAGAGAAGAAGCAGAAGAAGGCGGAAGCTGAGCACCAGAAGAAGTAAGGTTGTCTCTGTTGGCAGTGATCTCACAGCAGCACCAGCAGTCAAGATGCTTCACAGTTCTACTTGCTACTGCAGTTTTATTTTTTATTCAATTCCATGTACAAATTGCTTCCTATAAATAATCTCAAAGCAATTTAACAATTTAGGCGCGGGGCCAGATCTCACAGAAAAAGCAAATTCAAAGCCAGTGCAGATACAGACTGTGTGTAATGAGGAAGATTTATTTCAGCTGTAAAACGTCATTGATATTTATATTATTTTTGTAGGTGTATCCATAGGCTATGACGTCTTAGGTTGTGAAAAATACAGAAAAAGCATCTGAATGAGTTTCAACTCTAAAACGGGCTGTTGATCCATTGACTGCTGTGGAGCTGCACAATTTTTCTTTCTTTAACACTATCTGCTATTTTCCCTTCCGTTTTGTGAAGCCAGAAAATAGTATTTCTTTCTAACTTCTTTGCTGTTACTCAGAATGTGGCTTAACTTTGAGACAAGCTGCTTTGAGGGGCCAGACAAAAGCATATGTGTGTTGAAAAATTTCATTTGGTCTAGGTTGTTTTCTTTTCAGCACTGTAACTTGATGGAAATAAGAATGACATTCCGAATATTTACTGAAGGCATTTGGCTGTGATATTTCCTGACAAATGTCAAAAACGCCCTGGCACTTCTGTTCAAATTTTAAGACTTACTGCTAAAAGTTAGCAACTTCCCAGTTCAATGTTATTTTCAACTTGCGGTACCTGTTGACGCATGAAAATGTTTAGCCGTTGTGTCACTTTGGGCTACCTTCTCAAATAGCCTGACTCCGAGAGGACTGCCAGCAGGCCCCAGGCCTCCTCATAAGAACATAGTGGCCCATCTAGTCCAGCATCCTGCTCGCGCTCTCTCTCTCTATATATAGGGTTTTTTAAACATATCATTTACAACAATCATTTAACATAATTTTTTTTCTTATACTATATTTTAGACTTCCGTCAACAACTTCTGAAGATTTTCCGTTCTCTATCACTTGTCCTGCATTTCTTAATTTCTCTATTACTTTTAATTGTCCTCAACTAGTAATTCTCATCATAGTCTTTCTTGCAATGTTTCGAATAGTCCTCCTTACAGAACTTCCTGCAATCCTACTAACGTAATCTGTTTATTACAGTTGCTTTTCAAATAGTTCAAATATTTACTCCAGTCTTCTAAGAATCTATGATCCCGCAGGTTTCGAATCCTTCCTGTTAATTTATCTAATTCTTCATGGTCCATTAATTTCATTTGCCATTCTTCTTTCGTCAGTAATTCTTCTTGCTTCCATTTTTGTGCCAATAATATTCTTGCTGCCGCCATTGCATATAAAGACAACTTACAATCCTGTCTATTAATATCATCCCCTACAATGCCAAGTAAAAATGCTTCTGGTTTTTTAATAAATGTATATTTCAACACCTTTTTCATCTCATTATATATCATTTCCCAGAAGTTTTTCACTTTTTTCCATTCCCATCACATATGATAAAAAGTTCCTTCCTTTTCTTTACATTTCCAACATTTATTACTTGTTTCCAGCATCCTATTCTCCCGGTGGCCAACCAGATGTATATGGGAAACCAGCGAGCAGAAGACGAGCACAAGAGCTCTCTCCCCTCCCATGGTACCTTGGTTTATGAACTTAATCCATTCCGGAAGTCCATTCTTAAACCAAGGCGTGCTTTCCCATAGCAGCGGGGGACTCAATTTACAAATGGAACACACTCAACAGGAAGTGAAACATGTTCTGCTTCCAAGGCAAAGTTCACAAACCAAAACACCTACTTCCGGGTTTGCAGCATTCTTAATCCAAGTTGTTCATAAACTACCGTATTTTTCACCTTATAGGACGCACTGGCCCATAGGACGCACCTCGTTTTGGGGGGGGGGAAATGAATAAAAAAATTATCCCCCCCCCCCCAGCCGCCGGGCTGGGGCGGGGGAAGCCTGAGCTTCCCCTGACCCCAGCCCCCAGAACAGGCTGCCGCCCGCAAGCCTTGCGAGCCTGTGGGAACTCCCCCCGGGCGTGCGGACACCTGCGCAAAGCACGGGGCGTTCTCCGGAGGGCACCCCGTGGTCCGGGCTGCAGGCTGCCGCCCGCAAGCCTTGCGCGCCCGGGGGCACTCCCCCAGGGCGCGCAAGGCTTGCAGAGACCTGCACGAAGCACGGGGCGTCCTCCGGAGGGCGCCCCATGCTCCGGGCTGCAGGCTGCCGCCCGCAAGCCTTGCGCGCCCAGGGGAACTCCCGCCGGGCTTGCAAGGCTTGCAGATAGCTTCCTGAAGCCTGGAGAGTGAGAGGGGTCGGTGCGCACCGATGCCTCTCGCTCTCCAGGCTTCAGCGAAAGCCTGCATTCACCCCATAGGACGCACACACATTTCCCCTTCATTTTTGGAGGGGAAAAAGTGCGTCCTATAGAGCAAAAAATACGGTAAGCTGTTCTTAAACCAAGGTACCACTGTATTTGGAAGCATTGCTACCTGCAACTGAGGAAGCAGAGCATAGACATCATGGCTAGAAGCCATTGATAACCCTCTCCTCCATATATTATCCCTGGGCTGTGCCTTGATCAGAAGGCTGGAACTCAGTTGACCATTTATGCTGTATTATTATTGTCATTATTATTATTGAGTTTACAGTAAAATAGGTAGTGTATTGCTAATACAAAACATGGGAAGCCTCTCTTAACAACCTGATGCATGCTTCTTCTTCTTTTTAAATTCAGGATGGCCTGGTGGAAAGCAAATCACTACAGGTCTTACAGCCTGGAGTCAGAAGAGAGCAGCGAAGAGGAGATAGAAAGAGATTTAGAAAGTGGGATGGGTGCGGATTTGGAGTACGCAGACCCTGACCTGAGCTCCATCAAGTATGTTATAGGTGATGTTACCCACCCCTCTGCAGGAGAAGAGGATGCCATCATTGTGCATTGTGTAGGTAGGTGGAGCAGACTTTGCTAGAAGAGACCTCGTTTTTTATTCACCAGATTAGTTGGATTTCTGAGCAGCCATAGCCTCCTCTTAGGTCACATTCACACCACACATTTGAAGCACTATGATACTGCTTTAAACAGTCATGGCTTGGAGCTGTAGGGTATTAAGGGTGCTGAGAGTTCTTAAAAAGGTAAAGGTAAAAGACTCCTGACAGTTAAGTCCAGTCGCGAAAGACTCTAGGGTTGCGGTGCTCATCTTGCTTTACTGGCCGAGGGAGCCGGCATTGACCGCAGACAGTTTTTCTGGGTCATGTGGCCAGCATGACTAAGCCACTTCTGGCGAAGCCAGAGCAGCACATGGAAACGCCATTTGCCTTCCCACCAGAGCGGTACCTATTTATCTACTTGCACTTTGACGTGCTTTTGAACTGCAAGGTTGGCAGGAGCTGGGACAGAGCAACGGGAGCTCACCCCATTGGAGGGATTCGAACTGCCCACCTTCCGATAGGCAAGCCCCAGGTTCAGTGGTTTAGACCACAGCACCACCTGCGTCCCTGCTGAGAGTTGTTAGGAGACCCCTATTCCACTCCCAGAGCTACAGTTCCCAGAGTCCCCTGTGAGGAGGGATTGACTGCTACACCACCCTGGGAAATGTAGGTCTCTGAGAGGGACTAAGGATCTCCTTATAACTCCCTGCACTTCCTATGATTCTTTGAGAGAAGTCATGGCTATGATAACACAGTGCCTAAATTTATGATGTGAATATGGCCCTAGTGTCCTGGTCTGGTATTGAGTCTGCAGATTCTAGGATTCATGAAAGGCACAGGAGATAGAAATTCAGTCTGATGTGGAATTTCTGGAGTGCTCTTTCCTTTAGCAAGAACACAGCAGGCTGATGGTAGAAGGAAGGAGTGTTCTTTCTCTCTGCCACGGTCCTCTTGGTTTTGTCATGCAGTGGGGAGCTTTGTCCCCTGCTCATTTAATATAGAAATGCAGTGAATTGGTAAAGAAGGGATGAAGCGCTCCATACCTCTGCCAGCAACCTGTTTGGTTTCTGCAACACAGAAATGCAGACGTCTCTCTTCTGGCAGGCCATTCACTTGCCAGGGTGAAATTCCTTGTCACTTACAGCAACAAGCCAAGCAGTTTAAAGCAAGGCTGGTATATAGAGAGGTCATTAAACTCAATTGGCTGCACAAAGCATGAAAATAATATACTTGCTCGTATAATCGAATGTCAAATGATGAGTAAAAGTCAAATAGTTAAGGAGAGAACTGGTGTCCGTAAGTTTTCTTGTGAATACTGTCTGTTCCAGAATGCCAAGAACTTCACTCAGTCTTTGAAGACATTAGTTTGGCATTAAGTCTTCCAGCATGAAATAGGAGAGGAGCGCTTAATTCATTCACAGTCATGTACCATCAAACTTCTCTGCACCTCTCTGCCGCCTCTTTTAAAAACTCTTCTGACCGTTGCTAACAACAATTTAGCCTTGGCCAACAAATTTCTAATCAGTTGACTATTTGCACTCTGTACACAACTCTGTAAATCATTTAAGAGAAATACTTGTAGGATATGAAGCCCTCTGATTCCCAGCCTGGGATTTGTACATCTTGTTCTGCCACTATAAAGTACCTTTTCTTAAAACAAGGTGGCCTGTAAGTGAGTATGTTTCATTTAGCATCATATAGCACACCCAGGCTGCCCTGGATTTTCCCCTCCAAAATTCATTTTCGCTGTATTAGTGACCTCCAGAAACGTTCAGGTGGCACAGTCTAAATCAAGGATGCGGAGCATAGGGTCTTCCAGGTGTGCTGGATCACAGTTCCCATCGTAGAATCAGAGAATCATAGAGTTGGAAGAGACCACAAGGGCCATCGAGTCCAACCCCCTGCCAAGCAGGAAACACCATCAGAGCACTCCTGACATATGGTTGTCAAGCCTCTGCTTAAAGACCTCCAAAGAAGGAGACTCCACCACACTCCTTGGCAGCAAATTCCACTGTCGAACAGCTCTTACTGTCAGGAAGTTCTTCCTAATGTTTAGGTGGAATCTTCTTTCTTGTAGTTTGGATCCATTGCTCCGTGTCCGCTTCTCTGGAGCAGCAGAAAACAACCTTTCTCCCTCCTCTATGTGACATCCTTTTCTATATTTGAACATGGCTATCATATCACCCCTTAACCTCCTCTTCTCCAGGCTAAACATGCCCAGCTCCCTTAGCCGTTCCTCATAAGGCATCGTTTCCAGGCCTTTGACCATTTTGGTTGCCCTCCTCTGGACACGTTCCAGTTTGTCAGTGTCCTTCTTGAACTGTGGTGCCCAGAACTGGACACAGTACTCCAAGTGAGGTCTGACCAGAGCAGAATACAGTGGCACTATTACTTCCCTTGATCTAGATGCTATACTCCTATTGATGCAGCCCAGAATTGCATTGGCTTTTTTAGCTGCCGCGTCACACTGTTGGCTCATGTCAAGTTTGTGGTCAACCAAGACTCCTAGATCCTTTTCACATGTACTGCTCTCAAGCCAGGTGTCCCCCATCTTGTATTTGTGCCTCTCACTGTTTTTGCCCAAGTGCAATACTTTACATTTCTCCCTGTTATAATTCATCTTGTTTGTTTTTGCCCAGTTCTCTAATCTGTCAAGGTCGTTTTGAAGTGTGATCCTGTCCTCTGGGGTGTTAGCCACCCCTCCCAGTTTGGTGTCATCTGCAAATTTGATCAGGATGCCCTTGAGTCCATCACCCAAGTCGTTGATAAAGATGTTGAGTAAGACCGGGCCCAAGACAGAACCCTGTGGCACCCCACTAGTCACTCTTTTCCAGGATGAAGAGGAACCATTGATGACCATTAGCCACCCTTCTTTTGGCTGATGGGAGGTGGATCCAACAACATCTGGAGGGATACTGGTTCTTTATCCATGGTCTAAATGCATAGCACACGTCTTTAAGCAACTGCTGGTCACTTATGACCTGAGTGGCTGAAGTCAGAGTTGCTAAAAATCTGTTAGTCGGTAGCAAGTACATTACAGGAGGTATTTTATTGCTCTTGATCATTACTTGTCTGGGTGAGTGGCACCATTCTTCCATCAGGGTTTGGATCACTCTTCCACATTAAAGCACCCAATGAAGAGGTTTATAATGCAGCTACAGATCCATAACTCTTTACCATCACTAAGCCATACAGCATTAATGCATTTACATTTGCCAAGGCAATCTCTAAAAGCAGATTAATATCAGAAGGTCTTGCACTTGCCTTGAAGGCCAGATTTGTAGCTTGGAAGTGCTCTCAGAATTTGTCATGTTAGTTGTTCCATTCTAAGAATGGATCTCCTACGAACCATTGGAAGCTGATCTATATGAACTTCAATCTCATGGACCTTTTCCCTCCCTTTAAAATAGTATCATCTAACTCTTTGCTTCAGATGACTCGGGCCGTTGGGGAAGAGGAGGCTTGTTCACAGCTCTGGGGAATCGCTCTGACCATCCAAGGAAAATATATGAGCTGGCAGGAAAGATGAAAGGTAAGCAAGAGATAGGTAAAAGCTACTGTAGTTTTAGGGGATTCCTCCTTTTTAAACTGTTATTTTTAATCAAATGATCTCATTTATAGTGTAAGCATTTAAGATGCCTCATTTGGACAGTCTGTATTCTTATTTTCTCTGCCTTAGATTAAACTGTTTGGAATGAACAGGAAATTGTTCCTTTTACTTTCTTGTTCATTATTGTCTGTGAGGAAAGAGCTACCATCCCTTCTAGGGCAGAGTAAAGCTATAAGAGAAGCCTGTGCTAAGATTAATTGGATGACAGTTGCTTCATGTGTTCACTTCCAGTCTCTTACCTGCCAGGTGTAAGTAAACTTCCGAGTGAATGTATTTGGTGCGTAAATTTATCTGTTATGCTACATAGATTCCGGGACCTTCTTAGTGGCTGCTTCCAGACTTTGGTATTCCCTCCCTAGAGTAGTTAGACTGGTTCCCTCCTTGTTGTCCTTCTGCCGGCAGGTGAATACCTTCTTGTTCCAACAGGAATTTGGGAGCTGACTACTCCCAAAATAGTCAGTTTATTGATGGGGCTGGTGCCTTGCTGTTTTTGCTATGATTGTCTGTATGTTTTTCATAGATCATATATTCTATTAATGTTTAATGTCTATTAATGTTTGTTTTTTAATGATTGTGGGTTTTTCCTGTGTTTTAGCTGTTCTTATTTTATCTGTAAGCTGCCTTAAGTCCCTATCAAGGAAAAGGCAGGGAATGAATGAATAAGTGAATGAATGACTAGATAAATAAATAAATATCCCTGAATCAGCTAAGAGTATAAACTGGATTCTTCACTCAGATTTTAGCCATAAGCTCACCATGTGGCCTTAAACAAATCTTTCTCTTTTTCTCATACTTGGCTCCCCAGATTTGGAATAATAATACTGACCTACTTTACAAGATTAAAGAATACTGAGATAATGTGGGTGAAATGCTACATAAAACCTGGATGAGATACCGGTTAATCCCATTATTCATATCCCCACATCCCTCCAGTGTGACATCTCAGCACACCTGTAAACAGTTGGTAACCTATAATCCAATGAAAGCTGGCATTGAAAGCATTGCCAGCTGACTGATGGAACATACAACTGTTGCAGTCATAATTTAGAAATTTCCTTCTCTATTGCTTGCTCCTGGCAACTTGATGGAAACAATCTGGATTAATCTACACAGGAGACAGGAAAGCCCAGTTAAGGAGCTAGAAAATATCATACTCTGCTAATTAATTAATTAATTAATTAAATTCTGTTTTGTCTACTATGTTCACCATCTATGAAAAATCAGCATTATGCTAAGTACATGAAAGAGAGAGCAATACAGCCAATCTGACTTTCAGAAATTCATCCTGAGTGCATTTTCCCCTCAGTGTTCCACAGAATTCAGTGTTTTTTCCCGTTGTTCTTAATTATTTTTGTAGACTTGACATTGGGAGGAACTCTTTTATTCCCCATCGATGATAAGGAATCCAGAAACAAAGGACATGACTTGGTAACTATACAGTACAAACAGATGGTTTGCATTTCTTTCGTTTTAGTCATTCCAAATCTTGTTCCTAGCATAAAAGCTAGAGTATCGGAATTGTTCCATACTTCTTCCAGAAGTATAAGTGTATTTGCAAAAAAAAAAAAAAAAGGAGGGGAAAAGAGTGGGAGTGTTTCTTGCCTATAAGCCATGCACTTAATTTTCGGTTTATCTGATCACAGCATATATGATTTCTTCCTAGCTGGCCCTTATTGTAGCACAGCACCGAGACCGTTCGAACAACTTGTCTGGAATTAATCTCCCTGCTTTGGAAAGGGGATTAAAGAAAATTTATCTTGCGGCCAAGGATAGAGATGGTAAGTGTGCCTGTGACAGCGAGTGTGCCAGTTGTTGAGAAGGTTAGTGCCTGAAGTCCCATTTAAACAAGTTGAAAGGGATGGCTGGGACATTCTGATCCTCTAGAATTCCTGCCATATGGGGTTATTCTCTTGGAGAACTCCATGTCAGCAGAAACCCCAGCTGTGGTGAATAATGTCAACTGTTTGGAATCGAAAGCTTCCCACGTTTTCTGCAGTGCACCTGCAGCTTGGGGCAGTCTTAGTTCCCTCGCTGCTGATAAAAGCTTGGAATTCTCACTATCACCACCAGAAGCCAAAACAACTAAACGTTTCTGATAATTTAACCTCTCACTAAAGAGGTTACGTTGTCCCCAACACTCCTAGTTTATTCCCTTTGCATATCTTTCCCCCATGTGCCTATGTGTTCTCAGTGCTGCCTTTAATAGGGTTACTTACGTAATTATGTTTATTTATTTGGATGGTGTCGTTTTAGTTGCATTTTTAAAAAAATTATTCGGTAAGCTGCCTTGGGTCCTGTGCTGAGAGATAGGCGGAGTATAAATAAAACGAACTGTGCCAAAGACTCTGCTGTTCTTCACACAGGATCAAAGGGGGTTAAATAACTCTTTGCCTCTGGAACAGGTGGCTAATGTTTAGGGCCAGGTTGCACCCCTGGCTTCCGGTTACCTATCCTTAACCTTTTTGGTCCCGTGACAAGAATTTCCTTTGCAATATTAACTACCTAGTTACATATCCTTTGTTTTCATGTGAGCTACAACTCAGACAGCATTTTTCGTTTCTTTCTCTCAGCAAGCGTCCACCTGCCCCGCATTGGATACTCAACCAAAGGTTTTAATTGGTATGGGACAGAGCGTCTTATCCGGAAGTACTTGACAACAAAAGGCATCCCCACATTTGTGTATCCTTCTGAAGTACACATCTTGCAGTTCTAAGTCTGCCATATCTGTAAAAGCCAGAATGTAGAGGTTGGAAATTAATTGCATCTGTTTTACACAGCACATTGGGACCTTCCAAATGTTAAAGCACCAGACTGGCACTGCTTGATGAGTAACAGGCCTTACCACTTTCCCAACAATTTTGGAGGTCATGCTTTGGTTTTTAGTGAGGCCACAAGGTAGTGGTGGAACAGAAAATCTCTGCTCTCTCCCCAACCTCCTTTCACAGGTTTCTTAATACAAAAGGCAGATAAGTTGCAGTTTGTCCTGCAATTCTGGAAGACTACAGCATTACATTTTTATGTCTTTGAGGGAAATGTTATTGCAGCTCAATCCTACACATATTTACTCAGATATGAGTACAGTACTATCATTTTGAGTGGTGTTTATTCCCAAGTACAGTGGTGCCTTGGTTCTCAAACACTTTGGTACTCAAACAACTTGGAACCCAAACACTGCAAACTCAGAAGGAAGTGTTCTGGTTTGCGAACTTTTTTTGGGGAAGCTAAACGTGCGCCGTTTTGAGTGTTACACTTCCAATTTGAGTGCCACACTTCTGATTTAGAATCAGAGAATCATAGAGTTGGAAGAGACCACAAGGGCCATCGAGTCCAACCCCCTGCCAAGCAGGAAACACCATCAGAGCACTCCTGACATATGGTTGTCAAGCCTCTGCTTAAAGACCTCCAAAGAAGGAGACTCCACCACACTCCTTGGCAGCAAATTCCACTGTCGAACAGCTCTTACTGTCAGGAAGTTCTTCCTAATGTTTAGGTGGAATCTTCTTTCTTGTAGTTTGGATCCATTGCTCCGTGTCCGCTTCTCTGGAGCAGCAGAAAACAACCTTTCTCCCTCCTCTATGTGACATCCTTTTCTATATTTGAACATGGCTATCATATCACCCCTTAACCTCCTCTTCTCCAGGCTAAACATGCCCAGCTCCCTTAGCCGTTCCTCATAAGGCATCGTTTCCAGGCCTTTGACCATTTTGGTTGCCCTCCTCTGGACACGTGCCAGTTTGTCAGTGTCCTTCTTGAACTGTGGTGCCCAGAACTGGACACAGTACTCCAGGTGAGGTCTGACCAGAGCAGAATACAGTGGCACTATTACTTCCCTTGATCTAGATGCTATACTCCTATTGATGCAGCCCAGAATTGCATTGGCTTTTTTAGCTGCCGCGTCACACTGTTGGCTCATGTCAAGTTTGTGGTCAACCAAGACTCCTAGATCCTTTTCGCATGTACTGCTCTCAAGCCAGGTGTCACCCATCTTGTATTTGTGCCTCTCATTTTTTTGCCCAAGTGCAATACTTTACATTTCTCCCTGTTAAAATTCATCTTGTTTGTTTTTGCCCAGTTCTCTAATCTGTCAAGGTCGTTTTGAAGTGTGATCCTGTCCTCTGGGGTGTTAGCCACCCCTCCCAGTTTGGTGTCATCTGCAAATTTGATCAGGATGCCCTTGAGTCCATCACCCAAGTCGTTGATAAAGATGTTGAATAAGACCGGGCCCAAGACAGAACCCTGTGGCACCCCACTAGTCACTCTTCTCTAGGATGAAGAGGAACCATTGATGAGCACCCTTTGGGTTCGAGTCCCACTGTCAGGGGTTCAGGAGCAGAGGCACAGGAAAGGGAGGAAATAGAGAGCGAGGGGGAGGAGTCCGAAGGAAATGTTAGCGATGACAGCGGTCCGAGGTCTCTGAGTCTTTCCAGCGAATCGGAAGATTCACAGAAAGGGGCTCCCTTGGTCAGAGCAAGGGGGTGCCGAGGGGGACACCCCAGGAAGAAGGGGCCAGAGGGGACTCAGAGAGCAGCAGTTGGAAATCAGGACCAGCGTCCACACCAGAGTGCAGTAGGGGAGGAGTCCCAGGCATCGGGATCAGGCGGCGCACTGCCAGTGGGAGGACATGAGTCAGGATTGGCCACGCCTCCATCGGGGAGCGAGGAAACGGTCGAGAGGAAGGTTGAAGGCTGGGGGCGCGCGCCAAGTTCAAATGTACAGGAGGGCGGCGCAGTTGGCAGCCCGGATAGGGAGCCAGGTCCCAAAGCCCGCCGAAAGAGGGGGAGGAGTCAGGAGGGTCAGCGTCAGAAGAATCCAGGAAGGAAGGGACCCCGGGGGGTAGCAGGACCCAGAGGAGAAAGGAGAGACGTAAGAGGTGGAGTAAGGCTAGAATCTTAAACTGGTGTACAGGGGGCGGAGACTCAGATGGAGCTTCGCCGATCTAACCCCTAGACGTAGAGCTGGGGCGCTCCGGCTTGAAAATGGAAACTGTACTTCAATAAAGACTTTTGCACATTACTGCCGGCTAGCGTTGGTCCTCTGTGAGCTGGGACCTGGAGCCAGCTCTGACACCCACATTTCCATTTTGAGTGTTACACTGAGGTCTGTCTGTTTTTGCTATTTATTTTGCATTTTTATATTTGCAGCTCTTTTTTGTTTTTGTGCATGTGTGGAACCCAGTTCAGCTACTGATTGATTGATTGATTGATTGATTGTGTGACTGCAGTACATTGTTTATTGCTTTCATTTTATGGATCAATGGTCTCGTTAGATAGTAAAATACATGTTAAATTGAGTTTTAGGGGTTATTTTTAAAACTTTGGAATGGATTAATCCATTTTGCATTACTTTCTATGGGAAAGCACGCCTTGGTTTTGGAACGCTTTGGTTTTGGAACGGATGTCTGGAACGGATTAAGTTTGAGAACCAAGGTACCACTGTAAGTGTACACAGATCGCATTAAAATCTGCAATCATATGTAAACGAGCTCCGTGCATAAGTACGTAAATATTTTACTTCCTGACTAAAGGTAATAATAGTTGTAGGTATTTGCTGAGAACTCCTTAACTATTCTCTTTAGATACTACTTTCCTAGAAACAAGGCATCATCTTCACAAGCATCCACATCAGCATCATCACTGCAACCATAAAGGTGTTAAAAAATCAATTAGAAATAACCACTCACAGTTCACAGTGCTGCTTCCTGCTCTTTCTGCAGCCGGTCAAGATTCATGTTGACTTTCTTTATAATTGTTTATTTAAGCAGGCACACAAGAAGCATGTTTAGAAATCTGTCTCTCTATATCAGTGATGCACACCAGAAATTTAGACAGAGTTCCATCATGCATCCAGGTTTTTAGAACAGAAGCTGTACTTTTGCACTTCACCACAAACAAGCCTCCTAAAACTGGCTTGAGTATTTGGGCTTGGATAAGACTTGTTGACGCTGAGTACAGTTGGAGCCACACAGCGGACAAGAGCAGCACTATAGCAGTGTGACTTGGGCTTCCATCTCCCAGTGAAGTACTTTTTAAAAAAACTTTATTTTTTCAAAACATTTGAGAACAGCTGTGTTTTTAAAATAAACCACTTTTGTAAAATATGACTGAATTGTCTAATCTTTAAGTGAAGTGGGTTCTACTACTTGGAAGAACATAAAGCTTTGTGATTGACAAGGTGGGCAAAGATACCAAATTAAAAGCTGTCTTCTTAGGGCCACTGAAAATGCTGTGTAGATCTTGCAAGGGCTGTCATGTTTGCAAACTGCTGATGAAGTCAATCAGCCCAGTTAGGTTAATATTCTCTGTGCCAACAGTTGCCAGGAAAGTATCTACTTTGTGATGTAAGCTTAGCCCAAAATGTTGCTATGGAAACTAATTCACTAAGGATGCTTTAGGAAAAGGAGCAGAAAAAGACACAACTTTGTCCCTTGACCCTGGCTGGAGGTGGTGCCATCAAAGTGTCTGCGTGCTTCAGGGAGAAAATCGGGCAGTTCTGGGACTGGTGCTGGAAAAGACAATAAGGCCTAACTTGCCCTCTGTGAGAACCAAACACTGGCGGTTTGGGTGATGCCCCTAGAACCTTAATGGGGTCTCTGGTGGAGTGTTAATGTTGGGAACCCCTCCATTTCCGTTCAGCCTGAATATATATGTAAAATAAGCCTCAGACCATTGAGAAAGCCACCAGCCTCCAGTAAACCTTTGATCAAAGGAAGCCAGATGGAAGGTATGTCCTGAAACACTTGGGCTGCTCAGAGCCTGGGGGGTGGAGAATGATAGGATATTTAGAAAAATGAAATAACTTGCCCAGGGTGCTGCCAATGATCTGAAAGGCTGCCTCCATTCCTACCAACCTTTTCAGGAGTTAATATTTGCATGGGGGCAGCCTCTTGTGTTAGTTCCATCCACCATCAGAAGTGTGGGGAATGGAGGGTCTTCTCGGTAGTGGCACCCGTCCTGTGGGACGCCCTCCCACCAGATGTCAAGGAGAAAAACAACTACCAGACTTTTAGAAGACACCTGAAGGCAGCCCTGTTTAGGGAAGCTTTTAATGTTTAACAGACTATTGTATTTTAATATTATGTTGGAAACCGCCCAGAGTGGCTGGGGAAACCCAGCCAGACGGGCAGGGTATAAATAAATTATTATTATATTATTTACCGCTGAAGATTTCATATTTTTTAACCCTGACATTTTTGTCACGCTCATCTCCTTTTGCTGAAGTTTAAACTGTTCTCCATCTGGAACAGTACCTGCATTGCAGAGGGTTGGACTAGATGACCCCTGGGTTCCCTTTCTAACTGGGCTTCTATTATCATTTTTTTTTATAATTGCATGCTATATGGCTGTCACCACCCTGGGACCTTCTTGTGAAGGGCAGGTAAGAAATCTTAAAAGGGAAGAGGTGTGTGCAAAGAGACATTTTTCTGGGACTTAGGCTCCTGGGCCTCAGTTTGCCAACATCTAACTAAGGAGGGGGGAAGGCATGCAGCAGGAGGAAGAAGCTGGAGACCACCTCCCCAAAGGTGGACAAAGACAGCAAACGGGGCCTTGAGGGAGACGGACTCACAGCTGAGAAGACTTGGGAGACACGTACAAGAAACAGGGGTGGAGAAAGCAGAAATCTGGCAAACCCTGAAGGCCAGCAGCCCCATCCCCTTTGCTCCCATCCCCAATTTCATGAGAGAAACTGGGAGGCCTGAAAGATGGAGCGTGGCCAGGGACAGGACTATTTGCAGGAGTGCACAATTGCAGAGCAGCTACAGTCTTGCATCCTACGGAAACTCCATGCACCCCAACTGCCATGATGTACGGGCCTCGCCAGGATGTGCCCCAACTGCCATGATGTACAGGCCTCACCCAGCTGCAGCCAACCCACCGGGAAACCCATCCTATCGAGCACAATCCGGCCTTGGGCAGCTGGGCCCATGACATCCCCTACGGTGGGCAAAAGCCAAACTCAGAATGTCAGAATGACAAAACCTCTGGAACGACTGAGGCACCTTCAAATATGTAGTGTGATTTGTTGGCTGAGATCATTTACTTTCAGAAGCAGGCACTCTGGTATGGCTTCCCTGTATCACATACGCAGCCCAACAAGATAACAAGAAACCACTGACGGCACATGAATCAATATGACTCAACCTTTCCCACACACAGATGCAAACAAATCTCACTGCAGCCAACTAAAGACAACCAACCACGCCCTGCCCCCAACCTCTCTCACTACTACCAAGGAAAAATATAATAAAACGGATAGAAAGAGAACCTGCCCAAGTGACACGGGCATAAAACCCCACAGACACACTTAGGTATTATTGTCCCAACCCCCCCCCCTTCTTCCCCAGCCTTATTCTGTATACAACAATAACCTTTTGTACATAATGTTTTTACATCAAATATAAAAAAGACTCTGCAACTTGAAAAAGAGAGAATGCACGTTGTTTTGTAAACCAAGGAAATCTTTAATATATATGTTTTTAAAGGCACACCTATGTTGATACAGCAGAACCAGCAGATAAGTTTTGAGTGATAATATTACATGTTTTATTTTAATTATCCCATATTTATCCACGTTTGATAACTTTTTACAATGGGAGTGGTGATGTAATGGGACGTTGAGGGACCTGCACAGTTCCTTGGGGCTGTTTTCAGTTCATGTGAAGGGTCTTAGAGGCTCCTCTGAAAATTCCATTCATTGATTGCCCCTCATCCAAAAATTTCAGGGCATAAAAATACAAAACAAAAACAAAAAAAATACAGAATAAAAACAAGGGGGGAAATCAATAACCACCCCCCTCTCCCACAAAAACATTCAAGGCCTCAGTTCACAAGGAACGTTTTTCCTTGGTATCTATAGGTAGTATAATGAAGCCACCAGGTGAGCCTCACTTGGGAGAATAAAGCCCCTTTTATTTTTTTATTTTTTTTTAAAAAATTCCTCATTCTTGGTGCCTGTTGGTGGACCCAGAAACATGGCACCATTTCCTTCAGCCCTTTTCTTGGAAATGCAGGCAGGGCACTGCTAGAAAGCAGGAGGGAGGGCAATGTCTTCCACTCCGAATCTCTCTGTGTATGTGTGTTGGGGGGCAGGCAGGGGGCAGAGAGAGTTAAAGGCTTATGTCCTGGTTATAGAAGAAACCTTTTTGCCTGCTGCCTAAAAAAATATGATGGTAGTCCCAGTGCAACTATACAACTGTGAAGCCTTTTCTATCTCTGGTAATTGACTAGAGGATAATTTGTCTGTGAAAGAAAGAGTTCTGCGTCTTGCCAGGGAGATTGAGAATTCTAAGTTCCTTTTATCCATTTTTTTGTTTTAGATCCCTTTTTCCAGATTTACCCCAGTGAGGGGTAAATTAAAGGGCAGGGCAGGTGCTTGATGAAGATACCAAGTGTTGACGTGGGTCTGAGATGGAGAGAGAGAGAGAGCCCACAGTCCATTGGGTGAGGCCTTGGCCAAATCTGACTTCACAATGGGCTGTGGAATGTTTTGCTTCCCAGGAAACCAGGTGAGTTGTTTGAAAGAATCCTGAGATCAGTTAAAAGCTCAGTCAACTGTCTCCTTCAGATCAGTTGACACCAGAGATGTCTTGCTGCTTTAGAGAACTGTCTTTTTTTGGATCAGTTGACAGTGGAAACATCTGTCTCCTTCGGACAACTATCTTTGGCTCAGTTGAAAGCCCAGAGAATGGTATTCTGCCTCCCTTGCTGCCACAGAAGGTAAGGTAAGCCAAAGTGAACTTCTGCAACCAAAGAGGAAAATGATATCACAATTATACAGCTTGCTCCTTGAATGGGAACTGAAAGATGAGATAATAAAAGAACCAATGATAAAATGGTCACAAGAGCTGGGCCAGACAGATGGGAAAGATTATGGAAAACTGATATAAATTTTACAGTGTGCTATTCGATTAAGGAAAATATAACGAAGATGTTTTACCGCTGGTACCTCACCCCAGTGAAACTATCAAAAATGTATAAAAAACAATCAAATCTCTGTTGGTGGTCACGATATATCATATGTGGTGGGGGTGCAAAGTGGTGAAACAATTCTGGATTATGATGCATGAAGAGCTTTAAAATATATTTAGGAGTTCAATCTTTAAAAAACCAGAGGCATTTTTGCTGGTTTTAGTACTGAGTGACATTCCTAAGGATAAAAGGAATGTATTCCTTTACGCAACCGCGGCAGCCAGAATCGTAGTGGCAAAAAATTGGAAAACTGATAAAATACCAGAATTATTAGAATGGAGAATCAAATTTCTTGAATTCATGGAGATGGCAAAATTAACAGCATCAACTAGATGCTACTCTAATCAAAAAAATAATAAAGAGTGGGAATGTGTTTAGGGTTAGGGTCAGTGTAAATGAAAACATGAGACTTATGGTTTTGTTACATATTATTTTATTTTGGAGTTGTCTGTTTATTTTGGAGTTTGTTGTTGTAAAGAATGTATATTATGTGAATAAAATAAAGGAAGAAAATCTGGGATTAAAAAAAAAAGAAGGTAAGATAAGCAGGGAAGAAGGGAGACATGCTGAAGCCTTGGTCGTCCCCCCACCGCATGAGCAGTTTTAAAAGTTGCTCCTTGGTTATTTGACCTTCATAAATGCCATGCTTGCAGGGAGTGTTCTGGTTAATTTTCTGAGGGGTTTTTTTTGGGGGGGAGGGTGGTTGTCTCCATCCAAATGACAGGAGAATTACCAACTCCCCCTCAAAAAAAAAATCAGTAAAATGCTCCCCCTGTCCCCAATTTCACCACCCACAAATAGGAATTTCTAGGAGCTCGTTTTTCACTCAGCCCTAAAATACACACCCTACCTCTGCAGGGCTCACACCTGCACCCTTAAGTACTCCTTCCCTCGGGTGCATTGCCAGCACCTTGAATTAGTTTCTCAACTCCCAATTCCTATCAGTCCTAGACAGCAGATCCAAGATGTCAGATGTCATGGAGTAGGGGGAGGAGGAAAATTAGAATCTAGACACATAAAACAGAATGAATTAGCATCATACCATTGGATAACTAGTCAGGAGTTTGTCCTGACCCTGATTGTGAATTGCCAAAAGTAGCCTCTCACTGTCAAGTGTGGAAAGTGGACCAAAGGACCTTTTTAGGAAAGCAGACCCTGGGATCAGTTCTGCACTCAAAATGAAAAATTGTGTCACTGTGGAAAGAGAAGTGACTGGCTGTGACCTTTGTCTGTTTAAAAAATTGTGGTGACTTAATGGTGCCGCTCTCGAGGCTTCACCCAGGGCAAAAAACCTGGCTTGCCCCCCTCACTCCCATAGCTCTGGGTCATAACTCTTTGTGGAGCACATGCGCTGCATGCAGAAGTTCAATCCCCTATGGCATCTCTAGGTAGGGCTGGGAAGGAAAGACTCCTGCCTGAGGCTTTGGAGAGCCACCTGCCGGTCAGCATGGAGGTGGACCAATGATCTGACTGGACAAGGCAGCTCCTTAAAGTCCCAGCAAGGGTGTCTCTTTGGGCATCGCTCCCAGTCCAGGAAGAGAGCGGGCTCCATCTCTCTTTGAAAGGCAGAACCCAACTTTTTTAAAAAAAGGCAGGGGGAATCTATTTTAGCTGTGTTGTTTCCAAACCCTGGTGGGATTTGGCCTCTGTCTGACGTTCCTCCCCTTTCCGCCTTCTTTGTGCACAGCTGTTTATGATGGAGGCTTCTCACCTGTGGTTCCTGCACATCTCAACTGTCCTCTTCTACCACTTCCCCAACCTTGGAGAGTCTCTAAAGATCCCAACTAAGGCTGCTTCTGCTTCTCAGCTGGAGACCCTCCAGACCGTTGTGCAGGCCATGCCTCATTGTGGGTGGTTCATGAGCAGAGGGAAACGGTCCCTCTCCCCAGCTCATAGGCCTCGCTCAGGAGGAAAATTGGAGGACAGCACTAGATGAGCCCTGCAGCAACTGGATCAGGCCCAAGGAACCCTGCTAGAGTGGCAGCCTGTTCTCAGAAGGGCCTACAAGCAGCATGGCAAGAGGCCAATGATAAAAAGGGAGACCATAAAACCATGTTTCCTTGTTCAAAGGTGGGAAACTGCACAGGCCAGCCCTGGTGTGTGTATTCTTCCTCCGTCTTGTCTCTCTTCAGATCCACAAGTGCTCTACCACTTCATCGACACTTCAGAAGTGCCACCCTGGGTATATAAGCTGGTGGTGTCCAGCCCTTCAGAAAGGAGGCAGGTACTTACTCCACAAATGGATCAGATCTGGAGCCAGACTATTCTCCGTGTGGCTGTTGCACATTCATCCTCCACTTCCCTGCTTTTTCAGTCATGGATGTTTCTTGCTATTCGGCTGCTTGCTGTCCAGCTGTGGGCGAAGCTTGACAAGATGCCTTCAGCCTGAGTTTGGGAAGGTTTTGAAGCTCCCACCATAGTCCTTCACCAAGAGGAACAGACAGCAGCCACCCCATAAGAAGGGAGCAGCCCCCGCAAGAGACGAGAGCATCTCTATACTCCCAAGTATCTGTTTCTTTAAAACATATTAGCATTTTTTCTTTTGTTTTATTATTATTTTTGCTTTTAAATTACTTTATTGAACTTAAAAAAATAACACAAAATCAAAATTATCCATAACAAATAAACATAAAAGAATTGTCAATATCAATCACACTTGAACAGTCGTCTTCTAGTTCCATTGACTTCCCGCCAACTGCATCTAACTTTAAATGTATATTTATCTAGTGCACTGTGTCTATTTTAACTAATTGCTTAGCCAAGATACTGTACTTTCTTAAACTTGTTCGATGTATAACAGAAGCTATTCAAAGGCTGCCACAGACTTTATGTTGTTGCAATCTTTTATGTAACTTTTAAATAAACCCCATTTATTGAAAAATCATTAATGTTTTCATTTATTTTCTAAATTACAGTAGTAGCACCAATGAAACAACAAATTGTCCAACAACAAACAACTAAAATTTGTCCTGGTATTTGTACAGACTTGTATCATTATAATAAAGTTTAATTTTTTATACTTTTTATTAGTTTTACATTTTTAATTTTACATTAAAACATAAGGTACAATAATAAAATACATAATTCTCTGACTTCCTTCCTCCCCTCCGTGGCCACTAGCATTTTCTTCTGCATCTCATACCATCCTCCATTTATCTATAAAACTCAAGTCTTAACCATAGCCTTTTTTTACATGGAATGTGTTATTGTAGTCCTGCATGTTTTTAACTGTTTACAATGTTCTTTCAAATAAATTTCCCAATCTTTATTAAAGTTTTTATCATCCTGGTTTCTGATTTTTCCAGTCATTTTCACTATTTCAGCCTAGTCCAACATTCTTGTTATCCACTCTTCTTTTGTAGAAATCTTCTGGTCCTTCCAGTTCCGGGCTAAGAGCATCTGGCTTGCAGTCGTAGCATACATGAACAATCTTTTCTGCCCCCTTGGAATCTCTGCACCTAAAATTCCAAATTAAAAAAGCTGCTGTTTTTTTAACAAGTGTTATTTTAAACATTTTTTAACTCATTATAATTTCCCAGTATGCTTTTACCTTTTTACAACTCTACCACATATGATAAAAGGTGCTCTCTTTTTCTTTATATTTCCAACATATATTTGAACTATTATACATTTTTGCTAGTTTACTGGGAGTTAAATACCATCTATACGTCATTTTCATATAGTTTTCTTTTAATGTACCGCATGCGGTAAATTTTAAATCTTTCCTCCACAACTTCTCCCATGCAGTTGTATATTATAACCAAAATCTCTTGTGCATTGTATCATTACCAATTTAACCTCTTCATCCTTAGTATCCTATTCTAGTAACATCTTATACATTTTATACATGCATCTTAAGGCAGCCCTGTTCAGGGAAGCTTTTAATCTGTGATATTTTACTGTATTTTTTGTTTCTATGGAAGCCGCCCAGAGTGGCTGGGGAAACCCAGCCAGATGGGTGGGGTACAAATAATAAATTATTATTATTATTATTATTATTATTATTATTATTATTATTATTTTAGACAATGTTTTTACATTATTTTCTACCAGTTCCTTTTCAAACCTTGACATTTCATTACTAAATCCATTCCTTTTGTCAGTTTTAAATACATCATTTAATTGGTGATTATAATATTACTGATTATAATAAAGTTTCATTGAATTATTTCTAAAGGTCTCCTTTGGTGGTTTCCATCTGTGATCTAAGCCATTGTCTCTCAACCTTGGACCTCCATCATCCCTGACCACTAGTCCTACTAGCTAAGGATGATGGGCATTGTAGTCCAAAAACAGCTGGAGGCCCAAGGTTGAGAAGCACTGATCTAAACAATTCACATATTCGATAAACATTTGCCTTGTATTCAGTGTTCAGATCCTCCCCTTTCTTCCAGGATCTGGGCAATCTGCATCTGTGCAGGTGTTAACAGAAATGCTGGAAGCTCATTACTGGGCTAACCTTGAGTGATCAAGAGTCTTAATTCCTAGCAGCATCACTGCAGGAGACAATTTAACCACCATGTTACATACTAAGTTATTTTTTTAAAATACATTGCTCCAGAAAGTTTTAGTGTTATCACAGTGCCACCACACATGGATATTAACAGCACATTTCCCTCAACAGTTGGGGCCAACTTCTTTAGCTATCTAGGATAGCCTTACTGGTGCATAATGCCACCTGTGCAATAACTTTAACGCAGACTCCCGGATTATGACAGAAACTGATTTCACTGTCAGACCACAAGGCGGCCTATTTTTCATTAGTTATTTGAATTTCTAGGTCCATTGCTCAGGGCATTTCTAGGTCCATTGCACTTAAAAGATTGCCATATTCAAGGGCTATTAGGGCTCTATACATTGAAGACACTATCTCCTTAAACAATTGAAAAGTTAACAAAAATGTCTTCTAAAATTGTCAGATTCTTGCATGCCTGGGCAGAGATATCTGGTTTTAAATGGAATCCTAACAGCTGATTAAGGTGATATCACAATCATTTGAGATTTGGTAGATTGACAAGGAAAAGTTCCCTTCATGTGAGAATACCATTTACATTAAAATATTTCAGCTGTTCTGTTCCCAACTGCTCCAATCCGGCCATGCCCCCTGCCTCCTGAAAAGACAGGTGAAATCGGTGGGGTGGGTTGTGAGAGGAGAGCCCAGCAGGACTAGCTTTAAAACCTTTTGATTTCCATATGGTCACTGTAGCACATAGGAAGGGGTTTGTGTCTTAGCAAGCACAGTTAGTAAGACCTGCTCTATAGACTGGTTCTGAAAGTTCTGTTTTCACACATGGTTTCCCCTTCAGCTGGTGGATTAGCGCCATCAAGTTTTTAAATTGAAAAAGCATTCTACTAAGTTCAGAGATGTGGGATTCAGAATCTGCCCCCACAAACACTCCCATATACAGTTCCAGCTCCCAGCCGTGCCCTCTTCCCCTCATGTATAAACTTGTCTGTTGTGTGTTGCCATATTTTGAATTGCTGAGGCATAATTACAATTGGCAACACTGGAAGAGAAATAAAAAGCTCAGTTGGTTCTCTTCTTTGGTAACACCCCTGAATCATTTTCCTCCTCTGTTCCACCAATCTTTGTGGGAATAATAAATACTGCACTGACCTATGCAGGATTGCTGTAAGGATTTCTGAGATAATGCACGTGAAAGCCCAATACAGTAAATGTATGCCTTTTTTCTGTCATGGTGGAGCACAGACATTTTGATTTCATTTAAAAAAAACGTTTCTGGTTGCTTGGTGTTAATTTTTAATTTTTTCCTTTCTGTGGTTGCTCTGTTTAGTTGCTTCACGTCAGCTAGTCTTTAGGATTCAAGACATAAACCTATACATGCTTACTCAGAAGTGTCTTACTATGTTCAGTTGGGCTTACGCACAGGTGAGTGTGCATAGGTTTGAAGACTTAGCTGCCATCCCAGGTTATCTGTAAAATTCATATCCAGACTGGATATTGAATGCATCTTCTCTCTGTCAACATGAACACAGGTTGATGTGTGCACACTGCAAGTCCCCATGCAATACAGAGGTGGCCTTTTTGCATACTAAGGGAGGAAAGCTTGTTTCGAACTGTATATTGTAAGGCAATAATGTTTCTCCCAACCATATCTATTTTAAACTTTATTTCATTCCATTTATCTGTTGGAGATAAATGGGTTGTACCTAATCCCTTTCCTCACACGTTTTCCCCTCACAACAAACCTGTAAGGTAGGTTTGGCTGAGAGGTTGTAATTGGCTCAAGGTGACCATGTAAGCTTCATGGGGAAGCCAATATCTGAGTGTGTTATTATGTAGGGGGCAACACAGAGCTCACACAATGATCCTTGGTATCAGAACTGGAATGCTAAAAACAGGTAACCTCTTGAAAGCTCCAGAGGGCACAAAACACCACAGTTTGATTTTTGTGTGCTTCATTGCATGAGGGCTACAAAGTGGTGTGTATTGGAGTTGTATTTAGAAGTCAGACTTTGCACTTTTTCCAGATAAACACCATCACCTCCATCTCACTAAACCGGTGGCAAAGTGGGGTGCCAATCTGTGGCTCATCTCAGGTACCAAAATGTCTTGTTCTAGCCCTGACAGCTGGTGCACGCACTGTACAAAGAGGTGAGTTTTCTTTGGGCAGTAAATAACAGCAGAATGCGATCAGGACATTCTCAACACTTACTCAACATTAGATAGACTGTGAGCAGATGTTTCAGCAAGTCATGCACACGCTCAGGGTTCTCTTGGGAAAGCACTTCACATCCCCAAACAACAAATTTTAGAGGCTTTCCTCGAATTGCCCGCCTTTGGTGTCTCCTGTCTCCATGGCTCAGGTGATTCTCAAGGCATTATGAATACTACAGGCACTGTACACATTCAAAATGAAAAGTATATGCTTACTTTTTATATACTAGAACCTCTGTAGGGCAGCTTGAATATTCAGTGTATCTGATGTTGCATTTTGAATCTGACAAGGACCAAGGTAACTGAACAACTTCCAGATATGTCAAGTTATTACTTGGCTAGTTATATTGCATGCCCATCCATCCAGGGTCTATTTTTATTTCTTATCTAACTTTATGAAGTTGTATCACAGTTGATTGTTAACCATTCAGGCATGTTGTAGTAGTGAAAGTAATAGTGTCGTTGGCATATAGTAAACTGTCAGGGGTTCAGGAGCAGAGGCACAGGAAAGGGAGGAAATAGAGAGCGAGGGGGAGGAGTCCGAAGGAAATGTTAGCGATGACAGCGGTCCGAGGTCTCTGAGTCTTTCCAGCGAATCGGAAGATTCACAGAAAGGGGCTCCCTTGCTCTGACCAAGGGGGTGCCGAGGGGACACCCCAGGAAGAAGGGGCCAGAGGGGACTCAGAGAGCAGCAGTTGGAAATCAGGACCAGCGTCCACACCAGAGTGCAGTAGGGGAGGAGTCCCAGGCATCGGGATCAGGCGGCGCACTGCCAGTGGGAGGACATGAGTCAGGATTGGCCACGCCTCCATCGGGGAGCGAGGAAACGGTCGAGAGGAAGGTTGAAGGCTGGGCGCGCGCGCCAAGTTCAAATGTACAGGAGGGCGGCGCAGTTGGCAGCCCGGATAGGGAGCCAGGTCCCAAAGCCCGCCGAAAAGAGGGGAGGAGTCAGGGGGTCAGCGTCAGAAGAATCCAGGAAGGAAGGGACCCGGGGGTAGCAGGACCCAGAGGAGAAAGGAGAGACGTAAGAGGTGGAGTAAGGCTAGAATCTTAAACTGGTGTACAGGGGCGGAGACTCAGATGGAGCTTCGCCGATCTAACCCCTAGACGTAGAGCTGGGGCGCTCCGGCTTGAAAATGGAAACTGTACTTCAATAAAGACTTTTGTACATTACTGCCGGCTAGCGTTGGTCCTCTGTGAGCTGGGACCTGGAGCCAGCTCTGACAGTAAGCTCCATCTCTAAAAGTTTTGCACCAAAAACCTCGTAACGTGAGTGGACGCAGCGAGGGAAGAAGATTGGTGCTTCGCGAGCTCACAAAAGTCAGGCAAGATGACTACAGAACAGCAACTAGCAGCCCTGCAAAATGCAGTGACACAACTCAACGCGGAGGTACTCGCATCCAGGAAAAGGGAAGAGGAAGCGGCTGCCGCCTGCAGGGATCTCAAGCCAGGTTGGAAGTGCTTGCTAAGCAGGGGCAACCGGGACCCAAATCAGAGGGATTGGGCTGGGGAAAGAGGAGGCAGCCTGGTATCTCATTTCGATGGGAATTTGCAGCAGTACCCTAACTTCCGAGCAGACGTGCTGTTTGCGCTGGAACTGCTGGATAAAGACTTTAGAGATGAGCAAGAGAAGGTGGGGTTTATCTTGTCCCATTTGCATGGGGAAGCTAAAGCGTGGCTGCGCAATCTGTGGAGAGATAAGGATCCGGCGCTCCAAAATGCGGATGCATTCATTAAAGCGATGGATTCGTGTTTTTATCAAATATAGACATTGATATCGCCAGAAAAGACATACATGGGCTCAAACAAGGCAGAGCCAGTGAAAGGCCGTACCATTCCCGCCTTTTTGCATGAGGCCAAGCGCTGGGATGGGAGAAGGATTCTGCCCCATCCAGAGACCCTTTTTGGGAAGGCTTGAATGCAAATGTGAAAGATGAGATTGCAAGGGGGGAGAGACCAAAGAGCACTCAGGAGGTTGTCCGGCGGGCGCTGCAAATTGGGGTGCGTCTGGAAGAACGTCCATGGAACAGAGAAGAAGGACGTTGGGGACGTACGCCAGTGAGAGCACCTCCCCTCTTTCCCAAGGATGCAGCGCGTGTGCAATCCCCACCTCCGCAAGGAGAGGGAGAGCAACCGATGGAGATTGGAGGCGCCAGGGCTCAGTCAGCAACCAGAGCCTTAACACCGGGAGCAGTCAAAGCGAAGCCTCCTAGAGGGAACAGGAAGTGCTACATCTGCGACAGTGCTCAGCACATGGCGAAAGAGTGTCCCCAGAGGCTCCACAAGCACACTGCAGCCTCAGCAACAGTAACAGAAGCAACTCAGCAGAGAGAACCACAGCAGGGAAACGACAGAGTCTGGTTGGAGGAAGAGGCACTGGGGCCCAACCAGACAAGTCAATGAAGCCGTCCCCAGAGATTTTGCAGCCCACAGACCCCCTCCCGCCCAAACCAGTGGTGCAGCTCACAGCATCGCTCCAACTACCCAATGGACTCACTATGGAAGTGCCGATTACCATTGACTCTGGTAGTAACGCAGACTTCATAGGACTGGATTTCCTTCAAGAGCACAACATAGCACTCCTGCCAGCCACGCTGCCTCTGAAAGTTGTCACGGTGGATGGCAGGGAATTGCTGGGGGCAGGTGGTGCAGCAAACGCCTCCGATGGTGATGCAAATTGGGAATCACCGAGAAGTCATCAGCTTCAATGTCACCCAACTGTCGGACACGCCTATAGTATTAGGCATGAGTTGGCTGCACAGGCACAGCCCAGCATTGGCGTGGTACCAGCGACAACTGACCTTCGGCTCCTCATACTGTGCGGAACATTGCATTCTGCCTAGCCCGGAAGGGGAAGAGGATGACCCGCAGCTACAATTAGGCACGCTGCAAGCAGTGCCACTCAAGTACGCAGCGTTTTTGGAGGTTTTCTGCGAGAAGGAAGCGGACAAGCTACCTCCCCACAGGTCTTATGACTGCAAGATTGACCTCCTGCCAGGGCGACGCTGCCAACCGGGAAACTGTATTCCATGTCTGAAGACGAGCTGCAGGAACTCAGGGAGTTCATAGACCTCAACTTGAAGCGCGGTTTCATCCAGGAGTCGAAGGCAGTGGGGCGCAGTCCTGTATTCTTTGTGAAGAAGAAGGACACGCCCCCAAAAAGGCTTGTGGTGGACTATAGAATTTTGAACTCGAAAACCAAGCCCACAGCCTTTCCCATGCCCAAGATAGATGACCTGCTCGCAACGGTGAGGAAAGGACGCGTTTTCACAAAGTTGGATCTGCGAGGGCGTACAACCTGATTCGCATACGGGAGGGCGACGAATGGAAGACTGCCATGTTCACGCCCCTGGGCACCTATGAATACAGAGTTATGCCCTTTGGATTACAAAATGGCTCCCACTGTTTTCAAGCCTTCATGCATCACGTATTGGCGGGTCTCCTCTACAAGAAATGCGTCTGCTTCCTGGACGACATCCTGATATTTTCAGAATCAGAGGAGACCCACGAGGGAGACGTCAAGGAAGTTCTGCAGAGACTGCAGGAGCACAGGCTGTACGCCAAGCTGGAGAAGTGCCAGTTCGACATGAAGGAGGTAGATTTCCTGGGCTACAAGTTGTCGGACAAGGGGCTCGCCATGGACAGCGCCAAGGTTCGCTCAGTGTTGGACTGGAAGAGCCCGCGCAATCGGAAGGAGGTCCAGCGGTTTGTCGGTTTCGCCAACTTTTACCGCAAGTTCATCAAGGGGTTCGCGATGCAGACGGCGGCCATTACCGACACGCTCAGCTCCAAGAAGAAGAAGTTCATCTGGACGGAGCAAGCGGAGCAGTCCTTTCAGAAACTCAAGCGTCTCTTCTCGTCCGAAGAGCAGCTACTGCATGTGAATCCCAGCAGACCGATGAGGGTTGAAACGGACGCCTCAGACAGAGCCGTGGGAGCAGTACTGTTGCAGCAAGACCCGCATGGGGACTGGAGACCGTGTGCCTTCTACTCCAGGAAGCTCAGCAAGTCAGAGCAGAACTACACCATCTGGGACAGGGAGTTGCTGGCCATTCATGCAGCATTCAAGGCGTGGCGGCACTTCCTCATTGGAGCCAAACACACAGTGCAGGTCCGCACGGACCATAAAAACCTGGAGTACTGGCGCACGGCAAGGTTCCTGAACCAGAGGCACATACGATGGGCGGAGTTCTTTGCGGATTTCGACTTCAGGATAGAGTACATCCCAGGCGACAACAACATCATGGCGGATGCACTGTCCAGAAAGCCGCAATACCTCGAGGAGGCGGCACCAGCAGCGGCCAAGCACATTTTCGCACCGAAAGCGTGGGCGTGCGCTTCAGCAACCGTGGACCTGGATGCTGTACGTCGAGCACTGCAGGAGGACCCCTTCGCGCAAGCAAAGATGGCAGAGGTGCAAAGGGGCACGGCGGAGGACGACGAGTTCCAGATACGCGACGGATTGCTCATCCGCAGAGGGCCCTCTACGTACCGGGAGACGACCTCCGCGCGAAAGTACTGCAGCAGTTGCACGACGCACCCACCGCCGGGCACTTTGGCAAAGAGAAGACGGTAGAATTAGTAGCCAGAGATTTTTGGTGGCCCAAGATGCGGGGGGAGTCGCGGATTACGTCTCGAGGTGCGACACCTGCCAAAGGGCCAAGTCAGTGCACAAACCGCCGGCGGGACTGCTCGAACCGCTGCAGACACCGCTCGAACCGTGGGAGAGGGTGGCCCTGGACTTTGTCACGGATCTACCCAGCTCGAGGGGCAAGACGGCAGTGCTAGTGGTGGTGGACATGTTCACCAAAATGGCCCACTTCATTCCGTGCGCGAAGGTGGCCACGGCGGAACAGACCGCCAAACTGTTCATAGACCACGTGTTCAGGGTTCACGGTCTGCCACGGTCTATCCTGTCCGACCGGGGCGACAGTTCATCTCGAACTTCTGGCAGAAGCTGATGGGTTTCCTGAACGTCAAGATCAACCTAGCGTCGGCGAGACACCCGCAGACGAACGGACAAGCGGAGCGAGTCAACGCCATCATGCAGCAGTACCTGCGATGCTACGCAAATCAGCAGCCGGCAACATGGGTGGACTACCTGCCGCTCGCTGAGTTCGCCTACAACAACACGAAGCACGTGTCCACGGGGTGACACCGTTCTTCGCCAACAACGGGAGGCATCCCAGAACCTTCCCGGGATTAGCGAGAGCGGGGAGGGGAGCCACAGGCAGCGGAAGCCTTAGCATCAGAGTTGCAGGAGGTTCACGAACAGCTCGGAGGCAGTTAGAACTAGCAAAGCACGCATACAAACTGCAGGCTGACAAGCACAGAAGGGTTGGGGAAGACATACAGGTGGGAGACTGGGTTTGGTTAGCAGCCCAGGCAGTGCCGGCCAGATCGTTAGCGAAGAAGAAGCTAGGGCATAAGCAGCTAGGACCCTACCAAGTCGAGGCACAGGTCAATCCAGTGGCCTTCCGGTTGACACTGCCGGAGGGATCCAGAATGCACCCAGTTTTCCATAGATCAGTGCTCACGCCCTACAAAGCACCTCATAGATTTCAGGAGCCAGGAACGGCACCAGACCCGTTCAGGGAAACGCCCACAAGGGGGTCGCCAAGGCGGGAACCCGTCAACGAAGTCACAGAGATTTTAGACTCGAGATGGGGGGAAGAGGGAGTAGAATATCTTCTCGCCAGAGAAGGTACCCCGGCCAGCGCCAACAGTTGGGTGCCAGACCATGCCTTGGACGAACCTTTTCTCAGGGACGAGTTTCATGCCCTTTTCCCACACAGGCCCATGCCAGCCGAGTATTTCGACGACTGGCTTTTCACACCCACATTTTCAGCTAGCACATTCCAGGGGTTCACCTCGGACGAGGAACCGGCACTAGAAACACGTTCCCCGGAGGGATCACCCTCGGGGTCTGCCTCAGACCGTTCCTATTGGTGGGACAATCAACCAGAGGAGCAGTGGCGCAGGAAGTGGTTGGGGGGTCCTTGGCAGGCAACGTCCCCGGAGGAGACCGGGGGAGAGACGGACATGGACGTGTTGGGGGAGGACCTTGGGTTCGAGCACGGCGGCAAGAGATGGAAGCAGAGGAAATTGAGGTCGGCGAGAGCACGGAGGACGAGCCGGACTTATCCGGCTGGATGCACGCCACGGGGGACGAACTGTATCCGGCACTCACCCCCACAACGACGGAGCACCCAGTACCCACACCTGAAGGAGGGGAGGGGGGAAGGGGGGGGCTTCGAGGGGGGATGGATGTCAGGGGTTCAGGAGCAGAGGCACAGGAAAGGGAGGAAATAGAGAGCGAGGGGGGGAGGAGTCCGAAGGAAAGGTTAGCGATGACAGCGGTCCGAGGTCTCTGAGTCTTTCCAGCGAATCGGAAGATTCACAGAAAGGGGCTCCCTTGGTCAGAGCAAGGGGGGTGCAGAGCGGGACACCCCAGGAAGAAGGGGCCAGAGGGGACTCAGAGAGCAGCAGTTGGAAATCAGGACCAGCGTCCACACCAGAGTGCAGTAGGGGGGGAGGAGTCCCAGGCATCGGGATCAGGCGGCGCACTGCCAGTGGGAGGACATGAGTCAGGATTGGCCACGCCTCCATCGGGGAGCGAGGAAACGGTCGAGAGGAAGGTTGAAGGCTGGGCGCGCGCGCAAAGTTCAAATGTACAGGAGGGCGGCGCAGTTGGCAGCCCGGATAGGGAGCCAGGTCCCAAAGCCCGCCGAAAGAGGGGAGGAGCCAGGGGGGGTCAGCGTCAGAAGAATCCAGGAAGGAAGGGACCCCGGGGGGTAGCAGGACCCAGAGGAGAAAGGAGAGACGTAAGAGGTGGAGTAAGGCTAGAATCTTAAACTGGTGTACAGAGGGCGGAGACTCAGATGGAGCTTCGCCGATCTAACCCCTAGACGTAGAGCTGGGGCGCTCCGGCTTGAAAATGGAAACTGTACTTCAATAAAGACTTTTGTACATTACTGCCGGCTAGCGTTGGTCCTCTGTGAGCTGGGACCTGGAGCCAGCTCTGACATAAACAAAGGGATTTCTGCTACCGGATAATCTCAAACATATGGTTTGGGGAGAGACATATGGTGTTCTTCAGATAAAGAACACATCCTTGTCTTACCCTTGCCTTTATTAGAATGGAGTTGGTAAGATTTACCTTGGGATTACATGTAATATCTGTTTTTGGTGTTTTTTTTGTTTTTGTTTTTAAAAAGCTGTCCCTAGAGTTAATCTCTTTTGAATCAAAAACAGACTTAAGATATACAGTAGAGAGAATATAGTTTTCCTGTTTGATGTTAGAAAATACAGGCTGAAAAATATTTCAGCCCTTTGCTTCCTGGCACAGAAACATGAATCTTACCATATTGGCCCAAATATAAGCCACACCCAAATATAAGCTGCACCTTTAAAATTCGGGGGGGGGAGGGGAGAGAGAATACCCAAATATAAGCCGCTCCCTTAAAATTCTGCGGGCACTCACACCCATTCTGTTTTACCGTATGTCTGTTTCAGCAGCGGTATCATAAAACCCAATTTTTGTAGGGTCGCAAAACTTTTCATGGTCGAAATTTGGAAAAAAAGTGAGGCTTATATTCAGACCAATACAGTAATAGTTTTTATATAGAATTCCCTGATAACCACTGCCATGTCATGGATCACATCCATGTCCACAGAGCCCTGTCCACCCAGTGCTTTTTGGAGCCCTGCCTTTCCTGTATCTATTTGTTCTATGAAATATTAGGAGGCCATGGATCTGAGATTCTTGCGCAATGGGGTTGGACCTTTGAGTTGAGGGTAATGAAGGTTTTTGGAAACACCATCGGAAAATCTAGAGGACGTTTATTTCTTATCATTGCCTTTGGTCCATCCTGGCAGGGAAGTGATGTGGTCTGTAACTGTGTACTGGGCAGTTTGCAGCTGTAATTCTTGTAAAAGTTATGTTTAATGTGCATAAAAAGCTATGTTTGTGTGCCTCGTGTATGAAACTTAATAGTTTACATTTGCAGAGAACTGTAGCAAGTGCAAAAGGCGCATGCACAAAGCTGTGAAAAAAGGGTGGTGTCAGAGCTGGCTCCAGGTCCCAGCTCACAGAGGACCAACGCTAGCCGGCAGTAATGTACAAAAGTCTTTATTGAAGTACAGTTTCCATTTTCAAGCCGGAGCGCCCCAGCTCTACGTCTAGGGGTTAGATCGGCGAAGCTCCATCTGAGTCTCCGCCCCCTGTACACCAGTTTAAGATTCTAGCCTTACTCCACCTCTTACGTCTCTCCTTTCTCCTCTGGGTCCTGCTACCCCCCGGGGTCCCTTCCTTCCTGGATTCTTCTGACGCTGACCCCCCTGACGCGGCCCCCTCTTTTCGGCGGGCTTTGGGACCTGGCTCCCTATCCGGGCTGCCAACTGCGCCGCCCTCCTGTACAGTTGAGCTTGGCGCGCGCCCAGCCTTCAACCTTCCTCTCGACCGTTTCCTCGCTCCCCGATGGAGGCGTGGCCAATCCTGACTCATGTCCTCCCACTGGCAGTGCGCCGCCTGATCCCGATGCCTGGGACTCCTCCCCCCTACTGCACTCTGGTGTGGACGCTGGTCCTGATTTCCAACTGCTGCTCTCTGAGTCCCCTCTGGCCCCTTCTTCCTGGGGTGTCCCCCTCGGCACCCCCTTGCTCTGACCAAGGGAGCCCCTTTCTGTGAATCTTCCGATTCGCTGGAAAGACTCAGAGACCTCGGACCGCTGTCATCGCTAACATTTCCTTCGGACTCCACCCCTCGCTCTCTATTTCCTCCCTTTCCTGTGCCTCTGCTCCTGAACCCCTGACATCCATCCCCCTCGAAGCCCCCCTTCCCCCTCCCCTCCTTCAGGTGTGGGTACTGGGTGCTCCGTCGTTGTGGGGGTGAGTGCCGGATACAGTTCGTCCCCCCGTGGCGTGCATCCAGCCGGATAAGTCCGGCTCGTCCTCCGTGCTCTCGCCGACCTCAATTTCCTCTGCTTCCATCTCTTTGCCGCCGTGCTCGAACCCAAGGTCCGCCCACAACACGTCCATGTCCGTCTCTCCCCGGTCTCCTCCGGGGACGTTGCCTGCCAAGGACCCCCCAACCACTTCCTGCGCCACTGCTCCTCTGGTTGATTGTCCCACCAATAGGAACGGTCTGAGGCAGACCCCGAGGGTGATCCCTCCGGGGAACGTGTTTCTAGTGCCGGTTCCTCGTCCGAGGTGAACCCCTGGAATGTGCTAGCTGAAAATGTGGGTGTGAAAAGCCAGTCGTCGAAATACTCGGCTGGCATGGGCCTGTGTGGGAAAAGTGCATGGAACTCGTCCTTAAGCCAAGATTCCTCCAGAGCATAATCTGGCACCCAACTGTTGGCGCTAGCCGGGTACCTTCCTTGGCGAGGAGGTATTCCACTCCCTCCTCCCCCATCTCGAGTCTAAAATCTCTGTGACTTCGTTGACGGGTTCCCGCCTTGGCGACCCCCTTGTGGGCGTTTCCCTGAACGGGTCTGGTGCCGTTCCTGGCTCCTGAAATCTATGAGGTGCTTTGTAGGGCGTGAGCACTGATCTATGGAAAACTGGGTGCATTCTGGATCCCTCCGGCAGTGTCAACCGGAAGGCCACTGGATTGACCTGTGCCTCGACTTGGTAGGGTCCTAGCTGCTTATGCCCTAGCTTCTTCTTCGCTAACGATCTGGCCGGCACTGCCTGGGCTGCTAACCAAACCCAGTCTCCCACCTGTATGTCTTCCCCAACCCTTCTGTGCTTGTCAGCCTGCAGTTTGTATGCGTGCTTTGCTAGTTCTAACTGCCTCCGAAGCTGTTCGTGAACCTCCTGCAACTCTGATGCTAAGGCTTCCGCTGCCTGTGGCTCCCCTCCCCGCTCTCGCTAATCCCGGGAAGGTTCTGGGATGCCTCCCGTTGTTGGCGAAGAACGGTGTCACCCCCGTGGACACGTGCTTCGTGTTGTTGTAGGCGAACTCAGCGAGCGGCAGGTAGTCCACCCATGTTGCCGGCTGCTGATTTGCGTAGCATCGCAGGTACTGCTGCATGATGGCGTTGACTCGCTCCGCTTGTCCGTTCGTCTGCGGGTGTCTCGCCGACGCTAGGTTGATCTTGACGTTCAGGAAACCCATCAGCTTCTGCCAGAAGTTCGAGATGAACTGTCGCCCCCGGTCGGACAGGATAGACCGTGGCAGACCGTGAACCCTGAACACGTGGTCTATGAACAGTTTGGCGGTCTGTTCCGCCGTGGCCACCTTCGCGCACGGAATGAAGTGGGCCATTTTGGTGAACATGTCCACCACCACTAGCACTGCCGTCTTGCCCCTCGAGCTGGGTAGATCCGTGACAAAGTCCAGGGCCACCCTCTCCCACGGTTCGAGCGGTGTCTGCAGCGGTTCGAGCAGTCCCGCCGGCGGTTTGTGCACTGACTTGGCCCTTTGGCAGGTGTCGCACCTCGAGACGTAATCCGCGACTTCCCCCGCATCTTGGGCCACCAAAAATCTCTGGCTACTAATTCTACCGTCTTCTCTTTGCCAAAGTGCCCGGCGGTGGGTGCGTCGTGCAACTGCTGCAGTACTTTCGCGCGGAGGTCGTCTCCCGGTACGTAGAGGGCCCCTCTGCGGATGAGCAATCCGTCGCGTATCTGGAACTCGTCGTCCTCCGCCGTGCCCCTTTGCACCTCTGCCATCTTTGCTTGCGCGAAGGGGTCCTCCTGCAGTGCTCGACGTACAGCATCCAGGTCCACGGTTGCTGAAGCGCACGCCCACGCTTTCGGTGCGAAATGTGCTTGGCCGCTGCTGGTGCCGCCTCCTCGAGGTATTGCGGCTTTCTGGACAGTGCATCCGCCATGATGTTGTTGTCGCCTGGGATGTACTCTATCCTGAAGTCGAAATCCGCAAAGAACTCCGCCCATCGTATGTGCCTCTGGTTCAGGAACCTTGCCGTGCGCCAGTACTCCAGGTTTTTATGGTCCGTGCGGACCTGCACTGTGTGTTTGGCTCCAATGAGGAAGTGCCGCCACGCCTTGAATGCTGCATGAATGGCCAGCAACTCCCTGTCCCAGATGGTGTAGTTCTGCTCTGACTTGCTGAGCTTCCTGGAGTAGAAGGCACACGGTCTCCAGTCCCCATGCGGGTCTTGCTGCAACAGTACTGCTCCCACGGCTCTGTCTGAGGCGTCCGTTTCAACCCTCATCGGTCTGCTGGGATTCACATGCAGTAGCTGCTCTTCGGACGAGAAGAGACGCTTGAGTTTCTGAAAGGACTGCTCCGCTTGCTCCGTCCAGATGAACTTCTTCTTCTTGGAGCTGAGCGTGTCGGTAATGGCCGCCGTCTGCATCGCGAACCCCTTGATGAACTTGCGGTAAAAGTTGGCGAAACCGACAAACCGCTGGACCTCCTTCCGATTGCGCGGGCTCTTCCAGTCCAACACTGAGCGAACCTTGGCGCTGTCCATGGCGAGCCCCTTGTCCGACAACTTGTAGCCCAGGAAATCTACCTCCTTCATGTCGAACTGGCACTTCTCCAGCTTGGCGTACAGCCTGTGCTCCTGCAGTCTCTGCAGAACTTCCTTGACGTCTCCCTCGTGGGTCTCCTCTGATTCTGAAAATATCAGGATGTCGTCCAGGAAGCAGACGCATTTCTTGTAGAGGAGACCCGCCAATACGTGATGCATGAAGGCTTGAAAACAGTGGGAGCCATTTTGTAATCCAAAGGGCATAACTCTGTATTCATAGGTGCCCAGGGGCGTGAACATGGCAGTCTTCCATTCGTCGCCCTCCCGTATGCGAATCAGGTTGTACGCCCTCGCAGATCCAACTTTGTGAAAACGCGTCCTTTCCTCACCGTTGCGAGCAGGTCATCTATCTTGGGCATGGGAAAGGCTGTGGGCTTGGTTTTCGAGTTCAAAATTCTATAGTCCACCACAAGCCTTTTTGGGGCGTGTCCTTCTTCTTCACAAAGAATACAGGACTGCCCCCACTGCCTTCGACTCCTGGATGAAACCGCGCTTCAAGTTGAGGTCTATGAACTCCCTGAGTTCCTGCAGCTCGTCTTCAGACATGGAATACAGTTTCCCGGTTCGCAGCGTCGCCCTGGCAGGAGGTCAATCTTGCAGACATAAGACCTGTGGGGGGTAGCTTGTCCGCTTCCTTCTCGCAGAAAACCTCCAAAAACGCTGCGTACTTGAGTGGCACTGCTTGCAGCGTGCCTAATTGTAGCTGCGGGTCATCCTCTTCCCCTTCCGGGCTAGGCAGAATGCAATGTTCCGCACAGTATGAGGAGCCGAAGGTCAGTTGTCGCTGGTACCACGCCAATGCTGGGCTGTGCCTGTGCAGCCAACTCATGCCTAATACTATAGGCGTGTCCGACAGTTGGGTGACATTGAAGCTGATGACTTCTCGGTGATTCCCAATTTGCATCACCATCGGAGGCGTTTGCTGCACCACCTGCCCCCCCAGCAATTCCCTGCCATCCACCGTGACAACTTTCAGAGGCAGCGTGGCTGGCAGGAGTGCTATGTTGTGCTCTTGAAGGAAATCCAGTCCTATGAAGTCTGCGTTACTACCAGAGTCAATGGTAATCGGCACTTCCATAGTGAGTCCATTGGGTAGTTGGAGCGATGCTGTGAGCTGCACCACTGGTTTGGGCGGGAGGGGGTCTGTGGGCTGCAAAATCTCTGGGGACGGCTTCATTGACTTGTCTGGTTGGGCCCCAGTGCCTCTTCCTCCAACCAGACTCTGTCGTTTCCCTGCTGTGTTTCTTCTGTTACTGTTGCTGAGGCTGCAGTGTGCTTGTGGAGCCTCTGGGGACACTCTTTCGCCATGTGCTGAGCACTGTCGCAGATGTAGCACTTCCTGTTCCCTCTAGGAGGCTTCGCTTTGACTGCTCCCGGTGTTAAGGCTCTGGTTGCTGACTGAGCCCTGGCGCTCCAATCTCCATCGGTTGCTCTTCCCCTCCTTGCGGAGGTGGGGATTGCACACGCGCTGCATCCTTGGGAAAGAGGGGAGGTGCTCTCACTGGCGTACGTCCCCAACGTCCTTCTTCTCTGTTCCATGGACGTTCTTCCAGACGCACCCCAATTTGCAGCGCCCGCCGGACAACCTCCTGAGTGCTCTTTGGTCTCTCCCCTCTTGCAATCTCATCTTTCACATTTGCATTCAAGCCTTCCCAAAAAAGGTCTCTGACTGGGGCAGAATCCTTCTCCCATCCCAGCGCATGGACTAATGCAAAAAGCGGGAATGGTACTGCCTTACACTGGCTCTGCCTTGTTTGAGCCCATGTATGTCTTTTCTGGCGATATCAATGTCTATATTTGATAAAAACACGAATCCATCGCTTTAATGAATGCATCCGCATTTTGGAGCGCCGGATCCTTATCTCTCCACAGATTGCGCAGCCACGCTTTAGCTTCCCCATGCAAATGGGACAAGATAAACCCCACCTTCTCTTGCTCATCTCTAAAGTCTTTATCCAGCAGTTCCAGCGCAAACAGCACGTCTGCTCGGAAGTTAGGGTACTGCTGCAAATTCCCATCGAAATGAGATACCAGGCTGCCTCCTCTTTCCCCAGCCCAATCCCCTCTGATTTGGGTCCCGGTTGCCCCTGCTTAGCAAGCACTTCCAACCTGGCTTGGAGATCCCTGCAGGCGGCAGCCGCTTCCTCTTCCCTTTTCCTGGATGCGAGTACCTCCGCGTTGAGTTGTGTCACTGCATTTTGCAGGGCTGCTAGTTGCTGTTCTGTAGTCATCTTGCCTGACTTTTGTGAGCTCGCGAAGCACCAATCTTCTTCCCTCGCTGCGTCCACTCACGTTACGAGGTTTTTGGTGCAAAACTTTTGGAGATGGAGCTTACTGTCAGAGCTGGCTCCAGGTCCCAGCTCACAGAGGACCAACGCTAGCCGGCAGTAATGTACAAAAGTCTTTATTGAAGTACAGTTTCCATTTTCAAGCCGGAGCGCCCCAGCTCTACGTCTAGGGGTTAGATCGGCGAAGCTCCATCTGAGTCTCCGCCCCTGTACACCAGTTTAAGATTCTAGCCTTACTCCACCTCTTACGTCTCTCCTTTCTCCTCTGGGTCCTGCTACCCCCCGGGGTCCCTTCCTTCCTGGATTCTTCTGACGCTGACCCCCTGACTCCTCCCCTCTTTTCGGCGGGCTTTGGGACCTGGCTCCCTATCCGGGCTGCCAACTGCGCCGCCCTCCTGTACATTTGAACTTGGCGCGCGCGCCCAGCCTTCAACCTTCCTCTCGACCGTTTCCTCGCTCCCCGATGGAGGCGTGGCCAATCCTGACTCATGTCCTCCCACTGGCAGTGCGCCGCCTGATCCCGATGCCTGGGACTCCTCCCCTACTGCACTCTGGTGTGGACGCTGGTCCTGATTTCCAACTGCTGCTCTCTGAGTCCCCTCTGGCCCCTTCTTCCTGGGGTGTCCCCTCGGCACCCCCTTGCTCTGACCAAGGGAGCCCCTTTCTGTGAATCTTCCGATTCGCTGGAAAGACTCAGAGACCTCGGACCGCTGTCATCGCTAACATTTCCTTCGGACTCCTCCCCCTCGCTCTCTATTTCCTCCCTTTCCTGTGCCTCTGCTCCTGAACCCCTGACAGGTGGAGTCTTTTTTTCAATATTATGTAAACTGAACCCATCCCTGGATCTCTCTCTGAGGCTGCCAGCATATTGAAGAAGCAAGTTGCTTATCTGAATCTCTCTCTGAGGCCAGAGAGAATAAGCAAGAACCCTAAATAAAACTGGGCTGCATTGCTGGTTTGCTTAACAGCAGCGTATTGATTTGTATTTGCAACTTTTTTTGGTAACAAGCTTCAAGATAGTTTGCAGAAAACCCTCGAACTCCTTCCTTGGTGCGGAGCTGAGTGATGCCTCCTCGGCACAAGCTCCAGAGCAGGGGATTCCACAAAATCCAGAGGGGGCATCCCTCGGAACCCCCGTTCTCCGCGGCGGCGCCAGGAAGCCCCGGACCTGGGACTTTGGCAGGGCAGCCCGCGCCCAGGCGCGCCGCCCAAGGCTTGCAAAGGAAGACTATTCAAGGGCAGCCTTCTTCTTGATCCCGCTAGCCCCGACTTTTGGAGAGCGTGCGCACGGCAGAGCGGGGCTGGCCCGCGTTAATAAGCATGCACACGATCGGGCTACCCCTCTTTCTCCCAACCTCCCGCAGAGAGGCCGGCAACTCCCACCCCCCCCCCGGCCGCCTGTCTCTCCGCCGGGAAGCGGCCCTGGCAGTCCGAGGGAAGCGCGCGTCCAGGCCAGGCTCGCCTTCGCTCCGAGCAGGCCGAGGCAGGCAGGGCGGGCGGGCGGGGCGCTGCCGCCGCTGTCCTGGGCACAGGAAGCGGAAAGCGCCGCTGCAGCCGCGAGTCGGAGCCTGGAGCTGAGCCGGAGCAGGAGGAGGAGGCTGGCGCGTTGCGCGCTCCGTCCCCCGGGAGCTGCAGGATGGCGCGGCGGCGGGCGAGAGGTCAGTCGCCTTCTTCCTTCTCCTCCTCCTCCTCCCTCTCCAGGGCGCGGCTTCTCCCACTCCTTCGCCGCCAGCCGGGCGCGATCCTCCTCGCAGAGCCCGGAGACGCGGGGCTGCTTTCGCCCTCGGCGCGCCCGGAGCCGCCCGGTGCGGGACTTGCGGGGAGACCCTCTCGCCTCTGCCTCCCGGTGCGCAGCTGGGTGAGAAGGGAGCGCGGCAGCCCGGCTCCCCCCGCCGCCCTCAGCCCGGCTGTACTTTCTGGCCCCGGGAGGGAAAGTGCCGGTCTGTGCGCCAGCCTCTCCCTTTCGCGGGAGGAGCAGGCCTGACTGCCGCTTCCCAGGAGCCCGGGGCTGGGGGGGGGGGCCCTGTTCCAAACCGGGGGGAACCGCAGCTTCTGAATTTGTGTTGCTTGAGCTCTGGGCTAGAACAAGTTGCCATCCGCTTTGCAGAGGAAAACCCACTGAGCTACTTTTTCTGCTAGCTTGGACGCATCCTTGCCATTGCATCTGGGCATGGGCTGCTTTTACCTCATGCTACGGACTGGTGCCAACTCTGGGGGTGCAAGCAGCATTAGCTGAGGCACCCTGTTTAATGAGTGGAGATGTACCCTGATCTGCCGGGATCTGTAGGGAGAAGGGCAGCGATGAGTGCCTTCTGGTTGGGGCACTGTTGCTTGAAATTGCCTTGGGCACCTCGTGGCAATGGACCCCCAGCCCCAGGGGCCTTTTGCAAGGCCAGCAGGAAGCATGCAGGGCTGAGCGTCGCTGCTGCCTTCAAGCTGCAGTGTGCAACACCCACCCACCCTTGTCCACCCTTCCTGGGACAGTTGGGACCCTCTCCTGGAAAGTGAGAGCACTTTCAGGGAGCAGCATCCATCTGCTGTTTCTGCTTTCAAGCTGGAAAGGTGGCAGGGGTGGGCAGGCAACAGTTCGGTTGGCTTGGCCAAGGCTATTCAGCTGCCTTTGCCATGCAGCTGCCAAACAACTTCCAGCCGTCTTCCCAACTTTGGAAGCTGGGAAGGACAGGGAGCGTGACTAACTGGATGCTGCTGGCATGGGAGGTCTCCAGGTTGACACTTCGCGCCACCTTAGCCAGGTTGCTGGCAACCACTTCCTACCCTTGGAGCTTTGGACTTTCAGCAGGGACAAATGTGTAGTTGCTGAGATGATCTCCACCCAGCTCTGCCGCTCCAGAGTTGGGAGGAATGCTGGCTGCTTGTCGTGCTTACCAGGAGGTGCCACCGCAAGTTGCCATAGTGAGCCTGGCGAGGGGAATTGTTGAAGGCTGATTCCTCCCACATTCCTTCCTTTACAGGCACAGTTACTGCAAAGTGAATGGTGTTTTAGGGAGTCATTAACCAAAATAGGCTAATTCCAGGCAAAAGCCTTGAGCAACACCATATCCTGGAGGTTGCTTGGAAACTTGGGCAGACGTCTAGTGCTGGTTATGATTTGGGATTGCAAGATTTCTTGCAGTAATGCTAGGTACTTTCTAAAGCCGTTGTTTGATTGTATGAGTGAGTTCCATGTAGGAAATGCAAAAATATCAGCATGAAAAGACAATGTAAGAAATCAATCCACTGCACAAATACTTAGCTACACTGTGGGTTCTGGGTTATACACAAGTGTGTCTCAGAATCTGCTTAGATATTATGCATAGAATTAGGTTGCATGCAACCAGTGATTCAACAGGTCTTTCCTACAGTAGAGAAAATATTCCCTTGATGAATGGAAAGTGTGTTGCCCCGTAAAACTCTGGTGTTAAGTAAAAACAAGCTGTTTGAGGCAAGTTCGAAAATACTGCATCTATAAGGTAGCCCTGTGTGCCAATTTAATAGTCTCAGTTGAGACAGTTTAGCTGGAAAAGACTGTAAAGCCTTAAGGAAGAAATCAGTAATGTTCAATTTTATGAAGGGAATATCCTTCAAAAACCTCTGAGCTTGTGCTGTTGGGTGCCTTTAGTAATGTATTGTTGTGAGTTACATCTGCCTAAGAAGAATATTATTACACTTTATTTTCATTTATTTGCATAACTTATTTACACAGTACCCTTAGTTAAAAGTAATGTCGTGCTGGTTCACAAAATATACAGCTATAGCACCCAGGGTTTGGGAAGGAAGGTGGAAAAACCTTACAAATGCCTAGGTGAGTTGATGTTTTGCCTCTTGCTGTAAATCTGCTGAAATAGCTGGTCCCTGATGGAACTCGGAAGGGAGATCATTCCTCAAGGTGGGCGCCATCACAGCTGCTGTCTGGACCACTTAGGTAATAAACTAAATTGGGCATCATCAAGATGAAGCTTGTCTCGTTTTACCAGCTGACTACAGAAATGGTGGTAGAAGAGATACCTAGGTCCATTTCATTCAAAAGCTTATAACAGAAACAGCTCCAGAGAGGTTGATATGTTAGTCTGTTAAAGCAATCAGGGGGAAAATGTCTTGTGTGACTTCAAAGACCAACTGAAAATTTATTGTGCCATAAGCTTTCATAGAGAAGAGCGATTCAGCTCTAGTGCTCAGTGTTTAATTTTTGAGGGTGTAAAGCAGTTCTGCTTTTCAGCAGAGGGCAGCAGCTGCAGGATAGTCCCGCATTACACACACAAGTTGCAGATGGATGTTAATAATTGGTGGCAAAACACACTCAGGTTTGGTTAGGGTGCTTTTGCGTACAGAATAGAGACTGGAATAAGCAGAGCAAACACTTTTTTCAGAAGTTCTTTATGAAAGCACTAATATTAACAATGTTAGAATCTTAAGCAACATTAATGCATCTGATGTCCATGAAACCTTATAGTAACAGTGCAGTCCTTTACTCAGAAATAGAATCATAGAATTGTAGATTTGGAAGGTAGGCAAAGGGTCATCCAGTCTAACCCTCTGCAATGCAGGAATCAAGATACTAGATACTTTAGTTCACGTACTGCTTCTTTGCTGAGTGAATTGCAGGTGACCACCCAGTGTGAGAATAAGCAGCACTTGAACCCATGGCCTTCAGAGATGCTGGCAAGCTCTTTAACCGCCAGACCACTTTGCCTCTCATAGTTTTCACTATATTCATTGACACCAAATGTCACAAGATTATTTGTTGTTCTAATAAATATTTGTAATGCTTCCCAACCAATTTAACTCCTAAACTTTATATTTTTAGATTTTTAGTTAAGCTTCCAGCTTCCCTCTCCAATGCAGACCAAGGTGATTTCAGCGCTTTCTGTCATTGCCTACACTGAATCATATATTGGCTTAATAAACTAAGATATGAATGAGCCTTTTGCTTCTTACATGTAGCTCCTTTGCCCCTCCCTTTGCGATGTGAGCTGTCAAGTCAGGAAGCGTCAAAGAACTATAGTTTCCCATTTAATCTGAACCGGGGGACTGCGGTTACCAGCCATGAAACAAGGCAAGATATAGAACCAAATTTAAACCATGGTTTACAGTGCAATTATATATGATAAGCAACTTAGCTCAGTTGGTTAGAGCATGGTGCAGACGTGTTCACTCAAAAGTAAGTCTCACTGAGTTGAGTAGAGCTTACTCCCAGAATAGCGAGTCTCGGATAATAGCCTGGCTTGTTCCAAATCATGCTTCAGACAAAATGGTAATTATGGCTAATTATAGACTTCTTGTTTTGATTGTTCATGACACAAAGAGAGGACCAAAAGAGCTATTTGCATGGGCAGAAGTCTTGTTGGTTCGTATCTCAGCTTACTGAGCAGAGATGATTATCCAAACCATTGTGGTCTGGTTCACACAGAATGCTGGTTCAGAGATGGTTTAGGTTGACATGCATAGACCACAGTGAACCTTAAATTAGTTTGGCATTTTACTTGTAGTTCTACCAGGTGATCAATAAGAAAGGCTTTGCTGCATTGCCTTGGCAGGTCCTGAGTGATACAGCAGGGTTGTGTTTTGATTAGTGTCTCCAGAGTCCTGGCTGCAGCATTCTGATAACAGACCCTTCTCTTGGTTGTGACCCTCACTCTAAATGTATCCTGACTTTATACTGTCTCAGTGATATTTTTTTAAAACAAGTTTATCCACCTTGTATGCAGTTTCTTTGCCCGCTACATGGTCATTTCATTTTTTGGTCTTATTTTATGTATGGGCCATTGTAAAACACAACCTTCCTTCAGTCGTCTCCCCCCCTTCAGTCATCTTTTGAACACATTAAACAAAACCAAAAGCTTTCGAAAATCGCAATGATTACTTCCTAAATTCAGATACTGCCCTTCCAGTGTGCAAGGTAAAAATCACCAATCCAAGATTAAGAAAATGCACAAGAGAAACCTCAAATTGAACAACAGCATGTTGCATGGTATAGTGCTATACTGATCAGAGTTCAGCAGATCTAGGTGTGACTTCATCCTCTTTATTCATATGTTCAGATAGTTAAGGGCCAAATTGCATGGAAACTTCAGCAGATGTAACAATCGTCCTCTCATCGTGAGAAAAAAGTCTGAGAAATTCTACCTGGACGGCATTTTCAAGCCCGTTTCCCGGCTCTGTCTGGGAAAATCCAGACATATGGCAGCCCTATTTTCAACACACAACTATTAAAGGCACCCCAGGTTCAGAGTGTTTGAATATTAATCCCCAAAAGCAGGAAAAGCACCACTGCAGGAGAACCTAGTATTTGTTTGTGTTTAATAGTCCATCTCATTATTAATATTTACTTTCCTAGGTTTATGTTGAAGATGCTTCCCTAGAACTGAAGACTGAAATTACTGTTCTCAAAATTTTGGGCGGATTATCGAAAATCGGAGTCAACCACCAAAACGCTTTCTTCGGACTTAGTGGCCTGCTTGGGTGCCTTTGTCTTCTGTTCCCCGGCTTCTCTTCCACCATGGATACTGAGTCAACCTACTCTGGATATTCCCACTATTCAGGTCACTCCAAAAAGGCCCAGAGACAAGGGTATGAATACTTTTATCGCAGATCTGGTCTAGAATCTGCCTTCTTCCTTCAGTTGTGTAATGAAACTTTTGTACTGCTTGACACTTGTTTGTCTTGGTGAATGCTCCAGCACAAATCCACAAAAAGAGCGCACGGTCTATGAGAGAGCCCTGAATGCTTTCTTTGCTTATTGTGTCTCTGGTTCCACACAGGACTGGAATGGGGATAGCTGTGGCCCTTCAGATGTTCTTGGGAGTCCAGCATCCATCAGTACCAGCCAGCATGGCCAATGGTCCGGGTAATGAGAATTATAGTCCAGCAAAATCTGAAGGGCCGCAGGTTCCCCACCCGTGATATAGGGGATAGGATGTTGCCTTTTCATTATAATGCTTTTGACCCACATAGTCAGGATACCTCATTCCCTTTGCCATCTTCCATCATATTGCCACTTTCTGCAATACCTAAGGCCCCAGCTACACAATTCCCAGAGTTCCCTAGGAAGAGGGATTGACTGTTAGTGGAATTAGGTATCCCCTTAAGGTTGTGGCCCTGCATTTGCTGTAGCAGCAGAACCACTGCAAAACATTGCCCCCTGCTCCCAACTCAGTCTCCTCAGACAAATACCATGGTGAGAGGGATTCAAAGGTACCGAGAGATCAAGGCGAACCAACAGAGGCTTATTACCCCTCTCCTTTTCCCAGCATAGGTCATTATGCAAGTGACCAAGGCTGTCTCATTGCCAAAAGTAGGCCTGAATCTCACTTGTAACAGAGCTAGAAAAGTTTCCTCCTCCAAGGGTGCCTGGAGTTGTCTTATAAATATTCCCTTTTTAAAATTATATTTTATTCCATTTCACCATTTTAAACAATTTTGTATTTTCCCTTATTTTTGTCGACTTCCTATCCCATTTCCCAAGAAGTTGTTGTTTCTCCCCTTCTGTTGCATCCTGTATTCTATAATCAGATCATAACCACAATATTATAATCTAATTACTTCTGCTGCTCATAGCTCAAATCCTGCTCATGAGTTCATCATGCTGTAATCTTTGTTTAAATAGTCCAAAAAGGCATCCGTTCTTCCATAAGGCCTATAAATCTTCCTGTTTGCTGCAGAAGTTTGAAGTAGCCCAGTAGTTCCCAGTTAGGGGTCCGGGGACCCTGGGGGTCTGTGGAATGCACCCAGGGGGGTCTGCGGCCCCATCCCTTGTCTCCCCCCAACTGATTTTTTGTCATTTTTTGCATGGTGTCAGGGCTGCCTGACACATGGTAATATCAAATTTTTATGTTTGTTTTAGCACTGTTTATGTCTGTTTTGGCACTGTTCAATTTTTCAATATATTGGCCAAAATCGGTTTTGAAATCGCACTGCGCTAACAATTTTGACCTGGCAATACGCAGCAATATATCACTTCTCACACAAGGAAGAGCAGGGCAGCTGATTTCAAGGCACTGCCGATGTCACACAATGTTCTCAGCACGCTGCTGATCTGAGCTGCCTTCCCTCACGCTGACGGAGAACAGGGCAGCTGATCGCCCTCACTTCAAGGCCCTGGCACTGGCAGCTTTCCTTCGTCAGCCCCTAATAAGGAAACAGATTAGGGATGCGCGACATCTGGTTTTCAACATCGTGCTATATCAGCAGCTAAACATCGTGATATTCTGCTGCATCGCTGGACATATATACAGTGGATGTTCGGGTTGCGAATGTGATCCAGGCGGGATGCACGTCCGCAACCCGCAGCGTCCGCAACCTCAGCGGCGTGTCTGCGCATGCGCGGGTTGCAATTTGGCGCTTCTGCACATGCACAAAGTGTGATTTAGCGCTTTTGCGCATGTGCGACCACCAAAACCCAGAAGTAACCCATTCCGGTACTTCCGGTACTGCCAAGGTAACTACCATAGAGTTAGCAAAATTTTCAAAAAGTTTGGGGGGGAGTGTCCGTGGCTTGGCTTTTGAAAAATCGGGGGTCCTCAGTAATTAGCTAACTGGGAACCACAGACGTAGCATAATTCCCTGCCCCAGATTTTCTATAAAACGTATTTCCAATGGGGCTTGCTGTAACTGGTGCTTGTTGGTTTGAGTGATTCCTTTTAAAGTCCGTTTGAAGTTTGCAGAGGAAGAAACCGCTCTGTTTTCAGCAAGTGGTTTGAATTCAATCGGATTCCTGTAAAACTGGCTTCAGCGGCCCATCGGCTGATCTGTGCTTAGAACATGCCCCTTTGGAGACAGGCTTCCAGCCCCAGTGGGGGTCCCTGTAAGGAACATTCCTGATAGCCCCTTCGTAGACGCCTCTGTAGCTTCCCCACGGCTGACGTCACATAGAACGTTAGGAGTGCGGCAATTGGACATGGTGTGGCCTTGCAGGCCAAACTGGGACTTGTGCCAGGTTTAATTAAGCTTGTCCAGTCCACACTACATCTAACAATTTGTGGGGCTGGGAAATCCCAGAAGTGTCATTCTTTCAAGTGGTGTCCGTTATCAATGCATATCAAAATGACTATGTATTATAAAACAACTATTTAAACAAATTTTTCAGTCACATGTCCAACTTACCACATAAAAACAAGATTCCAAAGAATCTCTTGGACTTCCCTCCTCCCCTTTGTGGGTCCTATTGTTAATCATTTCCTCCTGCATCTTTTATGATAATCCAACTTCTTTTACCTCTCCATTATGTCTAAAATTCACCATTAAACTACAAGTGGTATTCCAATCCTACTAATGATTTTAACTGTTTACAATGGTTTTTAAGATAAGTTACAAATTTTCCCCATTCCTTATTAAATTTTTGGTCTTCCTGATTTCTGATGCTTCCGGTCATTTTGGCGTAATCCATCAACTTGATCTGCCATTCTTCTCTGCTAGGAGATTTATCGTCTTTCCATCTCTAAACAAGCTTTTTTTCAACTCCTCACTCTCTCTGATCCACCTGGTCTCTCTCTATACTTTTTGTGCAGAATCACTTCCCAATGGCTTTTCTCGTAATCTGCGCCCTTCTCTCCATTTCACTAAGTTTCTCTCCCTACTCTCTTACTTGGTTCCATGTCCATTGATCCATTTTTCCTTTTTCAACTTTGACAAAAGAAAAAAAAAAATGACAGTTAACTATATAGTTTCAGAAGTCCATAGGCCCCCTTGAATTTAGACATAGTCTCTCAGGGGATGGGGTTTCTGTGCTACTTGACTTGCCTGAGTCTTTATCTGTTTTACTACAGGAGACGTAATTCTTTACAGGTGGGTAACAAGATACTTGTTTCAAGTGGTGTTGATTATCATTAAGGATCGAGCAGGAGTATTCTGAAACAAATAATTTTCTTTTCTGCCAACTCTCTCTGACCCTCCTCTCTCTTTACCTTTTGTGCAGAATCACTTCCCAGTAGCTGTTCCCTTAACTTGTACCTTCCCTCTCTGTCACTTCAGTTTCTCTCTTTGAGTGCTGTCCTAACTCTCTTACTTTGTTCCCCATCCCTTGAAACAATAATCTCTACCAAGCAGTGGCATAGCATGGGGGGGCTGAGGGGGCCATTGCCCTAGGCCCAGTTTATTTTGGGGGGGAAGGGCACATCATGGCGCCTTGCCGTGTCTCGAGCTGTTGTGTCCTTGAAGCAACAGGCGTACAGCCCGGCCCCTGCGAACCCAGCACTGCTTTTGCGAGCGGCGCTGCTTGCAGGGAGGGCACCATGAGCTATTGTGTTCTTTTCGCGGCTCCCTCCAGCTGGGAAGGGGAGCTGAGAAGAATGCCCAGCATCATTTTTGTGACTCTTGCAAAACAACGCTGGACTCACGGGGCGCCTTCAGTGTGTCTGTTTTGCAGCACTGGGCAGGGCAGGGGTCGCTCTGGTGGCATGCCCTGCCCCCATAGCCCTCCCCACCCACGGCACATTTTTTTGAGGGGGCACAATGCCCCCACACCCTTCCCCACGCCCCTGCCTGTCCCTGGTGGCAATCAGGGATGCAGTGCCCCTGCTACCAAGAAAACGCCCTAACCCTGAGCCTTGCTCGGAAGAAATGTTAAAAGGAAAATACATATCCTTTGAAATGTAAGCTACCAAATAACGCAGTACACAGACACCATCAGTCAAAAGATCTGAATTTGTATTGGCCATCATTATATACCCGGAATAAGTGTTCTGGAATCTGTTCCTTCAGTGCTAGAGAGGAACACTTTCTTGCTTCTTCTTTCTTGCCCCATGGTTAACTGCTAGTCACAGGGATGCCCAAGTGAGGAAGATAAATTAAGTCAACAGCTGCTTTCGGTAAGTTACTGGCCAAAGCCATAGGCAATCAAGTAAATGTTGGACTTGTAGGGTATTAGCTATTCTGCCTAATACTAAGGCTTCAGTATCTGAAGAAGTGGGCATACACACGAAAGCTCGTACCAATAACAAACTTAGTTGGTCTCTAAGGTGCTACTGGAAGGAATTTTTTTATTTTGTTTCAAAAAAGGCCTCAGGCAGTTCTGAGGGAGGGAAAAGTTACTTTGTCATACGTAAATTTGTCAGCTCAAGAAACTAAAGAAAAGTTTTTTAAAAGAAATGAAATTATACCATTGAAATGCTGCGCTTTCCCCAGATTGACAGCCCCAGTGCAGTACAACTTACTGCCCGACCAGAAGTTCTCTGTCTTGGATATGTTTTGAACCTTGGACAAGAGAGAAATTTAAGATCTGGCTGCCAGCGATGGTTAGCGTATGTGTGGGTTGGTGCGAGATTCCAGTTCTGTACAGATGGGAGAATTTGAGCCTGCCAAGACTCTCATCCTGCTGCGGCTTCTCTTGTGGGGTGTGTGTGTGTTTGTGTATATAGACTCCTAAGTGAGAGCTGTCAACCAGATTCCAGAATATTTGAAGGGCTTGCCATGCAATGTCCTCAGAAGTGCTTGTTGGAGGCAGCAGATTATGGCTGACCTGTTGCCAGTGAGGTCACCAAAGGTTAATGAAATAAGATCTCCTCAGATCTTCCTTACTGAGGTGATACTTCACAGCAATGCTATACTGCACTTCCCTCAAAATCTTCTTAAACCTCCTGAGGAATTGGGTGGCTCTGCAACGTGGCCCTTTCTCTTCTTGGGAACACTTGAAAAGCCTTTGCAGGCCAATTTATTTTATTTCATTGACATTTGTGTGTGTGTGTGTATGCAGTGCTATTTCTCTAGAAAAAGAGGTGCCGGAACTCACCATGAACTCATTCTCTTAGAATATCAAGAGGTACTGGAACTGAGTTCTGACAAGTTCTGTCTGAAAAAATGCCCTGTGTATGTCTGCTTTTATACTGTTCATTGAAGGACAGAACAATCAGCATGTGAAACATTTTCTCCTTTTTATTTTTTAAATGGAAAAAGAAGTCGGGACAGGCACAAATCACCACGAAGTAAAGATGGAAGCCGATCAGAGAAATCTGTTACCATTCAAGCGCCAACAGCAGAGCCATTGCTGGGGAATGATTCTTCTCGGGCAGAAGAAGCTCAGGTAAGGAGTGAGGAAGGTGAGCAGCAGAATATGGGCTGCAGGTGCAGGATTTTGTGGGCAGTGAATATCTTGGCACCTTGCTATTATTACTGTTGCTGTAAATGTGTTTTTCAGGCTAATGTCATTTCAGGTGTGGCAGCAATATGCTTAGAGTAACTCTTGATTTTGATGCTGACATGCTCCTGATATGACATTTTTATGGCAAAGGCTGTCACAGAATTGCCTTGGAAGCTTTAGAAGCTATCAGCTGATCATGCCTACCTTCAAAGGTTGCAGACTGGGAATATTTAAATGTGCCTAAATGCTTTTGACCAGTGATCCAGTGTCCGGTTGTAATCTGAGTTATTCTTGACACAGGATGCTGCACTATAAATAGCACATATTTGAAAAATATTTTTCAACTGATATGTCTGGGTGGACTGACTGCTAATGGCTTCCATAGGATCTGATGCTTTCTGACTGCAAACAAAAATAGCACAACTCATTTCTCCTGTACCGCTCACTAGAGACTTCAGAACTCATTCACATTCTCTCTCTGTCTCTCTCTTTCTCTCTTACACACACTCTTCTGCCTTGTTGCAGTAATCTCTGGTGAGGCCCACTTGGATGGGAATCTTGTTATTTGAATCTAACAGATGTTCAGTTTCTTTGCCACTCCTGGTAAACCTGACTTTTAAACAAAAAAGCCAACCAGGCCCTTAGGAGAGTAGTCAAACAACCAAATGTGTCTTGGACCTGACAGCCAAGGTAATTCAGTTCAGAGTTGGACATGCATTTGAGAGATTGCCTCACCTCTGCCTCAGACTGCCTTGAACTTGCCTTGGGCGAGTCTTTTGCCATCTTTAAAAATAAGACTTCCAATGGCTTGCCTTAAAGAAAATGTGCTTTTCAGTTTTGGAAGGGCTGTGGAAAAGTTTACCAATATGCAAGATTCACCTTGCATATGGTACCTTGCAAAAGTTCCCTAATCCAAAAATGTTTTGCAAATTGCTGAAGGGCAAAGGGGAAGCAGTGGCTGGCTTATTGCCATCTTTCTGTGTAGTTTCATTGGCCTTTGGCTAAGATGACGTGGGGAGAAAGATCTACCAATTATATGTACCATTGGAAGTTTACTGCAATTTGCAGAGCACTGGAGTAAGCGAAAGACCTTTGGCAATCTAATTTCCTAAATGGCAGCTCTATTTCAGATCCATACTTGTCAGACCAAATGTCTTGACACCTAGAACAGGAGTACATGGGCACAGCGCAACATTGGTGATGATACCTGACACTATATTTGGTAAACATTGCAAGATAAAAAGCTTCTGCCACTGGCTACTTGTTATGTCTACAGTGGCAAAGGAAACTTCCCAGGGAGTAGAGTGTTGGATGATCCAGGTTTAAATCCTCAGCCATGAAAATCCTTAGGGATGTTGATTAGCCCAAAGCTAATTATGCCCTATCTCAGAACTAGCTGATATGATAAAATGGATGAGGGACCGAAACAATGGCAGCGTTTGCACATCCTAAAAAACTAGACTGTCTATGAATAAGTCTGATGACTCCTTCCCTGGAGAGAATGGAATAAACAAACAGAACTCTTGGATTCCCATTTTGTGGCTCCCTAAGCCACAAACTTGAGCCATAGTTTGGTGTTGACTTGTTGATCATGGCTTGTTGGGGAGCAGCAAACCATGGTCCATGGTTCAGATGTAATGGGAGGCCAAGACTTCCTGGTTTGTGTATCCTGCTCACACTACAGGAGGAACAAAGTACTGTATGAGCTATCAGGCAATGTGTGCTCTGCTTGCTCTTAGTAAAAAGGTAAAGGGACCCCTGACCATTAGGTCCAGTCGTGGCCGACTCTGGGGTTGCGACCCTCATCTCATTTATTGGCCAAGGGAGCCAGCGTACAGCTTCCGGGTCTTGTGGCCAGCATGACTAAGCCGCTTCTGGCGAACCAGAGCAGCGCACGGAAATGCCATTTACCTTCCTGCCAGAGCGGTACCTATTTATCTACTTGCACTTTGACATGCTTTCGAACTGCTAGGTTGGCAGGAGCAGGGAGCGAGCAACGGGGATTCGAACCGCCGACCTTCTGATCGGCAAGTCCTAGGCTCTGTGGTTTAACCCACAGCGCCACCCGCGTCCCTTCTTAGTAAACCATGCTAAACCCAAAAGATTGGCTTTATTGTGATGTGCAAACATGTATGTTCTCCTAGGAGGAATGCAGGAATAATTATTTTTAACAATAGTGTATAATGATGACATCTCACAGGTTTTTTTTGGTAATTAGTGTATTAGGCCTATTACAGTGGTACCTCGGGTTACAGATGCTTCAGGTTCCAGACACTTCAGGTTACAGACTCTGCTAACCCACAAATAGTACCTCGGGTTAAGAACTTTGCTTCAGGATGAGAACAGAAATCGTGCGACGGCAGCGGGAAGCCCCATTAGCTAAAGTGGTACCTCAGGTCAAGAACAGTTTCAGGTTAAGAACGGACCTCCGGAACGAATTAAGTTCTTAACCCGAGGTACTACTGTAATTGTTCTTCCTCGTAACAATATCTTTTAACTATGTGACTCGTCAACTGACCAAATCTTTTTTGACCACTTAGATGTCAAGTATAACTACTGAGGGATGAGTAACTGGCTGAGATGTTTCCCCCCATTTTAAAGTGAAGTATGCTCTTCACAAAAGTAAAGCTAACAGTGAGAGTATGGGAGGGAAGCTGTGTGGTTTACTGTTATCCCAGGTGGCTATGAGGACAGTCAACTGAGGAAATCGGGAAACATCCTATGGAAAGGCTTTTGCCTATTTCTCCAGGGCATCCTATTCAGCGTGGGGAAGCCATAAATGCAGAGGGCATAGCTTGCTCTGGTCTCTTGTCAGCTGTGTGGGTTCATCTTGACTGGGGAATTGGAGGCCCTGAACTAGCCCTCTACGCCTGCAAAACGAGGGCCATCTGAAAGTGTCCTGACTATAGGAGTTGCTTATGAACGTGTTCTCTTCTTTTCTGCTTAGGATGACAACTGGGGTGAGACCACAACTGCCATCACAGGTACCTCTGAACATAGCATGTCCCAGGAGGACATTTCCAGGATCAGCAAGGACTTGGAGGACAGCGTTGGCGTAGAGTGCAAGCGCTATTTTCTCTTGACATTGGCTGCTGTTCTGGGACTCCTTGTCTTCCTCACCCCTGTTGCCTTCATTCTGCTCCCGCAGATCCTGCGGAGGACTGAGTTAGAGCCATGTGGCACTGCTTGTGAGGGACTCTTCATCTCTGTGGCTTTCAAACTCCTCATCCTCTTGATTGGCACCTGGGCTCTCTTCTTCCGCCAGCCCAAGGCTGACCTCCCCAGGGTGTTTGTCTTTCGCACCCTCATTTTGGTCCTCTTATTTCTGCTGGTGTTTTCTTACTGGCTCTTTTATGGCGTCCGCATTTTGGAATCCAAGGACATCAACTACCAGGGGATTGTACAGTTTGCTGTGTCGCTGGTGGACGCTCTTCTTTTTGTCCACTATCTCGCCATTGTAGTGCTGGAACTGAGGCAGCTGCAACCAATGTTCACGGTCAAGGTGGTTCGATCGACAGACGGAGAATCACGCTATTATAGCCTGGGACACTTGAGGTAGGTCAAAGCAGATTTGGGAAGCCAGAGCAGCAATTTGCATTTAATCTCTGCTTCCTGCTTTATTTTTTAAAGGTGGAGGTTTTTTTATTTAATAGATACAAAACTTAAACTGAAGCCAGAAGAGAAACAGAATTCATCAAGCTGGATGAATCTCCCCTTTTTAATTTTGGTCTTTAGCTCAATTTCTGCAGCCCATTTACATGTACAGTCATACCTCGGAAGTCGAATGGAATCAGTTCCGGAAGTCCGTTCAACTTCCAAAATATTCGGAAACCAACGCACAGCTTCCGATTGGCTGCAGGAAGCTCCTGCAGCCAATCGAAAGCAGCAGAAGTTGCATCGGACGTTCGGGTTCCAAAGAACGTTTGCAAATTGGAACACTCACTTCCAGGTTTGCGGCGTTTGGGAGCCAAAACGTTCAACTTGCAAGGCGTTCGGGATCCAAGATACGACTGTAGTTCCTTCACAAGTTTTGCTGGTGTTTGTTGAAAACAGCTTCAGCTTGTTTTAAGTTGTGTAAGAACCCCATTTTTAGGCTCCCCACCTTGCCTCTGTGTGGGATCTAGCCCTGGTCACAGATTTGCGTCTGTGTGTGGGATTAAATGCATGTAGCAGGAGTAGGACTGGACCTCCTGGCCCTGCCCCCCACGTCATGAACCCCCTAGCTGCATAGTGGCCCATGCATATAGCACCAATGTCCGAAAAAAGAGAGCCCTTCCCTCATTGGTTTCCATGCAGTTTGGGACTACCTACTGCACAAGCTCTTTCTTCCTTCTCTGGTGGGGGCAGGATACCCTTGAAAGCACTGGGCAGCCTCTTACCTGAGAACTTTGAAAGTGTGGTTGTCGGCTGTCTCTCTCACTCTCAGCCAGCACTGCAAACAAGGTGGCATTAGGTGGTGAAGTTCTCTGTTCTTTAGAGTTTCGCAGCTGTACAATCTAAAGGTAGTAAAGGAGGTGTGGCAGCAACATGGAGCTGCAACCCGATGGTGCTGCTTAGTAAGCATGCAGGGGTAGAAGCTTAATATCTGTTCTGAATGGAAGGCGCACCAGTTGGTGAGGAACAAAAATGCCATGTTCTGTCAGTTTGGTTAGATCAGGAAGGGAACAGTAGGCTTTCCAGAGGTTGGATTCCATCTCCCTTCAGCCCCAGCTTAGAGTCCAAAAACATCTGGAGGAAGAGCCCCATGTCACTGGACAGCAGCTGTGGTGTTGAATGTTTGAATACTCACCTGGATAAAATGCTGTCTCCATATCCAAAGCCTGGCATGTTGAGGAAAAGGTTAACCTAGAACCTTCTCTGTGATTTTGTGTGTGTTATGTTTTAGCACTGTTTTATTGCATTTTGTTCCTATGTTTTACACACACACACACCCCACACACAGGGTTTACATATAACAGTTCTTAACAGCTTTGGACTTCTGGGCTCCCCCCCCCCATATTAAGACATGATCTGCAGATTATGCTGATTACATACCTGGACTGTACCATTTCAGATTGTAGGATGTATGGGGTTAAGCATCCCATGTAAAATATTTTATTTATGTAGTAAACTAGCACATTAGAACGAGTGCTATACTTGTAGCCCTTGCTGTGATGTGTTCAGTTTATTACATCTGGGAAGTCTATACATGAGGAAACACTCAGAAAGTTGTCTTCCCCCAAGCTCGCACACATGCCATCTGAAATGGAATTGCCCAAATTCTGCCGCCACACTTCGTGCAGTAATATGTAACATCAGCATTTAGATGAACCTGTTTAAACGAAAAGCAAAAAACTGGCAAAGGATGAATCAGTCTAAACTCTGGGTGGCTACCATACCAGCTGGGGTGAAATTGAGCTGAAGCTGTGCTTTTTTTTGTGTGTGTCCTCGTTTTCTTCTCTATCCCCCCCAAAGTGGGTTGCTCCAGAGAAGCACATCAGGTGTCGAGAGGCATAGTAAGGCTTGAATCAGATTTGCTGTAGCTCAGCAGTTTGAAATCATAAGCTGCAGTTGGCAATGGGGAACAAAAGGGACAGAGGGAAAATCTCATTCTTTGAATGAGCAATGGAGGGTGTTGTAATAAGAGGTTGCATGAAACGTAAAATTGCATTTGGCTTCAGAACATTTTCACACAAGGTTTTTCAGGTATACACCGAAAACCACGTAACAGGCACATGTATAATCCAAGTACACATGAGCGAGCCAGGATTGGCTGCAGTTTTCTGTTGTCTGTACGTTTGCCGACAAACCTGTCTATGCCTCTACTTATTCTGGACTATTACTTTGGTACATTACCAACCTTCAAGAGGGTGTACCTTTGTTTTCTAGTCTTTCAATCCGTCATTTTCTCCTCTGCCCGTTGTCCATTCATGATAGTCTAGATGCCTCAGAGGAATAATGGGTTAGAGAGATGCACAGTATATTTGTCTGTAAACACGAATGACAAAAGTTCCCTTCAGGTATTACTGTCTTGGAAACTGGGCTGTGTGCTTAAGCCCTGACCCAGAGGTACACATTACAGTGGTACCTCGGGTTACAAACGCTTCAGGTTACATACTCTTCAGGTTACAGACTCCGCTAACCCAGAAATAGTGCTTCAGGTTAAGAACTTTGCTTCAGGATAAGAACAGAAATTGGGCTCCGGCGGCGCGGCAGCAGCAGAAGGCCCCATTAGCTAAAGTGGTCTTCAGGTTAAGAACAGTTTCAGGTTAAGAACGAACCTCTGGAACGAATTAAGTACTTAACCCAAGGTACCACTGTAGTGTCTCAGCCCCTCACACGATGAGAGTGGTGTGCCTTTTGTGTCTATGAAGGCTTCCAATACAATTGAGAACCTTAATCTTGTGAGGTTCTCAATTAAGTGGGCTAAATGCGTGGCCCCACTGTGCTTCTGTTGCCTCTTCAGGTCAGTAATTCCTGAAAAGAGCTACGCTTTCAGGCAGTGTATGAAATTCCCCAGGTGCCATGCACGGGTCCAATTGCACCTGTGTGGAAATTTTTGGGCACCAGGTTGCAACTGACATCTCCGTCAAGCCAGCAAAAGACACACGCCTGGGTGTCCTCCCTCAATACATCAAGGAAAGTAAGTGCAGGGCTGAGTACAGATCTATTTCACTGTGCTGTAGCCTTTCCACAGGCCGCCCAAACGGAACTCACAGACCACAATTTACAAACCTCTACCTTAGTCCATCGTTAATACCATTTCCCCTGTGTGTGTTTCTCCGCCTTGCACACTGACAAGTGAATTGCTGTAAGAGCAAGCTGCAGTCAGGCAGTGTAGTTACCGGTAAGATCCTAGAATCGTTGCATTGGGAGGACCCCAGGGCCATCTAGTCAGCCCCCAAGCAGATAGACATTGCTTTGTGGCAGCCGCAGCCGAGGTATAAAGTTGCATTGGGCACCTAGCTTATATATCTGAGTTTCTAATTCTGCTCTCAAGGTGCCTGTGGAATGCTGTGGCTTGGTGCCACTTTCTTGATTCCTTGGAAGGGACATGAGATTGCTGAGAATGTGAAGCATTTCTTGTTGGTTCTCTTAGGGTGGCTGCTGTTTGGTCTTCACTTTGTATTTGTTGTACATTGCTGGATCTCTCTAGTACAGGAATCCCCACCAGGGCATCCACAGGCACCGGGTTGGTGGCCCTTGTGCATTTTGTATGCTATTTTTTCTTTTAATTGCAGGCACTTCCTCCACCTGTGGAGGGGCTTTTCTTTTTTTCTTTTTTTGGTGGGGTGGTCAATTATGCTGTGTATGTGTGTGTCTGAGAGAGATGCTCTTGGGCAAAAAGAGGGGGAAAGACGTATATGCAACTGTATAGTGTATGACGGAGAGATGCATGTGCTGCTAGTAAGCTTTTCCCTAAGCAATAGGGAAGTTTTACAATTTTCCTCTCCCTGCAATTGCCCTTGCGCTGAGAGTGGTAAAAAGGGGGCTGGACTGAAGAACCAAGTGAATCTTTATATGGTGCCCCCTTTCCTACTGCTTGACTGATCGATAGGAGGGTTCATTGTTGGCCATGTAAGCGGAGGCAGCAGGCCAGAACTAGCCCAGGCAGAAGATTGCACAAGAAATAGGGGAAAGGCATGTGTCAAGGCTGCCTCAAGTCTCAGCTCACAAAAGACCAACGCCTATGTCTTCTTATATACAAAAGTGTTTATTGCAGTTCATTGTTTGCTTGACATCCTAGGCGCGCAGCCTTACGTCTGCTACGCTTAGACCGCTGAAGTCCCCTCTGAATCCGTCCCTCCCCTACACCAATTTAAGAGGCTTGCGCTGCTCCACCTCTTTCTCTCCTTCCTTTTCCGCAGGGTCCTTCTGCCCGCTGGGGTTTCACCCCTCCTGGATTCCTCTGACGCGGAATCAGACTGCTCTTTCCCCCTCCTGCGGGCTTTGGGACCTGGCCCCTCCTCCGGGCTCCCTGTACTTCCGCGCGCCTCTACATTTGAACTTGGCGCGCGGGCCAAACCTCTAACTTTCCTTTTGACAGTTACACTACTCCCTTCACTGCTCCCCTCCCCTCCGGGAGGGCGGCTTGCTCTGACCTCCCTCCTTTCTCTGCTGCCGGAGCTGCTTCCCCTGACACACTGGAAACTCCACCCCCTTCGCTGCACTCTGGTGGGGAGGCTGGTCCTGACGCCCAGCTGCCACTTTGGGATCCTCCGCTGGCCCCCTGCTCCTGACACGTCCCCCCTGGGGCTGTGCTGGCCTTGACCACCGGCGCCCCCTTCTGGGAATCCTCTGATTCGCTGGAAAGACTCATGGAATCTCTTGAGTCATTGTCATCCTCTTCCTCGCTGGCTTGGAATTCATCCCCATCGCTCTCCATCTCCTGCCTACCCTGTGCCTCTCTCCCTGAACCCCTGACAGCATGTTTCTTGGACACTGTACATGCTGCCCAGAGAATGTGCATACTGCTAGAACAGGGATGTCCAACAGGTCGATCGTGATCAACTGGTCGATCCCTGGGAGGTTTTGGTTGATTGCTGGCTTCTCCATCCAGCCCTGGCCCCTCGCCCCATCCTCTAGATAGCCAGAACGGAAGTTGGCCTTGCTGCGAGGCTTACTGTTTCATTAGCGACTTCTAGGTGAGTGACTTTATTCATTTATTCCTTTGCCCTGCTCCCCCCCAAAAGGGACGTTTCCCCCCTAAAAAAACCCCTCAAAAAAGGGGTAGATCACTGCCAGTTTTTAATTGTAGATCGCAGTCTCTTGGAAGTTGGACGTCCTTGTGCTAGGAGAATCTACAAAATGCATTGCAAATACGTACTTTCCTTAAGGCCTGTTTGGAATTACAGCATATGTGATGTCAGGTGTGGGAAAACTGAGACGTAATTGCCAGTGTGCAGTCAGGAGACCTGAAGTGCACACTGGCTTGTGCATTGGCAAGACAGAGCAGGTTTTGGCTCTACTCAGTTAGCTAAGGGGCAGTAGGGCCTAATCCTTAAGGCACTTTAAAGCACCTCACAGGGCTCTTTACCAGCCCTGCATAGTGCTTTAAAGTCTCTGGCTTTGGGACTTCAAGGGTGCTCAATCTTGCTGGATCAGACCAGAGGCACCAGAGTGCAACAGTGCTTTCAACAGCAGTATGCTTTTTCTCTGTTTCTCCTATTCAGTGTCCCTGCAGCCCACACTGTTCAAAGCCCAGCATGTGCCGAGTGCAAATGAAACTCTATAGGATCTCTATAAGGTGCTGCTCCTGGAGTAATGAATGATCTGGCTGTTCACTGGCATTGCTGGGTGAATATGAGTGGGCTTTTAATTCCCTCCTGTTCCAACAAGATCTTATTCTCAAAGGTTCATAGGGTTGCAGCCCCGAGTTCAACTTTTCTTGAAAAATTGCTTAAGCTCATCTGAACTTTTGTGTATTCTTGCCTCTTACTATATATCAACACCAGTTTGGCTCAGAATAAAGCATCTACTCTTCTTGGTTTGTGGATAAGCACTGCCACTGAGAGCAAAGTAAGTTGGCTGCTAGAGCCTGATGTTCACCTAAGCATTTTATCTGTTCGTTTTCCTCCTTGGTGCTTCTTCTTCTTGTCTCCCCTGTATTGACCTCTCAGGATTATCAATAGAAAATACTTCTAGTTCAGCACTGTCAGTTGGTGGTTTGGGAAGAGCAGTTGAAATAACAGCTGACTTAGTTCAGCTTGTTCTCCTTCCTTGTGTCCAAGTGAAGGGCAAAAAGAGGTTTGGCATACTGGCTGCACTCTTTGGAAGCCTTTCAAGATCAGGAGTTGGAAATGGTTTCTGTGGCCCAGCAGTTTCCTGAGGAATTCGGGCTGCGTTAACTAGTGCGCTAAAATGTTTAAAACTAAATAAATAAAAAGCTTAACTGTGGAAGTTGTTTGATCAGTCTGTTAAGAAAGATGCATCCTCAAAACTAAAGGATTAAGAATATCAGCACCTCTTTTTTGCATTCTTTTTGAAAATATAAGAGCTTCAAGATCCTTTCACAACCCCCTGAACATTTCACGTACCTCATGCTTACCCTGAGAAGTGTAAAGCATTTTGCCTTAGGATTAGTTCCTCCTTTCTAAGCCCCTCCTGATGACCAGATCACTAGTCATGCCTGATTTATAAACAGTGTAACTTGATGACCACCCCAACAGATACTCTGGCGAGACTTAAGAAGACTGCTTAATCTTGAAAATATTATTTGAAAGATTAATGGCCCCATTTCCTTCCTGGTCCTTTCTGTGTGTCAGAGGGAGATCTGGCAGATTCTGCTTCTCTCAGCAGAGTAATGGCAGAAACTGCACCTGCCAACCTCCTCTCTTCCCGCCTGCAGGCAAACAGTGAGGGCTCATCCACCCAGGGCCGGATTTAGGTTTGATGAGACCCTAAGCTACTGAAGGTAATGGGGCCCTTTATATGTCCAGCTGTTCTTTGTCAACAACAAATTGTCACTGTTTTTTGTGTTGAATATATGCTATTGTAATTTATGGACCTAATAGGTATCTAAAGCCATTTACACATAACAAAATACAGCGGTACCTCGGGATGCGAACGGGATCCGTTCCGGAACCCCGTTTATATCCTGAATGAAACGTAAGACGCGATGGCGCGCGTGCACAGGGCACGTTTTGCCGCTTCCACACATGCATGTGACATCATTTTGAGCGTTTGTGCATGCATGAGTGGCGAAACCCGGAAGTATCGTGCTCTGTTACTTCTGGGTTGCCGCGGAGTGCAATCCGAAAGCGCTCAACCTGAAGCACATTCAACCCGAGGTATGACTGTATGTATTTCATCAAAGTAATTGTTGAAAAGTCCATGCAGAATGCAAAGTCCATGCAGAATGTAGGCACCCTATATATAGAAATGAGCAAACGAGTGATATTTTAGGGAGCGAGCTAGCAGGAGGGGCCCATGACTTACATCATAGGAGCCTACACAACACAAAACATTGTTGCTGTATGTAGGTTTTATTTTATTTGTTTTTTATCTTATATTTTGGAAATGTACATCCAGTTTTTCCCCTTTAATTTTTTGGGGGTCCCCCAAGCGAGTGGGGCGCTACGCTTGTTTAGCTTATACATACGTCCGGCACTGCGTCTACCCCTCTGTTTGCCCTGCTGCTTCCCCCCAAGGAAACCTGCAATTTACCGCTGAGTCGGACCAAATGGCCATTAGGTTTTCCATGGATTGCATTCAGTGGTAGACAGCGTGTTTTTCTGGGGGGAGCTGCGAGGCAAACACAAAACTGCTCAGACCCATGCTTTCTAGGCATGGGGCAATGGGAAGTATGGATGAGCCCTGGCTGTTACTTCTAGCCAGATAGCCGATCCATCAAGCTCATTTCTGCTCAATGCACTCTTGTCTTTTTGCACATATAGAGTTGCTCTGGAAGTGACTCTCCTCTGTGCCTGAAACTTTTGAATATCAATATGTTTTGGATTCCTTCCATTCTTTTTGAGAAAGGGAGTGGATTTGCCCTTAGTAAACTGTCTTTCAAAAAATGCTCTCTCTGTGCTTCTCATGGAAAGGGGGGAGGGGTGAATAAAACAAATGCAAGGTGTATATATATTTTTAAAAGGTGGAATAAATTTGTATGCACAAGACTTTCCAGCACTCCTGGCACCTGATGAAGTTTTAGAACAGCACATACTACTATAGCTGCCGCCTTACTTGCCAGATCATGCTCTGACATGACCCACTTGCTGAGTTCACTGCAAGAAGGGGAGTGCTGATGCTGGAGTCTACTAGCACAGCAGAAGGCTAGACAAGACTGAAGCAAGTTGTTGCAACGTCAAAGTGAAATTGCATGCCTGCTTCTGAAACACCCCATAAAAAGATTTATAGCCCAGCAAGCCTGGTTTTCTACAACCACTATGCATAGTATCATAAGTTTTTCCTTCTTAATTACTGTGGAAGGGCAATTCGTTGGTGGCCAGGGAGTTTTAAAAAGAACCTTGCAGAACAATTCTGTATGGGTCTATTCAGAAGTAAACCTTATTGGGTTCAATATAGCTTAAAGGTAAAGGTAAAGGTACCCCTGACCGTTAGGTCCAGTCGTGGACAGCTCTGAGATTGCGACGCTCATCTCGCTCTATAGGCTGAGGGAGCCAGCATTGGTCTGCAGACAGCGGACTTGTGGGTCATGTGGGCAGCATGACTAAGCCCCTTCTGGCGAACCAGAGCAGTGCACGGAAACACCGTTTACCTTCCTGCCGGAGCGGTACCTGTTTATCTACTTGCACTTTGATGTGCTTTTGAACTGGGACCGAACAATGAGAGCTCACCCCGTCGCAGAGATTCGAACCGCTGACCTTCTGATTAGCAAGCCTAGGCTCTGTGGTTTAGACCACAGCGCCACCCGTGTCCCCACTCAATATAGCTTACTCCCAATTAAGTCGGTATAGGATTGCAATCCTAACATGTCAAGGCTGGGGAAGTCTTCCCAATGGCCTGTGGTTTTTCTCCAGCCTGCTGAAGTCAACATCATCTAGCCATGGAGGGAGAGAAGATGAATCACACAAGGGCTCTCCTTGCATAAGTGCCCTGGGGCGCCGCCATAGGGCAATCCTACCCAGGAGAGGAAAGCCCTTCAGACAGCACACATTTCCTTGCCCTTATCAAAGCTTCTTCTTTCAAATGCAGTAGTTGGCACAGTGGGACAACTATCTTACAAAATTGCTTCCAGCAACACATATTTTGATGCCTGAGGTGGAAAATCCAAGATGTGTCCCCTTCTTTCACTTCATCCCCATGCTGGGGAACCAGCCCCCCCCCAATACATTTAATAACACTGCCTGTGATGTTCTCTCCAATGCACCAGTATAATGTGGTGTTCCTTAACAATCACAGGGTAGTTTCCATATTTACTTTATCGTGGTCCTGTTCTGTTCTAGGTGCCTCACACATAGCTGCTATGTGCAGTCTCTTTGCTTTCCTTGCATGCTGCTGAGGCGCATAAACCTCTGACATAAACCTCTCAGGCGGTTTCCCTATGAAGCATAACAAACCTCTTAAAGGGATATCACCACATCTCCCTCTTTTTTTTAATAATAATACTAAAAACTGATAAACAAAAAATGTAATGCAGTAATAGTAACACATAATCACTTTCAGTGAGCCCTTCTGGCTTTCTTATGGCTCTGTTGGACCTCCCTTAGCTGTACAGTATTCCAGTTCCTGGTGCCTATTTGCCATGTCCAGGGCAGCTGCTTACCAGCTCCATCTGGTACGCAGGCTGAGACCCTACCTGCCCACAGACTGTCTCGCCAGAGTGGTGCTTGGACTACTGCAATGCGCTCTACGTGGGACTACCTTTGAAGGTGACCCGGAAACTACAACTAATCCAGAACCCGGCATCTAGACTGGTGGCTGGGAGCGGCCGCCGAGACCACATAACACCAGTCTTGAAAGACCTACATTGGCTCCCAGTACGTTTCCAAGCACAATTTGTTGGTGTTGGTGCTGACCTTTAAAGCCCTAAACGGCCTCGGTCCGGTATATCTGAAGGAGTGTCTCCACCCCCATCATTTTACCCGGACACTGAGGTCCAGGGCCTTCTGGTGGTTCCCTTACTGCGAGAAGCCAAGTTACAGGGAACCAGGCAGAGGGCCTTCTCGGTAGTGGCGCCCTCCCTGTGGAACGCCCTCCCACTAGATGTCAAAGAGAACAACAACTTCCAGACTTTCAGAAGACATCTGAAGGCAGCCCTCTTTAGGGAAGCTTTTAATGTTTGATGTATTACAGTATTTTAATATTTTTTTGGAAGCCGCCCAGAGTGGCTGGGAAAGCCCAGCCGGATGGGCGGGGCATAAATAATAAAATAATAATAATAATAATAATAATAATAATAATAATAATACTGTTTTGTTTTGCTGAGTTTTGGGGAGTTGTTTCTCTGCCTTCTTCCCCTGTCATGGATTTGAGTCCCTCATTTGGTGCAGAGTGGTGTTGGTTGTCCATCATTGTTTCTGAGTGAATAATAATAATAATAATAACAATAACAACAATAATAATATTGAATCAGTAGGAGATGCCTTCTCTTCCATCGTGTGACCGCTTCATATGATATTGAAGCCACTTAGTGGTGGAACACTGTCCGTTCCCCTTTTGGATTTCCATTCCTACAGTGGTACCTTGGGTTACAAACGCTTCAGGTTACAAACGCTTCAGGTTACAGACTCCGCTAACCCGGAAGTAGTACCTCGGGTTAAGAACTTTACCTCAGGATGAGAACAGAAATCATGTGGTGGCAGCGGGAGGCCCCATTAGCTAAAGTGGTACCTCAGGTTAAGAACAGTTTCACCTTAAGAACGGACCTCCGGAATGAATTAAGTTCTTAACCAGAGGTACCACTGTATTGGAACTCAGCACATGATTTTCTTGAAGTGATGGCAAGTCTTTGGTACCCTTATCGTATTACCATTTCCCCTCAGCCTTGCACAGATTTTTGCATGGGTAGATGTCAGCAGCACATTGTTTCACAGGCATAAGCCAAATGGAAGCCCCTTGAAACAGCAGCTTCCCCAGAGTGAGTTAAAAGTGCACAGCTTTGCCCTTTCCCTAACTAGGAGCACCTGCCCAAACCCTGCAGATGCATCCCAAGTGGAGAAACGCCTGGCACCTGCCGTATCCCCAGAGTTCATCCCTTGTGGGAATGAGAAAATGACATACTTGTTCAGTTGTTTGGGATCCAGGCATAACAGCAGGCAACATTTTCTCACAATTACTAAAGGATGCACCCAGGGAGTTGGCCCTTCTGCCTTTCAACAGTGCCCAGTGCAGTTAGTCTGCCTAGCTCCTCTTTCAACCTTTTTCTTACGGCTAGGGGCACATTTCTTGAGACAGGAATGGTAGGTGTGTAACCTTTTTCTCTGTGGTGTTTGCTGTCTTAATCAGGTTTAGGTCTCAGCATGCTTTTAACCCTATGGTGGGCACTGGTGATGTTGGCACGGTTACAAGCTGCACTTGCATGGCATTGCCCTTGTGTTTAATTACTAGTTCACACATGCCCTTGTCTGGAATGGGGGTTATCTTCAAAGTTTTTAGATTAAACTTCTTGTACTCTAAATAGAGGGGCTTGACTTGCATTTTGTAACTTTATTGTGTGGCCCCATGTCTACCTTAAATGTTACCGTGTCAAGGGAAATGATCTGGTCTTGTGATGTTTCATCCTCTTGCAACTTGCCAGTGCAGAAATCTTCCCCACCCTCACCCGTGCAGTTGCTAACTTCACCATGCAGAGCATGAACTCTCCGTTGGTGATACTGCGTCTTATGGCTTTAATTGCAGACCCTTGAAAATAGTGCAGCTGCTTGCGTATGTTGCAACGTATGCTGGGCACTTCAGCCACATTTGGTGCACAGCTTTTTCCTGTTTTCTTCCTTGTGTCTTGCTCCAGTTGCTTGCTTCCACTTGGAGCTCTCAGTTTTGTTTGGTTTCTGCGTGGACTTGTGGGGTGGTGCTTTCCAAATTCCTAGGCCTTCTCTAGGGTCCTGCTTGCCTTGTAATGTTTGCATTCCCTGCACTGTTGCTTCAGCTGTTTTGCAAATTCTGAATGCCTTTTCTAAGGCGGGATCATCATTTTCCAGCAGCTTTTTCTGGATGCTGTTGTCTTGGATTCCCAATACATACTAGCTGCTCTCTCAGGCAGGTTTCAGTTAACTCTCCATAATTGCATGTTTCCATAGCAGGCTGAGAACAGCCACAAAAGCCTCAACCGTTTCTCTCTCTCCGGTCTCATTTTGAATGTATAATGTTCAAAGGTATCATTCCTTTTAGGGAGGCAGTTTTCCTCAAACCTTTCCTGCGCCAACTTGTAGTTAAGTTTTTTTCAGTGGCAGAACGTTGTAAGCCATTGCATAGATACGTTGCTTCTTTGTCCACTACATTGAGAAAGAAAGGGCGCGGTCTTCTGACTGTGCATCATCCATTTCTGTTTTTACCCAGCATCTCATAGAAGTCAAAGGCTTGTTTAAAACGTTGCCAGCCTTCTGCTTCATTGCTGGAGAGGCTCAGTATAGTTGGTAGTCCTAAATCAACATTCTTACTTTCCTTGACTTCTCTTCTAACCAGACAGGTTTTTCTGGAGACATCCCACTCCTGCTACCGTTTTCTTAGATGTTGTTTTGTTTATTTAACTATTGGGGGGGTGTCATGTCACAATTTAACTTCTCATGGTTCTGTTCTGGGTGCCTCTCACACAGCTCCCACCTACAGTCTCCCTTCACCCCACCTGGCCCCAAAATATAACAGACCTCTTAAAGGGGACATTGCCACACTTGCTTTTAATGGCACTGAAACTCAGTTATATGAAGTGGATGCCTCAGTTTGACTTCTTTTAGACCTGGCTAGCGGGGAAAGGGTTTGTGTGTTACATTAGAGATGTTATCCTATAGAATTGTAGAGTTGGAAGGGACCCTGAGGGTCATCTAGTCTAGGAATATGCAGCTGCCCCATATGGGGATCAAACCTGCAACCTTGGCGTTAACAGCACCTTGCTCTGACCAACTGAGCTATCCCTGTTGCTTTTAGCAACAGAAATTAGTCTGGAAATTACCATGGAAAGAGAGGGCTAATGTGTCCCTTCTGTGGCATTAATAACCCACAGTAAAACCTAGACTCATTTAATCTGGCCAGTAGCCAAATAACTTTGGGAGCACCTTTCTCACTGTTTCATTTATTAGCTGAACACCTTTGCAAGCTTTTCTCTCTGCTGAGATGGTTTCCATTCTTTGCTGCCTCTTGGTAGTGTTTGCTCATAGAAGTGAATGCCTGTGTGGGAAGAGAAGGGTGTGTACATGCGCTAACGTTGGGTGGGGGGCGGTTCCCATTCCTTTATGGCTCGTAACATGCAGCCGGCAAAGCTGAGTTACAAAGGGTGGTGCTTCTCCTTGATGTGGGCAGGAAGGTTTAAGCAATGCAGCCCCAGGGGGCTGTTTCAGGCATGTGCTCATTCTGCAAATGATTGTGACCTTTCTGGTTTTCTGGTTGGTGCCATCCATGTAATTAAGGTCTGCTCCTCCTTGTATTTCAGCTGCTGCCTCTCTTTAGTGGGCAAAGGAGCAAGTAAAAAAAGGAAGGGGGTTAGAGAACCAGAAGCCTCATTGGACCCAGCCAATGATGCTTCTTTTGTATGTAGATGGTTCAGCAAAAAAAGGAACACAAAGAGCTTACGTATTTCTCCTTAGTTGACAGCCACAAGATGGCTATATGCATGCAAGTAGAGATTACAAATAACACCAACAATAAATGAATGGAGTGGGGTGAAATGGGACATTTCTTTAATGGCCAAATTGAGCCATTTTATTGGGGGTGGGGGGAGAGAGCAACAGTATATTTTTGATAAAACTTGAAACCCATTTACTTCGAGAACCAAAGGAGAAATAGAAATTATTTTAAATGATACTATTATGAGAAACAATAATATTTGTAATGGAATAGCTTGGTAACGGTGTCTGTTTTATAAGATGTTAAATTAATAAAGAAGTAAAATCATTGCATGTGTTAGGAGTTTAAGATACTGGAATAATACATATAAATGTGTATATACTATGGGCTGTGACCCCATTTGCTTCTCTTGCCAGCCATACCTTCCCGCCAAAAGAAAGTATTTCTTTACACATAGTGCATAGTTGAACTATGGAATTTGCTCCTGTAGGGGACAATGATGGCCACCAACTTATTTGGCTTTAAAAGAGGATTGGAGAAGCCCATGGAAGAGAGGGCTCTCAGTGGTTACTAGCTGGGATGGCTATGTTTTGCCTGCACAGCTGGAGGCAATAGTTCTTCCGAATACCCGTTGCTGGAAACCACAGGACAGGAGAGTGTTCTTATGCTCAGATTTCTCACAGGTATCTCGTAGGTCACTGTGAGAACAGCATGCTGGACTAGATAGATGGGCCATTGAGCTGAGCCAGCAGCCTCTTCTTACGTTCTAACCCTCTGCCCCCCTGGCCAACCCCTTCCCTTTACACCTGGCTAACCCACCATATTTCCATTGCTCACCTGAGCTGCTTACCTGCCCACATCTCTGGTTCCCTCCTCCTTACCTTGCCTGGGCTGCTTGCCTGGGTAGCCTGCACAGTCGCATCTCCATCCTCCAGACCCCTCCTCCTTGCCTTGCCTACCACCCTGATCACCTACCTGCGTCTCCCTCCTTCAGATTGCGCTGCCTCACCCAGACTACTTGCCTGATCCACTTGCTTGCTTGCTTCGCACATCTCCATCCTCAGGCTCCCTCCACTCCTCACCTGTGCCTTCATGTTCGTCCTCCAGATACCCTCTCCTCTCCTCACCTGGGCTGCCCTCCCAATGGACCAGCAGCTCCCCATACTGTAGGTCCCTTCCAATTCTACTGTTCTCGGATTCTATTATTTTGTCATCCAGTATCACCTGTCTGTGGCCAAGCAAACTGCAGCACGATTATATCCTTATGGTTTTATTAGAGAGAAAGTTCTCATAGTAATTAATATAGAATAGATAATATATGTATCTGTCAGGGGTTCAGGAGCAGAGGCACAGGAAAGGGAGGAAATAGAGAGCGAGGGGGAGGAGTCCGAAGGAAATGTTAGCGATGACAGCGGTCCGAGGTCTCTGAGTCTTTCCAGCGAATCGGAAGATTCACAGAAAGGGGCTCCCTTGGTCAGAGCAAGGGGGTGCCGAGGGGACACCCCAGGAAGAAGGGGCCAGAGGGGACTCAGAGAGCAGCAGTTGGAAATCAGGACCAGCGTCCACACCAGAGTGCAGTAGGGGGGGAGGAGTCCCAGGCATCGGGATCAGGCGGCGCACTGCCAGTGGGAGGACATGAGTCAGGATTGGCCACGCCTCCATCGGGGAGCGAGGAAGCGGTCGAGAGGAAGGTTGAAGGCTGGGCGCGCGCGCCAAGTTCAAATGTACAGGAGGGCGGCGCAGTTGGCAGCCCGGATAGGGAGCCAGGTCCCGATGCCCGCCGAAAGAGGGGAGGAGTCAGGGGGTCAGCGTCAGAAGAATCCAGGAAGGAAGGGACCCCGGGGGGTAGCAGGACCCAGAGGAGAAAGGAGAGACGTAAGAGGTGGAGTAAGGCTAGAATCTTAAACTGGTGTACAGGGCGGAGACTCAGCTGGAGCTTCGACGTTATAACAGCTTGTCGTAGAGCTGGGGCGCTCCGGCTTGAAAATGGAAACTGTACTTCAATAAAGACTTTTGTACATTACTGCCGGCTAGCGTTGGTCCTCTGTGAGCTGGGACCTGGAGCCAGCTCTGACAGTAAGCTCCATCTCCAAAAGTTTTGCACCAAAAACCTCGTAACGTGAGTGGACGCAGCGAGGAAGAAGATTGGTGCTTCGCGAGCTCACAAAAGTCAGGCAAGATGACTACAGAACAGCAACTAGCAGCCCTGCAAAATGCAGTGACACAACTCAACGCGGAGGTACTCGCATCCAGGAAAAGGGAAGAGGAAGCGGCTGCCGCCTGCAGGGATCTCCAAGCCAGGTTGGAAGTGCTTGCTAAGCAGGGGCAACCGGGACCCAAATCAGAGGGGATTGGGCTGGGGAAAAGAGGAGGCAGCCTGGTATCTCATTTCGATGGGAATTTGCAGCAGTACCCTAACTTCCGAGCAGACGTGCTGTTTGCGCTGGAACTGCTGGATAAAGACTTTAGAGATGAGCAAGAGAAGGTGGGGTTTATCTTGTCCCATTTGCATGGGGAGCTAAAGCGTGGCTGCGCAATCTGTGGAGAGATAAGGATCCGGCGCTCCAAAATGCGGATGCATTCATTAAAGCGATGGATTCGTGTTTTTTATCAAATATAGACATTGATATCGCCAGAAAAAGACATACATGGGCTCAAACAAGGCAGAGCCAGTGTAAGGCAGTACCATTCCCGCTTTTTTGCATTAGTCCATGCGCTGGGATGGGAGAAGGATTCTGCCCCAGCCAGAGACCTTTTTGGGAAGGCTTGAATGCAAATGTGAAAGATGAGATTGCAAGGGGAGAGACCAAAGAGCACTCAGGAGGTTGTCCGGCGGGCGCTGCAAATTGGGGTGCGTCTGGAAGAACGTCCATGGAACAGAGAAGAAGGACGTTGGGGACGTACGCCAGTGAGAGCACCTCCCCTCTTTCCCAAGGATGCAGCGCGTGTGCAATCCCCACCTCCGCAAGGAGTGTGAGAGATACCGATGGAGATTGGAGGCGCCAGGGCTCAGTCAGCAACCAGAGCCTTAACACCGGGAGCAGTCAAGCGAAGCCTCCTAGAGGGAACAGGAAGTGCTACATCTGCGACAGTGCTCAGCACATGGCGAAAGAGTGTCCCCAGAGGCTCCACAAGCACACTGCAGCCTCAGCAACAGTAACAGAAGCAACTCAGCAGAGAGAACCACAGCAGGGAAACGACAGAGTCTGGTTGGAGGAAGAGGCACTGGGGCCCAGCCAGACAAGTCAATGAAGCCGTCCCCAGAGATTTTGCAGCCCACAGACCCCCTCCCGCCCAAACCAGTGGTGCAGCTCACAGCATCGCTCCAACTACCCAATGGACTCACTATGGAAGTGCCGATTACCATTGACTCTGGTAGTAACGCAGACTTCATAGGACTGGATTTCCTTCAAGAGCACAACATAGCACTCCTGCCAGCCACGCTGCCTCTGAAAGTTGTCACGGTGGATGGCAGGGAATTGCTGGGGGCAGGTGGTGCAGCAAACGCCTCCGATGGTGATGCAAATTGGGAATCACCGAGAAGTCATCAGCTTCAATGTCACCCAACTGTCGGACACGCCTATAGTATTAGGCATGAGTTGGCTGCACAGGCACAGCCCAGCATTGGCGTGGTACCAGCGACAACTGACCTTCGGCTCCTCATACTGTGCGGAACATTGCATTCTGCCTAGCCCGGAAGGGGAAGAGGATGACCCGCAGCTACAATTAGGCACGCTGCAAGCAGTGCCACTCAAATACGCAGCGTTTTTGGAGGTTTTCTGCGAGAAGGAAGCGGACAAGCTACCTCCCCACAGGTCTTATGACTGCAAGATTGACCTCCTGCCAGAGGCGACGCTGCCAACCGGGAAACTGTATTCCATGTCCGAAGACGAGGCTGCAGGAACTCAGGAGTTCATAGACCTCAACTTGAGCGCGGTTTCATCCAGGAGTCGAAGGCAGTGGGGGCAGTCCTGTATTCTTTGTGAAGAAGAAGGACACGCCCCAAAAAGGCTTGTGGTGGACTATAGAATTTTGAACTCGAAAACCAAGCCCACAGCCTTTCCCATGCCCAAGATAGATGACCTGCTCGCAACGGTGAGGAAAGGACGCGTTTTCACAAAGTTGGATCTGCGAAGGGCGTACAACCTGATTCGCATGCGGGAGGGCGACGAATGGAAGACTGCCATGTTCACGCCCCTGGGCACCTATGAATACAGAGTTATGCCCTTTGGATTACAAAATGGCTCCCACTGTTTTCAAGCCTTCATGCATCACGTATTGGCGGGTCTCCTCTACAAGAAATGCGTCTGCTTCCTGGACGACATCCTGATATTTTCAGAATCAGAGGAGACCCACGAGGGAGACGTCAAGGAAGTTCTGCAGAGACTGCAGGAGCACAGGCTGTACGCCAAGCTGGAGAAGTGCCAGTTCGACATGAAGGAGGTAGATTTCCTGGGCTACAAGTTGTCGGACAAGGGGCTCGCCATGGACAGCGCCAAGGTTCGCTCAGTGTTGGACTGGAAGAGCCCGCGCAATCGGAAGGAGGTCCAGCGGTTTGTCGGTTTCGCCAACTTTTACCGCAAGTTCATCAAGGGGTTCGCGATGCAGACGGCGGCCATTACCGACACGCTCAGCTCCAAGAAGAAGAAGTTCATCTGGACGGAGCAAGCGGAGCAGTCCTTCCAGAAACTCAAGCGTCTCTTCTCGTCCGAAGAGCAGCTACTGCATGTGAATCCCAGCAGACCGATGAGGGTTGAAACGGACGCCTCAGACAGAGCCGTGGGAGCAGTACTGTTGCAGCAAGACCCGCATGGGGACTGGAGACCGTGTGCCTTCTACTCCAGGAAGCTCAGCAAGTCAGAGCAGAACTACACCATCTGGGACAGGGAGTTGCTGGCCATTCATGCAGCATTCAAGGCGTGGCGGCACTTCCTCATTGGAGCCAAACACACAGTGCAGGTCCGCACGGACCATAAAAACCTGGAGTACTGGCGCACGGCAAGGTTCCTGAACCAGAGGCACATACGATGGGCGGAGTTCTTTGCGGATTTCGACTTCAGGATAGAGTACATCCCAGGCGACAACAACATCATGGCGGATGCACTGTCCAGAAAGCCGCAATACCTCGAGGAGGCGGCACCAGCAGCGGCCAAGCACATTTTCGGGCGTGCGCTTCAGCAACCGTGGACCTGGATGCTGTACGTCGAGCACTGCAGGAGGACCCCTTCGCGCAAGCAAAGATGGCAGAGGTGCAAAGGGGCACGGCGGAGGACGACGAGTTCCAGATACGCGACGGATTGCTCTCCGCGCGAAAGTACTGCAGCAGTTGCATGACGCACCCACCGCCGGGCACTTTGGCAAAGAGAAGACGGTAGAATTAGTAGCCAGAGATTTTGGTGGCCCAAGATGCGGGGAAGTCGCGGATTACGTCTCGAGGTGCGACACCTGCCAAAGGGCCAAGTCAGTGCACAAACCGCCGGCGGGACTGCTCGAACCGCTGCAGACACCGCTCGAACCGTGGGAGAGGGTGGCCCTGGACTTTGTCACGGATCTACCCAGCTCGAGGGGCAAGACGGCAGTGCTAGTGGTGGTGGACATGTTCACCAAAATGGCCCACTTCATTCCGTGCGCGAAGGTGGCCACGGCGGAACAGACCGCCAAACTGTTCATAGACCACGTGTTCAGGGTTCACGGTCTGCCACGGTCTATCCTGTCCGACCGGGGCGACAGTTCATCTCGAACTTCTGGCAGAAGCTGATGGGTTTCCTGAACGTCAAGATCAACCTAGCGTCGGCGAGACACCCGCAGACGAGACGGACAAGCGGAGCGAGTCAAGCGCCATCATGCAGCAGTACCTGCGATGCTACGCAAATCAGCAGCCGGCAACATGGGTGGACTACCTGCCGCTCGCTGAGTTCGCCTACAACAACACGAAGCACGTGTCCACGGGGGTGACACCGTTCTTCGCCAACAACGGGAGGCATCCCAGAACCTTCCCGGGATTAGCGAGAGCGGGGAGGGGAGCCACAGGCAGCGGAAGCCTTAGCATCAGAGTTGCAGGAGGTTCACGAACAGCTTCGGAGGCAGTTAGAACTAGCAAAGCACGCATACAAACTGCAGGCTGACAAGCACAGAAGGGTTGGGGAAGACATACAGGTGGGAGACTGGGTTTGGTTAGCAGCCCAGGCAGTGCCGGCCAGATCGTTAGCGAAGAAGAAGCTAGGGCATAAGCAGCTAGGACCCTACCAAGTCGAGGCACAGGTCAATCCAGTGGCCTTCCGGTTGACACTGCCGGAGGGATCCAGAATGCACCCAGTTTTCCATAGATCAGTGCTCACGCCCTACAAAGCACCTCATAGATTTCAGGAGCCAGGAACGGCACCAGACCCGTTCAGGGAAACGCCCACAAGGGGGGGGTCGCCAAGGCGGGAACCCGTCAACGAAGTCACAGAGATTTTAGACTCGAGATGGGGGCGAGGAGGAGTGGAATACCTCCTCGCCAAGGAAGGTACCCGGCTAGCGCCAACAGTTGGGTGCCAGATTATGCTCTGGAGGAATCTTGGCTTAGGACGAGTTCCATGCCCTTTTCCCACACAGGCCCATGCCAGCCGAGTATTTCGACGACTGGCTTTTCACACCCACATTTTCAGCTAGCACATTCCAGGGGTTCACCTCGGACGAGGAACCGGCACTAGAAACACGTTCCCCGGAGGGATCACCCTCGGGGTCTGCCTCAGACCGTTCCTATTGGTGGGACAATCAACCAGAGGAGCAGTGGCGCAGGAAGTGGTTGGGGGGTCCTTGGCAGGCAACGTCCCCGGAGGAGACCGGGGGGAGAGACGGACATGGACGTGTTGGGGGGAGGACCTTGGGTTCGAGCACGGCGGCAAAGAGATGGAAGCAGAGGAAATTGAGGTCGGCGAGAGCACGGAGGACGAGCCGGACTTATCCGGCTGGATGCACGCCACGGGGACGAACTGTATCCGGCACTCACCCCCACAACGACGGAGCACCCAGTACCCACACCTGAAGGAGGGGAGGGGAAGGGGGGCTTCGAGGGGGATGGATGTCAGGGGTTCAGGAGCAGAGGCACAGGAAAGGGAGGAAATAGAGAGCGAGGGGAGGAGTCCGAAGGAAATGTTAGCGATGACAGCGGTCCGAGGTCTCTGAGTCTTTCCAGCGAATCGGAAGATTCACAGAAAGGGGCTCCCTTGGTCAGAGCAAGGGGGTGCCGAGGGGACACCCCAGGAAGAAGGGGCCAGAGGGGACTCAGAGAGCAGCAGTTGGAAATCAGGACCAGCGTCCACACCAGAGTGCAGTAGGGGAGGAGTCCCAGGCATCGGGATCAGGCGGCGCACTGCCAGTGGGAGGACATGAGTCAGGATTGGCCACGCCTCCATCGGGGAGCGAGGAAGCGGTCGAGAGGAAGGTTGAAGGCTGGGCGCGCGCCAAGTTCAACTGTACAGGAGGGCGGCGCAGTTGGCAGCCCGGATAGGGAGCCAGGTCCCAAAGCCCGCCGAAAAGCGGGGGCGGCGCCAGGGGGGCCAGCGTCAGAAGAATCCAGGAAGGAAGGGACCCCGGGGGGTAGCAGGACCCAGAGGAGAAAGGAGAGACGTAAGAGGTGGAGTAAGGCTAGAATCTTAAACTGGTGTACAGGGGGGGCGGAGACTCAGATGGAGCTTCGCCGATCTAACCCCTAGACGTAGAGCTGGGGCGCTCCGGTTTGAAAATGGAAACTGTACTTCAATAAAGACTTTTGTACATTACTGCCGGCTAGCGTTGGTCCTCTGTGAGCTGGGACCTGGAGCCAGCTCTGACAGTATCAATGCAATAAAAATAAAAACCAACCAATACAAAAATATTAGTACTTATTAAGTTGCAAATGGTGTTACCAAGCTTTGTTATCAATGCTTGTATAAACAAATGATTTGATTTGCCTCTGAAGTTTTAAAATAAAGGAAAAGGGAGAACTATGAGCCAAAATAGATGGTGGTGAAAGATCACGAATAATAATAAAATTATTATTACTTGATCTCTCAGTAATTATAGCTTAAAACAGCTGCAAGTAATCCCCCTCCCTGCCCCCAAATTAGGTTGGTGTTGAGATGCTAGGAGAGGGAAGGTTTAACCCATGGGTAGGCAAAGTAAGGCCCGGGGGCCGGATCCGGCCCAATCGCCTTCTCAATCTGGCCCGCGGACGGTCCGGGAATCAGCGTGTTTTTACATGAGTAGAATGTGTCCTTTTATTTAAAATGCATCTCTGGGTTATTTGTGAGGCCTGCCTGGTGTTTTTACATGAGTAAAATGTGTGATTTTTTTTTAAATGCACCTCTGGGTTATTTGTGGGGCATAGGATTTCATTCTTCTTTTTCCAAAATATAGTCCGGCCCCCCACAAGGTCTGAGGGACAGTGGACCGGCCTCCTGCTGAAAAAGTTTGCTGACCCCTGGTTTAACCTTTCTCCTGAACACTTTTCCTGATCTAAATCATACGTGATACCTATATGTGGCTCCTCTGGGAAACACATAATTTTTGATCAGGGAAATTGTAGTGTACTTATGTGTAGGGGGAAGGGTTAAAAAGAACATTTCCCCTGCTGCAGCCCCACCCAAACCCTCCCACTAACGTACAGAGAGAATTTCTTAAAAGTTTTAAAACAGTGGCAACAACACAGCCCTGTCCTCTAATTACAATAAGCTGGATAAAAACCAGTGTTGGAGGAAGCTTATGAGAAGCATTGCAGATGGGTCCTCTTGCTCATACACTCAACAGCATTGCAGTTACATGGTGGGGGGTGGAATATGGTTCTTGGAAGGCTGAGTCTTTCTTTCTTTCTTCTTAAACATTTTTATTTCATTTTAATACAAAACATACAAAAAAGAAATACAGAAATAAACAAAGGCTGAGTCTTTCACTGAACCAGTTTGGTGGTGAGAAATTAAAAGGCACAATAGTGGCTCTTCAGACACAATGCATAAACAAGTTAAAAACAGCTGCTTTATTTTCCTGGCACTATAATGAGTAGACCTGAGGTGACCTAGGCAGTTTTCGCCAACCTTGGGTCCCCAGATTTTGCTCCCATCATCCCTGACCACAGGTCCTAGTGGCTAGGGATGAAGGGCATTGTAATCTAACAACAGAAAGTCTTTATGTGAGTTAGAAGAGTGACTAGTGGGGTGCCACAGGGTTCTGTCTTGGGCCCGGTCTTATTCAACATCTTTATCAATGACTTGGATGATGGACTCAAGGGCATCCTGATCAAATTTGCAGATGACACCAAACTGGGAGGGGTGGCTAACACCCCAGAGGACAGGATCACACTTCAAAACGACCTTGACAGGTTAGAGAACTGGGCAAAAACAAACAAGATGAATTTTAACAGAGAGAAATGTAAAGTATTGCACTTGGGCAAAAAAAATGAGAGGCACAAATACAAGATGGGTGACACCTGGCTTGAGAGCAGTACATGTGAAAAGGATCTAGGAGTCTTGGTTGACCACAAACTTGACATGAGCCAACAGTGTGACGCGGCAGCTAAAAAGCCAATGCAATTCTGGGCCTCATCAATAGGAGTATAGCATCTAGATCAAGGGAAGTAATAGTGCCACTGTATTCTGCTCTGGTCAGACCTCACCTGGAGTACTGTGTCCAGTTCTGGGCACCACAGTTCAAGAAGGACACTGACAAACTGGCACGTGTCCAGAGGAGGGCAACCAAAATGGTCAAAGGCCTGGAAACGATGCCTTATGAGGAACGGCTAAGGGAGCTGGGCATGTTTAGCCTGGAGAAGAGGAGGTTAAGGGGTGATATGATAGCCATGTTCAAATATAGAAAAGGATGTCACATAGAGGAGGGAGAAAGGTTGTTTTCTGCTGCTCCAGAGAAGCGGACACGGAGCAATGGATCCAAACTACAAGAAAGAAGATTCCACCTCAACATTAGGAAGAACTTCCTGACAGTAAGAGCTGTTTGACAGTGGAATTTGCTGCCAAGGAGTGTGGTGGAGTCTCCTTCTTTGGAGGTCTTTAAGCAGAGGCTTGACAACCATATGTCAGGAGTGCTCTGATGGTGTTTCCTGCTTGGCAAGGGGTTGGACTCGATGGCCCTTGTGGTCTCTTCCTACTCTTCTATGATTCTAGGGTTAAAATGAAGGCTTTCCTTGGGTTTGTGCTTGCCAAAATACAGAGAGACTATGGAAGTTGTTCTCATATATTGTGGTTTTCATTTTTGATATATATATATATATTTCTTCCCATTTCTCTTTCCAGTATCCAGCGTGCTGCTTTAGTCGTTCTGGAAAATTACCACAGAGACTTTTCTGTCTACAACCCACTGTTGTTAACAGCTTCCAAAGCACGTGCAGAGAAGCACATGGCGGGTCTGAAGGTCTACAATGTCGATGGTAGGTTGAGAGAGGGCAAATTAATTGGTGGTAATGTTTGGAAGCTGCTCTATGTCCTTTCCCCCTTTTGCTTGCCTTGACCTCGACTGCAGGAAAGTCAGGCTGCCTTCCCACCCCTTCCCTTGCCTCTGTTATGATCCAAGGTTGAAGCTTTCAGCTTATTTTTCACATGCTGAGAGATAGATTTTGGATGATGGACACAGAGCATCATTACCCCTCCTTGAGGATAATTGAGCCCCCCAAAGACTGCCTGGTGCCGCCTATAGATGTCCACACATTGGCATGACTATCTGGACGGAAGAGCTATTCACACATAGGCTTCTACCTGCAAAATATCACACCAATGCGTGGACCTCTGTAGCTGAGACTGGACAGCATGCCCAGAGACATGCTAAGTCTCCAGTAATCATCTGGTGCTCCTATCACATGAGTAATGAATGATGAGGGTCTTGTATTTCTCCGCCTTGCCCAAATGTAATGTTTCCAGGTGGGGACCCTTGACCAAAAAGTGTTAAACAGCTCAGAGTCACCCGAGCACTTAATTTCATGGTACACATTTCTCTCTCTCTCCCCCTGCCCCGTCTCAACATTAACACTCACTTCCTTGATACCATAAGGCAGATTGGGGGAAGCCATGGCCCTTCAGATGGTGTTAGACTAATAATTCCCATCGCCCTTGGCCACTTGCCACGCTGGCTGGCATTGATGGTAGTTGAGTCAAACAATGTCTGGAGGGCACCAAATCAGCTACTTCTGCTCCAAGATGTGGTTATAGGCAAGCTCGTTTCCCTTAAAGATGCTGGTGAACTTCTCCACACTTGGTCTGTTGAAGAATGTGGAGCTTGCCTTAGAGCAGTGAGCAGCTCAGCTCAACATCTGAATCAGAGATGAAATCCTTGCTTTTGTCCCACCAGCCACTGGCCCCAAACCCCCTCTCCCTTTCCGAACAAGCAGTTGTGGAAACAGCCAGTGCACAGGGAAAGGGGGGCCTTTCCCCATTCCCTCCTCTCACTTCTTCACTCTTGGGTGCTAGGTGTCAAGACCAGGGAACTATGCAAGCTTGGGAGACTTGCCCATCTTCCATTCCCCTTTCTTGCCTTAATTTTGCTTTTTGTTTTTATTTTCCAGCTCAATCATAGCCATCATTTCTAGGCTTGCAAAAGGGATCCTTTTAACCAGGTGTTGACTAGCCTATAGGCAATATTCATACACACCCCAGTAATTTCTAGTGCCCCCCCCCCCCGGCTCGCAACAACTGGGCTTCTTTTTATTTTGTGTGTGTGTGCCAAGCAGCAGGGGACATTGTTGAGCAAAGTGGTTTCGACCCCTCCATCAAGACCAGCACAGTGATGTGTGTATGGGGTGCGTGCCTGTTCGCAGGTCCCCCCGCCACTCTGCTGAGTGTGTCTATGCCTCTGCCTGCCTTCTTGCCTTCCTGTCTGTACACCCCCTGCCCCTGCTGCGTGGAAGTGAATGTGTGGACATCTGCCTGTGCATATGGGTGGTGAGTGTGTGCTGGTCACACCCACCGCTGGCATGCAGACCTTGGATGCATGGTCAGTGGGGTCCTCGAACGGTTAGCCAATGCAGCTTTGACACTCCCATAAAAAACTGGGCAAATCCAGGACTCTTGCGTAGCTGTGATTAGGAAGTAACATGCTTCTCTCTCCACCCCCAAGCAAATGCAAGGAGGAAACAACAGTTCTTGTCTTTGGCATTCAGTATGAGCCCAGAAGTACTTTCTCCAGATTAATGAGATGAGTTCATTTCTTACATCTCTGCCCTCAGCAGTTTGCTAGTCAAGGAAACTCACACGGCCATTTTGACCTTTGAAAAGCATACTGTTCTTTTAGTTTACAGAATGTCTACTTTTTATGTACTTCTGCACATTGCTTCTTTTGTTAAAAATGAGATGATGGTGCTCATATAATGATAAACATTCTGTGGGTGCCGGCACAAAATGGCTGCCACGGGCAGCAAAAGAAGAGGTGTCAGTACTCTGTACCATTGAGTACTGTCACAAAAAGCCCTGCTTCTTCTGTATGGCCAGGGAGCCTTCTCAGTACATGGAAAACATGATCTTATTTTGGGGTGGGCCCATTTTGCTTCCAAACTAATTGGTGCATACCAACCAGAGCTCGCTCTCAAAAGGGGTCTGTCCCTCCTATCACCTCCCCCACCCCCAATGGGGAGATGTGAAAGCTCCCAGGACAAAAACAGCTTGTAACCCCCCCCTCCCTATTTAGGATGAGAGCCAAACTATAGATGTGATGGAAGACCTGGACACATTTGGTGAGGGGCCATAGCCCTCCCCAGAGAGCTGGACAGCACATTCCTTGCATACAGAGTATCTTGGGTTCAGGCCCTGGCATTAAAAAGAAAAAGGATTCCAAGGTTGGAATAGTCCTTGGAGAGCCATTGGAGGTTGGAGCAGACAAGTAGAAAAACCCAGGGGCCTACGGCAGCATCCCATGTCCTGCTTGTCTGGTAGGGGCCATCTTGCTTTACTGTGCCTGTTTCTGCCTAAAAAATCTTTCACCGGTTTTGAGAAGTTTATTTTATTTTGTCTGGCACTGCTTCGCTTTGTTTTTTGTCCGTCTCATGCCACTTGATGTTCTTATTTTCTGTCTTTGTTTTTTTCCTTTTGAATCTCTCCCCTCCCTCCCTCCCATTTCCCCTTTCACACTCCCTCTTTCTTGTCGCTGAATTGCCATGTGCTCCAGCTGCCCTTGTGGCCAAACTGAAAATGCATTTAGCAGATGGTAAGTAGCATCTTTGGTGTATGTGTCCTCTGTCTAAGTGTATTCACCCAGTTCCGGTTCTGTGTTGCTGCTGTATCTTTCTGTAAAAGTTGGTTATACGGAGGTTACATCTTAAGTTCCCTTTCCCGGTTTACATTTTGTTCTGCTGATTTCAGTACATCAGGGAAAAAACATCCCTTTACTGCACTTCTGCACCCCAAGGGAATATTTGTGGTCGGAAAGTATTTTTCCTTTTAGGAATAAGGGGGAAAATGAAAGGTGGTGTTAGGTTATCACCATTGTTGGCAAGCTGACGGGCTTTTCTTTCTTAATTCTCAGTCTTTCTGCTCTCTTTCAAGGGCCAGATAACAGTGCAGCTGGGCAGTCCAGGGCCATGATTGCTGCTGCAGCGCACCGCAGAGACTCCAGTCACAATGAGCTCTATTACGAAGAAGCAGACCACGAGCGCAGGGTCCGAAAACGTCGAGCAAGGCAAGAATTTTATCTGCAGGCCAACCACGGGAGATGATACAATTCTTCCGTAGTCTGGAATGGGAGTGGGGATGATACAGAGTTCCTATTTATTTATTAAATTTTTATACCACCCTTCATCAAAAGATCTCAGGGCGGTTCACAGAAGAAAATACAAGATAAAACTCAAGTAAATAATTACAACAAAGCAATAGAAGAAGAAGAAGAAGAGTTTGGATTTGATATCCCGCCTTTCACTCCCTTTAAGCAGTCTCAAAGCGGCTAACATTCTCCTTTCCCTTCCTCCCCCACAACAAACACTCTGTGAGGTGAGTGGGGCTGAGAGACTTCAGAGAAGTGTGACTGGCCCAAGGTCACCCAGCAGCTGCATGTGGAGGAGCGGGGAAGCAAACCCGGTTCACCAGATTACGAGACTACCGCTCTTAACCACTACACCACACTGGCTCCCCCCTTCCCACAGATACATTTAAAAGGCTGTAGGATATTAATCAGCCAAAGGCCTGGTTGGATAGGAACGCTTTTGCCTGGCACCTAAAAATATATAATGAAGGAGGCGAACCCTCCTGAGGAGAGCGTTCCACAAATGGGGAGCCACTACAGAAAAGGCCACTACAGAAAAGTTGCCCCCCTCCGAACCTCACATGGAAGACACACACAAAGAAGGGCCTCGGATGATGAATGCAGAGTCCGGGATGGTTTATATGGGGAGAAGCAGTCCTTGAGGAATTGCAGTCCTGAGCCGTTCAAGGCTTTTATAGGTCAAAATCAACACTTTGAATTGGGCCTGGAAACTAATTGGTAGCTAGTGCAGTCGGGCCAGGATTGGTGTGCTATGCTCAAAGCACTTACACCCATCCCAATAGATGTGTGCTGCGCCCTTAACTGGGGAAGATAAATGAGAGAGACCGGTGCCAAGCAAGATGAAATGGCAAAAGCCATTGCATGTTCAGAGAGGCAACTGAGACTAGAGTGGAGTGCATGGCTCAGCACAGCTGGCTGGATTGGGAAAGGACAACACACACCCGAGTTTCCCAGGCTTAGGCAAAAAGGAATGTCTTTCCTTGCGGACTGGACTCACAACTTCTCCGGTACATCTCCAAGATGTAGCCAATGTGCTGCAAAGCAAGAACGGAGGGATGGAACAGGGTTGGGGTTAGACATAGTTCCTAGCTAAAGTGGAGGTAGTGGGATGGGCTGTCCTCATCATGCTATCTTCCCAGAGCATTCAGATTTCTCTCTGGGGGCTTTCTGACAACCTTATTAGCAAACGCAGGCTAGTGTGGTGTAGTGGTTAAGAGCGGTAGATTCGTAATCTGGTGAACCGGGTTCGCGTCTCCGCTCCTCCACATGCAGCTGCTGGGTGACCTTGGGCTAGTCACACTTCTCTGAAGTCTCTCAGCCTCACTCACCTCACAGAGTGGTTGTTGTGGGGGAGGAAGGGAAAGGAGAATGTTAGCCGCTTTGAGACTCCTTCGGGTAGTGATAAAGTGGGATATCAAATCCAAACTCCTCTTCTTCTTCTTCTTCTTCTTCTTCTTCTTCTTCTTCTTCTTCTTCTTCTTCTATTGCAGTTTGCCATGTACTTGTTAACCTTCCTGCTTTTTGCAATCCCGGACAAGCAGCAACACTAGGAAGTGTCTAGTGGCCCACCAAGGGCTTAAATCACAGCTAATGGGCTGTGTTTGGCCTGGCTGATCACAAGTACTGTGTGTCTTACTCTCAGTAAATCCTTCCCATTTTTTGACGTGCTCACTGCCCCTTCCTACAGCTATTCAGGTGTTTCTAGCAGCACATTCAACCTTGCTAAGAGCTTGTGTGAAAGCTCTTGGCTGAAAGAGTGGAGCTATGTTTAACTGTCAGCTCTGCCTCTAACTAGATGGCCTCAGGCTGTCTCTCTTAGACCTTACCCTAGTCTACTACAGTTGCGCCTCAGAAGTCGAGCGGAATCCGTTCTGGAAGTCCACTCGACTTCCAAAACGTTCAGAAACCAAGGCACAACTCCCATTGGCTGCAGGAAGCTCCGGAAGCTGCATCAGACTTTGGGGTTCTAAAGAATGTTGCAGACCGGAACACTCACTTCTGGGTTTGCAGCGTTTGGGAGGCAAAACGTTTGACTCGCAAGGCGTTCGACTTCTGAGGTCGACTGTATGGGTTTTTATAAGGCTTACAACACAGTAATGCGTTCACAGCACTTTGAACACAAAGCGGTCGGAGAGCGTTAAGTGTTCTTCACTTGTTTGTGATAATTTTGTGATAAGTTTGTGATAAGTAATTTCGTTGTCCCCGAAGGGGGCAATGACAATAAAGATATTATTATTATTATTATTATTATTACTATTATTATTATTACCAACCTGTCTTTGCTGCATACACGACATTCACTCACAAAACGCAGGGTCCAAAATGCAGAGTCCAAGTACCACAGGTTACTACAACGCCACAAGGAACTTGGGGCTCCAGAAATGAAATCCTGCTATTGCCAAGCTCAGGTTGTTCTTTAAAAGGCAGGATCTGCCTTGAGATGCATACAATGAAGCTACCTGATGGTGAAATTATTTTCTATCACAAGAATATATATTTAACCATGTGCATTGTGCAAACAGAAAAGGGGGGCTGGGAAATGAAACGGTTGGGGATTCTAGAGCAGGAGGGCATTCGCAGAGGAGGCCAATCATCAGAGCCTTTAGTGCTTCAAATTGGTACCAAAGCATTAAACTTCAACATTCGTGCCGAAGAGAATTGGGATTGGGAGGATCCTGTTCTCTCGGCTGCCTGGTATCATGGAGCTGAGTCACTTGCTTTTTGGAAATAGAACATCATTGCAACCAAGGAGGTAACAGAGATAGAAGATCTTGATCCGTCTTTAGTCTATGCCTCAGTTTATATGCTCAGCCAGGGTGACAAAGATATTGCCTGCAGAGGATAATGAAGCAGAGCCCACCCTTTTGCCACACTGACAACATGTATGTAGCAAGCCACCCCCACAGTCTTTTTCCAACTCTGGCCTCAGTTAATTGTGTGAACTGGGACTGTGCACTTGTGTCACGAGTTCATGCTGGAGGCCCTCTGCGTAGGGGAGGAGAAGGGCTTGCCCCAGTCCTCCACCACTCTGCTGTTTTCAGTGCCAAATCCTGCTGAACATTTACTGACTATCAGCAACTGACATTCCTTCTCAGACCCATTAACTAGCTCCCCCTCTAGACAGCCACAAGTTCCTTCTGCCCAGCGGTGTGCTCAGTTTGTGTGTCAGTATTTTGCTGGCTTCAAATAAGCAAACAGTATATATATTAAAAACCTTCCCGGAGAGTTTGAATTCATCAGTAAACAATATTTGATTATGTGTTTAGGCGGGGCAGATTCGAGCAGCAGCCAAACAATGGGAAAGACCGGATGAATTACACGTAGAGATTTCCTGAAGGGATCCCTTGCTGGTTTTCTGGGTTTTTTTATCTCTCTGAGTGGAGCTTCTGGTCATCTCCGAGTCTTCTATATTTACAGCCTGTCAGGCTGACAAGATTTACTCCTGGCTTCATTCTTTCACAGGAAATTTAGTAATGGGATTCTTATGGCCAAACTACATGTGACATTAATCGCACCTCCTTGTTCTTTTTAAAGCATGCATAACAGTTCTGCTGTTGTATTGAAGGGAAGGCAGTTGGGCCCGGTCCCTAATCCAATGTCATGCTCTCTATCTAAATAGGAACCCTGTGTCAGTTTCCCAGAATGCCCACCCTGGGCTGCTGTTTGAAGCTGCTGGTACTGCAGCTAGCAGGGGTTGGGGCAGGAAGCTGCTGGCACAGGGTCTTGATTGGGTATCCGTGCCACTGCTTTCCTGCTGAAATAAAAGTGGCTGGGATGAACGCCCTTTAAAAAAATGTGAACTGCAGTTTACCTTTTTGTGATCTGAAGGCCAAGCTAGGAGAGGTGGAGATTATTGTGTACTGTTTAAACAATTTCCAAAGCAGCTGTAGGTAGGGATCAGAGTGGCCACACACAGGGAAGGAGCTCAAGAGCAAATAACAAGGAGGCAGTTCAGCCAGGAAAATGCATAAGGACATAGGAAGATACTGTATACAGAGTTGGACCATCTAGCTCTGTACAGTTGGCACTGAGCAGCAGCAGCTCTCCAGGGATTCATGCAGGATTCCCAGCCCCACCTGGAGATGCCAGGGATCAAATATGGGACCTTATGCATGCAAATTAGATGCTCTGCCGCTGAGCTGTGACCATTGCCTGCTGTCCCCTGAGAAGGGTCAAATCCCCCCCACCCTGCACTTCTGTTCTAATGCAGTTTCCTTCACTTAAAAAAAATGAAAAGGGATGGGAAATTAATTATTCACTCTAACTATGATGAGGTGTAAAAAGAAAAAAATGAGCTGCTTCTTTATTTAGCATCATATATGCATCGTCCAGTTTCCTTGCTGCTCTGGTTGCTTGCAGATCTTCCCTTGCATTTGCTAGGCACTGTCCGGAGTTTGTTTGCTCAGCTGCACAAAACCAGGGGGTGGTTAGCAAAGGTTCCTGCCCTGCAGATTAAGAGAGCTGAACATAGTCACTCGAGCAAGCTGCAAGGGAGTGCAAGGGAAGGGGCCCACCCTGGCTGCAGTCTTCTCCAATGGAGGCAACAGCTGTGGAAACCACAGACCTAAAGATATCGGGTGGTTTTCAGGGCTGCCCGATTATCAGTCTGGAATTTTCATCACAGAGCCACAATATTCTCTGTTTTTGCTTAGAGCTCTTGCAGATGGAGAAAAGAACCCAGTTGTATCCATGCTTGGCACTCGACCTCTTCTCTCTCTCACAGCCACGCCACCACCACAGGGAAAGGCCCAGAGTGGCAGAGTCTGTGTCCTAGATTCAGTTCCCAGCTTCCCAGTGGGTACCTGGGAAAGATATTTCTCTGTTAACTTAGGCAGCTGCTACCAGACAGTGTGAAGTAGATGGCACAGAGCTAGATTGATTGATTATATTTCTATGCCATTTTTCATTCACATGAATCGCAAACTGGCTTACAAGCAATAAATAACATAATACAACATCACAAATAATACAGAAATCATATACGATAATGGACAAATCATCAGTTAACCAATTACAAACGCTATTCACAAAACAACTTTAAAAAAAAGCTAAATAACACAATTACAACAAAAGTTATATTTTAGGATTCACTGCATAATCTATAAAACAACATTAACAAAATAGCAACCAAAAAATAAATAAGGCCCTGTTGATTTCATACACACACTTCCCCACCTGCATGACTTACAGTCTTCCACTCCATGCAGTTCATTGAAAGACACATACACCCAATGCCCATGGCAGCAACTCCATTCTGAAGGCTCCCAGGGCAGGAGGGTGGGGCAAGGCAGGTGGAACAAGCCGTTGCCTGGTGGGCAGCCCAGAGTTTCATCCCCTTCACTGTTCTTCCTCTGGAAACAGCTCCATTATGGAGACTGGAGGGTGGGGCCTCAAGTGTTCACAGGCCGCTTTTTCTCAAATACCCCAGGGACGTGATTGCCGTGCGGCTTAGCAGTTTTCCTCTCTTGCCTAGCAAAACTCGGCATCTCTGCAGTCTCTCACGCCCTCCCTCATTTCGAGGGGTCTGCTTTCTTCTCCACCCTTCAGGCGAAGGGGAAGTTGCAGCACGAACCTGTTCAGAGCTTGGTGCGCTTGAGCCAGCCAGGATCAGTGGGCATGCGTAACTTTTGCATGCAATTGTCCCTGGCTGGGACAACAACAGAGAGGACCTGGCCACCCTGCTTGGACCTCCCTACTCATGTCGTGTTGGAATGTTATGTGCCATTAAATATACTTTTCATACCATTTGGATGAGGTTAGCTGTCCATACAGATAAGCATCTGTCAGGGGTTCTGCTGTGGATGGGAGGCCCTATAATGTTGGGAACATGATGCAAAGCAAGCTGGACCACATTGCTTTAGTTCAGTTTACCCTGAATGTTAATCCCTGTTCGTGTCCTTTGGCATGCAGGCTTGTGGTAGCAGTTGAAGAAGCTTTCACCCACATTAAGCGCCTTCAGACAGAGGAGCAGCCGAAAGCCCCGGGTGACGTGATGGATCCCCGCGAGGCAGCTCAAGCCATCTTCCCATCCATGGCAAGAGTGCTGCAGAAGTACCTGCGCACTACAAGGCAGCAGCACTACCATACCATGGAGAGCATCCTGCAACATCTGGCCTTCTGCATTGCCAACAACATGACACCAAAGGTACTGCAGGAATGCCACTATTGGCACAGAATTCAGCTGTCTGAGCATCTCAGCTTTCTTTTACACGTTGCCAACCATTGCCACAGGTTGCAAGGATATGCTTGAAAGTGTGTGGACACCCAGTAGGGACAGGGTTGCTGAATTCTACTTTTTGTGTGTGCAAACGTCTTCATTTATTCATTTTATGCCACTGGCTGCCTATATTCCCCCCTTGTAAACCCCTTGGAGGCAGGCAAACAACAGTGTTGGGGTGTGTGTGTGGAAGAATGGGAACAGCGGATCACAGCAGCATTGGAAATTCAGTGTTACGGGATAATTGGCCATCCCTTGCTCTGCTCACTTAGGAACACCCTTCTCCCTTTGCTGACCACATCCCCACACTTGGTACCCTACTCCCCCCCCTTGGGTTTGTTTCTAGAGAACAAGAAGGGAGTCACAAGGGGGGTTGCAAACATTAGGATTCTGCTGCCTTGCACAGTGCCAAGCTGTGCACGTCCTTGTTTTGCCTGCTGGCAGTCCCCGTTTCAGCTGGGTTGTGTTGAGCCTGAAGCGAAGGCCTTCCAGCTCCATAGGGAGACAATGTCCAAAAGTGTGGGTTCCTCTGCTCTTGGGCCTTCTTCGCTGCAAGAGAGCCCCTCAAACTGCTTCCAGGAGGTTTCTCTGCCAAGTGAGAGAGCACCTCCTGATTCCTTCCTCCTTTCTTTGTATGAAGAATACGGAAGGAGTCAGGAGATGCTTTCTCGCTTGGAAGCCCCAAACTTTGTATAGCATCTCTAAGGCAGTGTTAGAAGCTCAGAGATATAAGCTAGGGGCCAAATCACTTCATAAACCAGGGTTGCAGTTGCCAAAACTGAATGTCTGGTTGGCGTTTTGGGGCAATACGGCTCTAAAATCTTATTTTTCAAATGATGGACTGACTGTGATTAATTGTCAGTTAAACATTTGGCTCGTTCAGATGACTACCTTGAGCTAGGTTAAGAACTTTGAGAACTTTATCCAGTGACTGTCCATATATATATTGGCATATTCCTATGTCTTTTTCTTAATGGTGACATGGAGCATTCTTAATGTAAGAACATTATTCACAACTGTGAACAGAGCAGTGGAGTGGAGTAAGGGAAAACAAGCTACAACAATTAACTGTAATGTTGTTCACTGCTCCTGCTCAGGCTGCACAGAAGAAGCATTTTGGTTCTTGAAATTCATTCTGATTGTGCAGATAGAATGTAACTGATAGAATTCCACAGGATGTGGTATTGGTGTGTGAAAACAAGTCAAGATTAAATGACCCCCAGGCATGCACCTCCAGATAGTGGAGATAGGTTGCAAGTGGCCAATAGTCAAACTGTGCCTGGTGTCTGGCTAATTTCAAACACTGCTCTAGGGCTACATGCTAGATAGCGTTGGTGTTTGCTGGAGCTTTTGGTTTTTGGGAAAGGAGGGGAGAAAACATGGTTGTGCTGTGAAACTTCCTGTGGAACGGTATCTCTTCCTCTTTTTTTGTGCCCCCTCCCAATTTCCCGGAGATGGTTCCTTCATTCTGCCATCAGAATATCTCCTGAATATCACCCCCATGCTTCCCATTTTAAGAAAGGATGCTACTGGGTGCTAAAGATAGCACACGAGGGCTGCTCTCAGCCTGCCCCCTGAAAAGGCAGATGAGAAGATAAGACAGTTCCACAGGTAGCTTTCGGAACACAACCCTGAGGGGCTGCTCCCTTCTCTTTTCATAGGAGGGAGAGTAGGCGCTCATCTGGGAACAAGTCATATTCACAGGTGAGTGGTTATCAGCCACCCTGGCTTATAGAGATTGAGCAAATGGCCCGGAAGATTGAAGCACAGCTGAACAGTGCAGTCACAAATTTCCCTTTGCTTGCTTGCAGCGTTTTCTGCCTTCCACCTTGCCTCATTACAGAGCGTCATCTGCACATGGGCAAACGCCTTATCACTCCTAGAAATCTCCAGATTCTGCTGCCATTATGGACAGGTGCATTTCCAGGTGTCTCTGTAGGCACACAGAACCACAAGTTCTACATAGCAACCCTGATATTAATGTCCTCTTTACAGTTTTGCCCTTGGGCTCTACATTCACAGTGGAGTGGCTATTCTTCAGCTTCCTGTCTTGAGTCCGTCCATCCAGCTGCTAAGTGATCTAACCATGATAGTTACCAGGAGTTTTAGTGTGCATGGGAACAGTTTATTGGCTCTGCTCTTCACAGCAGTGAGTTCTCAACAAGCTTCTGGCAGAGTTTCTCTGCCACACCCCAGTGTTTGCACTGAATAAAATAGAAGTGGTATCGAGCAAGCACCTGAAAGCATAACTTGTTCTTCCAGGTGTGTAAGCCAATGCCCTTTGCTTCCCAGCCGGTATTTTGTCAGCTGTCTTTGCTTTTGCTCAACAGAGGTCTGCAAGTCAAGGATAGGGCCCTTCAGTAAAGAGTTGGAAGGGCGAGGGGCTGCTGGTCACATGGATCTGGTGTGGAGAAAATGACCTCGATCCTGCGCTGTTGGCAGAGCAGCTCATTTCATTGGGCCTGAGTGATACTGCTTTTGTAGTTCCTCTAAAACTCCAAAGTCTTCCTTTGCTTATGGCAGATAACATAGAGACCTGGAAAGGGGACTAGACGGAACTACACGGGACATTGTCCTGTATAATCAAATTAAAATGGCAGTTGTATTTTTTGAGCTGAAAAGTTACTGGACAACACTGGACCTCATTTTCCCTTCTTTCTTTTCCCAACTGCTTTTCTCTAGGCTTTTCTGGAACGTTACCTCAGTCCAGGCCCAACCCTGCAGTACAACAAAGATCGTTGGGTCTCCAAACATTGGACGCTGATTAGTGAGGAAGCTGTTACAAAAGGATTAAGAGATGGTATTGTGTTCGTCCTCAAGTGCTTGGACTTCAGCCTTGTTGTTAATGTGAAGAAAATTCCATTTATCAAACTCTCAGAGGAGTTTGTAGACCCCAAATGTCATAAGTTTGCCCTTCGCTTGCAGTCTGAAACATCAGTCTAGCTTAGAGGCCATAAACATGTGTAGATGATGAGAAGGTAATTTCTGACTTCATGCTTTCAGGTGTGTGTGGTTTTTTTTTGGGGGGGGGTGTTGCTTCATTTTTGTTCAGATTGAAAAGCAACAGACGATGGACCGTCCACACTTATCTGGAAAGAGAGTGGAGGAGGGTCTCTTTTGACAGATCTGAAGAGCTCACGGATTGGGTTGGGCATGTTCATTGGTTCACGTACACTGCAGAGGCCTGTAAGCCCATGTAGTGTTCTGCTTCTGCCTGCCACCCTGCCTTAGATCTCCTGGTGTGTATGTGGTACTTCTGTTCCACCCCAGACTGCCTCTGTATGCCTCAACAAACAGCTTTTCACAAACTCTCATAAGCTTGCTTGGCTCTTGGCAGTCATCTCTGTGGCTCAGTTCAAACCTTATACAAAGCCATGGTTTACGGAACTGAAAACTGTGGTTTCAACTTCCAAACATATGGTAGGCAGTTCATGGTTTGAAGCAGCCCACTTGCCTTCGCTTTCAGTTCTCCAGCATTCAGTACCATAAATTCATTCCCATGTTGCATATACTGCCCCAGCTTCTGGAAGGGAAGAGATCCCTTCAATTGTGATTTGTCAATGCAGACATTGCATTGTATTAAAATGGTTAAAGCTTCCTTCCCATGGTTTGTTAGGATGCCAGAACTGAGCTTCTGTGAATGGGATTTTCAGTTATTGCTGTTGGGCACTATCTGATGTGGGAAGGACATTCTGCTTCTGAAATAAGGTAATTTATGTATTTTGAAGGGAATTGCATCTACATAACTCTACCTTTCCAATGACTGACAAAGTTAGTTTCCCCCCACCAGCACCCTGTTTTGTAGCTGTTTGAATAATGACCAATGGTGTGTGTCTGGTACATAAATAGGTTTGTCATAATGGCTTTCATTCCTTTCAGCCCCCTAAAGCTGTACACCTGCCCTACTGGGTTAAGCACCCCTCTTCTTTCCTTGTGTGTAGATCTCTCTTAATCTATTTTTCTAACCTTTCAAGGGTTTGTTCATTACTCCCTCTCCCTTATATATATTTATGCAGTTGCAGAATGTTTGAGAAGAGTGTGGAGTTTACTGGAGTCTGACCAATTTGATTGTGTGGGGGGGGGCGTATTTCCTATTTAAAAGGGTTTTCTATTCCCCCGGAGAAGAATAAGAATTTCAAGTCTCTTTACCAGCACATGCCTACAGGGGAGGGGAATCTTAGATTCAGAGCAGGGAATACTTTCCGAGATGCAGACAGTTACTTGGCATTTGAAACCAAGCTGCATTGAACGTTTCCAGGAGCCCCCCTCACTCAGCTGACCATGGGAGTCAGCTGCGGTTGCCACTGATGCTTTTATCCTGGTAAGTCCTCAGTCCTACCCCAACCTCTCACTTCATTTTCGAAAGCAGCAATTTTCTTACTGTTTCTGAGTATCTCCATTGCCTGAAGCAAGTGGAAAACCCCACAAGCCTTCATCCACTCGGCAAGGCAGAAGGACTTCATGCATTTGCTACTCTGCTGTCTTTTCCCCTGCACTGGAGTTGCTGTTCTCAGCCATGGAGAATGGGTGGGAGGTGACTGGTTTTTGCACCAGCCCTGTCACTCTGCATGTAGGAGAGGGCAAGCCCTGGCTCTCCAGTGTGTGGAAAACTCGGGGAAGGGCAAGGGGAGTGGGGGCAACTTGGTTGTCATTCTGGTTATTTCACAGCTCCATTTTGGTGGATCCCTGCATGTTTCCTTGGCCATTGTGGTACTGTTGATACTACTCCATCCTAGTTTCCAGGTTTTGCTGGCATCTGCTCTTGTTTGATGAGGGTTTCTTCTAATCTTAGTTTATTTTCTAAGGATATGCAAATAGATAATCAGATAAAACCTAACACTTAACAGAAGGAGTAGTCCCATAAACATAATACTACCACAAATTGTTCACTCCAGATAGATCCTTCATAATGGTAAGCCATAGCTAACACTGCTTGGCATGTGTCTTCTTCTTCTTCTTTTTTTTAAAAAAATGATATTTATTAAGAGTTTAAGGATTACAGAAAAAAGAGAAAAAGAAAACAACAAAAAATTTAACAAAGCATACATTACAATACATAAAGAGAAAAGCATAAAAAACAATACAACAATACAGCAAAAAAACCACAATAACATTAAAACACACATCCAATGTTCCATATCTTTATCTGTCATTTACTTGTTTCATCGACCTCCTCACACCTCCCTTTTTGTATTCTAATTTAATTAATTATTTTCAGTGGCCTCTCGCTCTCCAGGCTTCAGGAAGCTATCCGCAAGCCTTGCAAGCCCGGTGGGAGTTCCCGCGGGCTCACAAGGCTTGCAGGCAGCAGCCTGCAGCCCCGGCGAGTGTCCGCAAGCCTTGCGCCCGGCAGGAGGTCCCGCCGAGCGCGCGAGGCTTGGGGCAGCAGCCTGTCGCCCGAAGCACGGGGAGCCCTCCGGAGGGCTCCCGTGCTTGGGCGAGTGCCTGCAAGCCTTGCGCGCCCGGCAGGAGGTCCCGCCCAGCGCGCAAGGCTTGGGGCTGCAGCTTGTCGCCCGAAGCACGGGAGCCCTCCGGAGGGCTCCCTTGCTTCGGGCGAGTGTCTGCAAGCCTTGCGCGCCCGGCAGGAGGTCCCGCCCAGCGCGCAAGGCTTGGGGCTGCAGCTTGTCATCCGAAGCACGGGAGCCCTCCGGAGGGCTCCCGTGCTTCGGGCGAGTCTGCAAGCCTTGCGCGCCCGGCAGGAGGTCCCGCCCAGCGCGCAAGGCTTGGATTGTTTCAGCAAATTCTTTCCATCTTTCTCAATTTTTGTTATATAATTTAACTTAACGATCTAACCTTTTAATTAACTCAACAAATCCTTTCCATCTTTCACCATATTCTGTCATTCAATTTACCTTAATTTATTTAACCTTATCTTGCCATAAAAAAAACCTTAAAACTTAAAACTTAATGTACATAACTCCTTATATCATTTCTACTAAAGCCAAATAGTTTCATTCCAACGTTTTTCCTAATACTCATTAATTTTACACTAATTCTCAAAATAAATTTTTTAAAAACTTTCTTCCAATCTTCATCCAACGTCTCTTCTTCCTGGTCTCGGGTTTTGTCAGTCCTTCTTGTCCATTCCATCTAGTCCATCAACCTGGTGATCTTATGTCCGAGGCTCTTAAGTCTTTTCCATGTCCCTTCTGCAGATCTTCTTCTTGTTTATACCTGCACTTTACTTTGTCTTTTGTTGATCTTTTTCTTAATTTCTTTCCTTTCTCCTTGGGGGGTAGGTCTCGGGAGGACTCCAATCCAAAAATATCTCCATCTCTCCTCAGCAGATCAGCCCATTCCCCACAGTCAACACTGTAATCCAGAAAGTATTTAAAAGCATGTTTCAAAGTCCTTCCAAAATTAAGAGCCCTCACAACTCCAGACCCCCCCTGGTCCACTCCAGATTCAAACTTCAAGAACAGCGGCTTATGCTCCTGCAAGGCCTCGGATCTCTCCATTTGTGTTACTTGAGGTTCAACAGCAACCTCCTCCATTATCTTCTGCACTTGTGCTTGCCCTGTCAAAACAAGTTCCTGGGCTGGTTCCTGAATGGTTTCTATATGAGTATTCACCGTTTGTCCAAAGTTTTTAACTGCAACAGTCATCAAATCCATCTTCTCATGCATCTGCTCCAGCAAAGCACTTGTCTTGCAAAAAGCAAGCACCAAGACTTCTTGTAAACACATTTTTATTCAAGGTCAGAGTCTGGTCTCACGATCCTAATCTTACAGCTGTGAACTCCCCAGATCGACTCCGGCAACAAATTAACAAGCTCCCTCTAGAGGAGACAATTTCTATTTGTATCCATCTTTTGAAAGCAGGACCAACAAAAGAAAATTACTTTCATTTTTCAAATACTTTGTTTCTTTTGAATGCAAGAAGCAACATTGGAATCAATTTGTTTCTCTTTTTTTACTATCTGTCAAAAGACGTTCCATTCACAGTCGATGAACTTCCCCATAAATTTCTGTCTCTGACACCCCGTTCCCAGGTTTGAGACGGTGGAAATTTATCTTTCTTTACTCTCTCTCCTGCAGGCTTAAACAGTCAAAAATTCCCCCCCTTTTCTCCTGCTTCCAAGAGGGGTTTTGGTGGTGTCAGAGCTGAAGGAAATTTAGACCTTTATACATGACTTTCCAGACTTTAGCTTACAAAGTTTTGCTTCAATCTATTTACAAAAACGGGAGGCGGACTTCCTGTTTTGAGCCTTCCCACTTCAGTGCCAAATTAAAATGTTTCTTAATCCAATTTTCCGTTCTACTCACGGGTACTTGTTTAGAGTCCAATTGTCCACAGGAAAAAGTCAGCGCTCTCCGGCAACGGCTGTGCGGCTTCACTCCGTAAAAGTAGCGGTTGATTCAAAACACCGCGCCACTCACCCCACGTCGCTTCGGATCCCCGAAAAAGGGTTTCCCTGCGAGTAGGGGAGGCGCTCCTGGTGTCAGCCGAATCCCACGTTCCCAGGCTTCCTCCGCCTGGGATTTTTAGAGGGTCTCCGCCTTCGCCGCGGCGGCAAGACCCGATTTTCATGGAGCGGGTTCCTCTCGGTCAGAGGAACTCCGCCATTGCCGATGGCGCTAACCCGGAAGTCCCAGGTTTGCGGCATGTGTCTTCTTCAGGTGTTCCAATAATTAAGAAAATGAGGCCAATGCTTGCTTGCTTATTCAAAAACGCATACACACTCTCAAGTTCAGTGTATTTTCCCATTCCACCAATGCCTACAACATGTTAATTAATTATTTGAGGCTCCCTGCCACACTTTCCTCAACTTTTCATTCAAATCAGGAAGCAGACTGTTTTTTTCTAAAACTTTGGTAAAAATACTGTATCTAGCAATAACAAATCGGCCAATTAATCTTGGATTCTTCCTCACAGTACCTGTAGATAACTACTAATTTCTTAACATTTCTTTAATTATTAAAACATGTTTCCAGTACGGTTTTACTGATCTATACTGCTCCACACTGCCATTTGTGGGGGTTTTTGTTAATGCTCTGTACAAATAGCACACACTTTTCTTAATCTGGCAGATTTGTATTACCAACATGCACAGTTGTGTAAAAAACATTGCCGGTGACACATTGCATATAATTTTTAGAAGCCTTTTTGAATCGGTCTGTAAATTCTTGGTCTAAATCTGAACATCTTAGATGGCACATTAAATTGAGCAGAGCCGGAAGGTGGTATTCCAGGCTGAGGACTTCCTGGCTGGCTGAAACATAGCAAAGGATCCAAACTTCCCATGCCGAGGCAGAATAATAGAGTGTGAGTAGAAAGAACAGACTCCTATCCCAAGCCAACAAGGCCCTAATCACACCTTCAAGGCCTTAGTTGAATTTGGAGCCATAGCTAAATAGTTTGGTTTGAACTCCGTGTTTGGGGCTTCAAGCCATGAATGACATCTATGCATTGTGACACTTGTCCTTCTCAAAGCTGAAAAAGAGCTTTCTGCTGTGGATGTGTGTTTGATAACCTCTTCAATTTCTGCAGGGGCTTTAAATGAGGTAGCCAAGTCATTCAAAGGGGGTGGGAACAGTAGGGGGGTACACCAGTGAGATTTCTTCTTAATAAGATTGATTTCATGCTTCTACTTCTTCAGCTGAGTGTCATGCTAATCAGTTTAGCTTGTGTGTTTTTTATTTAAGGAGCGGTAGTGCTTTCTGTCTCTTTAAATTGGAACATACCTAATGGTTTTTAATGAAGGAAATGACAGCCTGTCTGGTGTCTTCATTGCTACAAACCCATTTTATGGAAACTGCTGAAGCTGGGTGACCACTTCCTAAAAATGAATTCCATTAAACTGTTTAGGGTTGGGGGGGGGTGCCTGATACCATCTTAACTGGAAGGGAATGTCACATTGACATGTGAGTGTGAATTCAGAGCCAAAGAGGTCTGTAGCTTGCTTGCTGCAAAGGAGTTTATTTCAAGCACTAGTTACCTTATATTTTCCCCCTTCTCCAGTTCCCTAAAGTTTGGAGGTTATTTGCTCAGGAAATGTTGACATTCTTAACCTTCTTTTGTACTCTTAGGTGACAAATGCTTGTGAAATGTAAAAAATGTATGAAAGAACCAAATAGAAGCAACATTAATTGCTTTGGAATTGGGGTTTTCCTTTAGCTCTAATCTGCACCCTCTGATTTAGAATGCTATAACTTTTTTTGTTGTTGAAAGGAACTCTCCAGTATGTGCTCAGTTGAAAGTTATTGCCTGTTCTAACACCTTAGCTGCTTAAAGCCGGATGAGAGCACAAACCTCTCCTTATTTGCTGGGTATATTTACTTTTGCATTCTTTTGAGATCTGCAAAGTTTGAAAGAATGTGGGTGGCTGGGGGCTCTCCTGTTGTCTTTTTTCCGACTGCCAGAGCTGAGTGTGTGTTTCACTAGACAAACCACTTCACTCTCTCATTTTCTTGGTGCCTCCATCCCTTGTTTGTAACACCAAAAGGACATTGTTGCAACAAAGTTGTGATCGATCCTTGTAAAAAAAAAAGAAGTGTGTTTTAGACATCAAATATGCCATACCGACAGTAATACAGTAGCAGTAAAATTACAGAGCTTTTCTGGAAGGGAGACTTATCATATTGCTGCTTTGTGATGTCCATTTAAACCATGCAGTTTTTACGAATATGAACTTCATGCAGTTGAATCCCAGAGGGCTAGAGCGAATAGAAAACTCCTCTTCCAGTTTCACTTAAAAATCCTTTTCTTTAAAAATAATTCTTGGTCATAAGTGTAGCTGGTATGTTTTTCAATGTTGTGTAAAGCTTTTGGGGCTTTTTGACTCTGGGCTGATGTAATGTTACCACTGTGAGCTTTGGTGTGGTCACGTTCCTCCTTAAACCAGTAAAATCTATATCCAGGAACCTGGTGGGCTGGTGGATGGCATGCCACCTTCCCTTGGGAGATGGCAACCTTGCCATGGGAAGTGGCCCTGCCACTCACTTCTTTGACTTGGGTGTGGATGCAGTCGTTCACAAGTGCTGCGTAAGACTTGACCACTCGTAAGCAGTTCCCATGCTGCAACTGTAATTCTGCATTGGCCCTTGTTCGCTTCCACTGTGATTTGGGTGCCTTCTTGCCTAAGACCAGCTGGTCAGTTTGCAGCCAACAACTTGCTTTCTGCTGCATAGCGCAGACTGCCCAAAGGCTGGATCCCTGTTTCATTGATACGTGCTGACAAAGCAAATGTGATGGGTTGTTTTTCTGTGTGGGAACACCACTGTCCATTCTCAGTGATTTGCTTGTGCTGCTTTTCATATGTTAAAACTTAGGGCTGTACCCCCCCCATAGTGTTTTCCTTCTGTGGCTGTCTTTATACCTGCTGTGGTGACCTCTCTGACCATGTATCTGATTTGGTATTGGGGATGTTGGGGGGTGGGGAGATCATGTGGTAGAAATTACATGCATCTATGGGGAGGTGTGCATAGCCAGTGAGCCCACAGATCTATGTGTTGCTTTGTAGGGTTATGTGACTGAGTCCATAACTGTTACAAAAAAATGTTCTGTCTGAGTTAGTTCTTGTGTGAACAGATTAATGTAACCACCCTCATCCCACCTATGAAAAACCAAATATAGCTGACACTGAAAACTGACTTTGAGCAGGGAACTGTAGTCTGAATTCCCAAAACGATTTGGGCATCCTGTCCGTTTGGCATACAGGGTGTTTGCCTGGACAGGAAAATGAATGTACAGATTGGAGGGAGACATGGAGGAGGGGAAGGTTTTGTTTCATATGGTGTTGACATTTGTTCCTTAATTTCTACGTCACACCTGCCGCAGTTCCCTACACTGTCCTTTCTTCCCACTTAGAAACACCACACATGTATTCGGGGCTGCAACCCTATCTACTTTGCCACAGGATCTCACAAGTTGGGGAGTAGCAACAATTCATGTGCTTGTTGTAGAAGAGAGATGTATAGGAAATTAACTTAAGCGAAACAGCCATATGAATTCTGAATAATGCTCAAAATTGGGACCAGGACAAACACACTCAACTGGGATCCCAATAATATGGTCATCTTGAGCGATGGCCAGCAGTCAAGCAATGTTTTGTGGCAGACATTATCTGTGTGAATCGGTGCCTTCACGCAGAGTGCTGTATATGCCAACACAGCGATTTCTGCTGTGTTAGTGGCACTTCTTGGAAACAGCACTATCACAGAAATTGGTGCAGAACCCATGTGGAAGTTTACACACCTCCATGTGAACATGCCCTGCATCTTCCTGAGGTGACTGCATGCATGTCCCTTGGTGGTTTCAGGTTTCCCTGTCACAAAAGACTCCATGAGTTCCCTTTCATGGAAGTTAGACTTCACACCCAACCACCAGCCTCTTTGAGGCTCATCATTTACATTAATGGCATGAGAAACAATGGCTTTGAAATGATGGGATCAACTCCATTAATATGCTGCTTAAATGGCAGCCATTAACACACCGTCACCGATTTCACAAATTACACCAAATTACCAAGCAGCAACTACTGTGTGAATAATGTCATGCCATAAGCCTATCCATATTGTTCATAAAATAGCTATTATCAGATGTGGGTCAGATACAGGGGTTCTTAAAGTATGCTCAAACACACTGGCTGCTGTGGTAACCAAAAACTCGCTTTGCTGATGCTGTCCAGTCCTTGGGGGAGACAGACAATGTCAGCTTCTCCAGATGTTTGACGTGAGGCCACCAGCTTTTCCCCAACGACAACAAACATGTGGAAACCACACTTGACTCACTTGGCTGCTCTGGTCTGCTGCTCACACAGACCTAACTGTGAAGTATTGTAATTCTCCTCAGTGCCTGTTGTTACCTAATTTAATCCAGCATTATTGTGTATTGGGAGTAGGTATTTTCTGCTGAACACTCCCCTCCCTTGATCACTGTGCACTGTTCAGCCTGACAACCTTTTTCTGTACAAATTGTATTAAGTATGACAGTCTATTTGTCCCTGGTATTTTTTTTAAGACAGCTTCTCTGCACACGTAACTTTAATGTCAAATATATATACGGTGTGATCTTCTTCCTTTTTTTTGTTTTCTAATTGTGGATTGAAGTAAATTAAGTGGAATTCCTAATTGCCTGTAACACTGAATGTACTGTGTGTCAAACATGAACAAGTGTTTGTAATGAAACTGGTTCTTGATAGCTGTTTTTAAAATTGAAACCCTTTTACACTTTGCATATTTGTACAGTTAATTTGAAATAAACCGGAATTGGAAATTTTAATGTTTGTGGCGTTGGCATTTCCTTTGATTCAGTAGATGGAGCTTGTTTTCCTTCTGGAAAGTTAGTGTTGTGCTGGGCTCAACAAACAGCAAAAGCAAAGTAGCTGTTATTGCTGTTCCATGAACAATTGTGCGAGAGAGATTAGAGGAGTGCACAAGTGCTGCGCTTGTGCAAATTATTGGGGCAGGATTGAGCTAATGGGACCTGCTAGCAGAAGCCTGCACAAGGACTTCTGCTACTGCAACAGGGCTTCCCCACACCTCCTCCTGCGTCCCTGCAGTTGGCTTGGGGGGTGTCAGAAGGAAACCCCCCCTAGAACAGCACACAGAGGGAGGAGAGGCCAGCTTGTTCTCAGAGGCGGAGCAAACCGATGGGGCTCCTGGAGCGGTGTGCATGCCCTGTGCCCAGGGGCGGGGCCAGTGGCCTATGGGGACGGGATGCTCCGCAAGGCCTCCGAGGAGTCTGCCCGCCTCCTCCCACTCAGCCGCCCTACAGCGGAGGGGGAGGCAACGGGCGGACCGTTTGGGGCAGCGCGGAGCCTGCAGGCGCCCAAGCCACCGCGTCACTCTCAGGAGATATGTGTGGCTCAGGTGCACTGCAGGCCCTGCGGTGAGTGCCACCCGGCATTTTGTCACCCCTCTCAGAGGTGACACCCAGGGCCGACCCCCCACCGCACCCCCTTCCTCCGCCCCTGCTTGTTCCATCAGACAAGTAGAAATGTTTGTGCTGAATTCTTCCTCTGGCATTTAGTTTTACTTTCCTTGTGCAGTGCTCTAGGTGAGGTATAAAATGGATCTTTGATCACTCTCCTTATTTGGGGTGTTAAACCAGCCACAACATTGGGTCTGTATCCATCACTTTGGAAAGCAACTGTTTGAAGTCTGTCCAATCTGACTCATGTTTTGGTCCAAAGCGGTTTTGTAAAAAAATGAAGTTGTTTCACCTCATTCACTATAATGGGAAATAAAAAATGCAGCTGTCAATCCCTCGCCCCGTTTTGAAAGAGGCAGGCATAGCAGTCCCTCCAGAGTGGATTAAGCGTGACAAGTAATGAGCAAACATGTCCAGGGGTTTGGGGACTGAACACCTTCAACTCTTTTTTTCATTTAAGAAAAAACATTTATCATTTAATTTTGGAGACAATTTGATGAAACCTGTGCCTTCTGAGCCATGGACCCTACCAGATTTCAGAAGAGCAGATCATAGCTGCAGTGGTTTTCTTCAAGGGTAGCTTTGGGGTGGGTAGAAAAGACTCCCTTAATTTCTCCATGTGTTCCATGGGCAATTAATATAAGAATTGCTGAAATGCTGCATATTGCAGTGTCACACCATGTGCTTGGGAGAGACTGATGCCCCCTTAGGCTGTCTCTCTTATTTACCAGGAAAGGGCAGCAACCTGAGCACACTAACATTTCAGGCCAAGATAAATGCCGGCCAGTCTTTCAGCACCCTCTCAGTCACTCCCCTGGTCGACGCCCAAAAGCTTTTCCTTCCTGCATTTTATGGTGCGATGTTACATTCAGTTTGGAGCAATCAAATTGCAACAGCAAAAGGCTGTTACAATCAGAATCACAGCCCTCCATAGCAGCATGTCAGTACGCAAAAGCAGCATTGAGAAACTGAGTTTGCATCTTGCAGAGCATTGTCTAGCTCGGCCCCCTGTTATTTTTTATTTATTTAACTTGTATACTGCCTCATACTTCAGGCTGTTTACAGTACTGCGGGGTTGCTATGTTTGTCAAGCAGCAAATGATATTAAAAGGTGATATATCGACAGCAGTCAACAATCAATGTGGTTTTTTTTGGGGGGCAAATAAAGGGCATCATGCCCCATGGGCCTCAAAAAGACAGGATTGCAATAAGGAAGACGCCTTAAATCAGTATTGTATTGCCTGTAAATTCACCCACACAGGTGGGTCCCCCCCCCCTTGTCTTTTTCAATTGTTCTGCACAACCACATTGTAAGTTCAGTCCTTTTTAATAGGTTAAGGATCAGAAAGCTCTTCCTACTGTTCAATTGGAATCTTGTTTTTCCTTAACGAATTGCGGGAGTGGCAGAGCCCAATTCTGGCTCTGAAGGCCATGAAGGGGAGGGAGACGTGCATCTTTTCACTCCCCCACCAAGATCAGAATGGAGGTCATTCCCACCTGCTTCACTAGGAACCTTATGGGAAAAGTCCCCAACAGAGCCAGGGGACTCCTGCCCATGCCAAAGGTTCCTAGCTTGCAGGGAGCCCAGTATAGTTTCCGATCTTGGTGGAGGAGCAAAACCAGAGCCGGCCCACACATGAGGCAAGAGGAAGTGACCGCTTCAGGTGGCCAAATCCACATGGGCAACAGATAAATCCTCCAAGAAATGCACAACCTGCTGCTGCCATGATGGCAGTCAGGGGTGCCATCTTGTGACGCCCCTGACTATGTTGGCCCCCCCAATAATTTTTTTTGGGGGGAAGGCCTCCCCAATGTTCCAAGCCATCAGGGTGGAGGAGGCTGAGCGTGGAGAGGTTTCCACGGCCACTGCCTCCTGTGGCTGCCGTGGAAACAGGCCCCAGCTGCTTCTGACATTGTGATGTGACGCCACGTGTGTGACATCATGCCCCCCCATCTGCTTCGTCAGTTGGCGCCTCTGGTGGCAGTGACAACTGTGGCACACTCCTCGAAGGCTGGGTCTGCTATCTCCTTGCCAGCACACAGATCCGCATTCTGCCTCTTGGTGAATAGGAGGTGTTGCTCATCTCTTCAAATGTAGATCTTTATTCCCCTTTTGTCCTGATGAAGCTATTCACGCACCACTTCTTTCCTGGCAGAGGGTGCCATTTTGTGGTTTGCCTCAGGTGCCATAATGTTTTGGGCTCTCCTTTCCATGCACTGTCTATGCAGTGAGAATCAGGCTTATAGATTTATTAGGAAAAACAAGGTGCATAGCTTTGCATCTAAGCACAATGACTTTATCCCCTCCTTATGTGTCTCTTATTCATTCTTCACTTACTTTAACTCATTTTATGCTTAGTAGACAAAGCTGCTTTTTAAATTTTCAGAGCTTTGTTTTAATCTGCAGTTGGCTCGGTACAGCTAACAATACAGATAACGGCATAACTGATAATACTAACAATACAGGGTAAATAGCCTGATCATTCTAATCAGGAGAATTACAATGAAGTAAGGGGGACACGGGTGGTGCTGTGGGTTAAACCACAGAGCCTCTTGGGCTTGCCGATCAGAAGGTCAGCGGTTCGAATCCCCGCAATGACGGGGTGAGCTCCCGTTGCTCGGTCCCAGCTCCTGCCAACCTAGCAGTTCAAAAGCATGTTGAAGTGCAAGTAGATAAGTAGGTACCGCTCTGGCAGGAAGGTAAACAGTGTTTCCATGCGCTGCTCTGGTTCGCCAGAAGCGGCTTAGTCCTGCTGGCCACATGACCTGGAAGCTGTATGCCGGCTCCCGTGGCCAATAAAGCGAGATGAGCGCCACAACCCCAGAGTCGTCCGCGACTGGATCTAACGGTCAGGGATCCCTTTACCACACCTAAGGGGGACATAGCAGTGGTTTCTTAAAAAGGTATCCTACAAAGTCTGCTTGATTATTCTCCTTGGGTTCACCCTGAGAGCTTGTTTTAAAAATACAAGTTGAGCAAAGCTCACCCCAAAACATTAAGATCTTTTTGCGATAATCCAAGAAGCTCTCAGCCCCTTGTAAATAATTATCCTTCTTGCCACTGGGATAATTCCATGCTTTTTTCTGCTGCTATTACAAATAAACAGATCTGCAGAGAGCAAAAATGCCATGCAGTCACCTTTTTTATTGTCTTATGCTTGGGAAAGAGCTTTTGGAAGTTAGAATAGGAAATATGTTGGAGATGGGTACAAAGGAAAGAAAACAAGGCAGCAAGCCTTCAGTGACCCTTAAAAACAGACTTTGGAAGTCCTAAATACAAATGTCTTCCCTTTAAGGGAGAACACTGGGAGGCATAACATCTTGAGGAATATAAATTTAATGTCCGGATGCTTTCAAAGTGCCATAACCTAGTCATCGTCATCGTCGTCATCATCATCATCTTCATCTTCATCGTCTTCATCAACATCATCGTCTTCAGTGTTTATCTTCCCAGAAAGTACATCCTCTATCCAATCTTCCAATTCCTCAGCTGTTGGGAGGTCATCATCATCTCTGATATCCATCCAGACACTATCAGCCTAAAAGAAAAGGCAGTATAGAAAGAAAAATGAAGATTTGCTTCATGTAAAATAGCAGGAGATTGGGCCAAACTAAACATTTAAATCCTGATCTGCCCAATTATGTGTATAATGAGAGGTGTTAAAAGGTAAAGGGACCCTTGACTATTAGGTCCAGTCGTGGATGACTGGGGTTTTGGAGCTCATCTCACTTTACTGGCCAAGTCAGCTGGCGTTTGTCCACAGACAGTTTCCAGGTCATGTGGCCAGCATGACTAAGCCGCTTCTGGCGAACCAGAGCAGCGCACGGAAACGCCGTTTACCTTCCCGCTGGAGCAATACCTATTTATTTATTTGCACTTGATGTGCTTTCAAACTGCTAGGTTGGCAGGAGCTGGGACCGAGCAACGGGAGCTCACCCCATCATTGCAGGGATTCGAACCGCCAACCTTCTGATCGGCAAGCGCAGGCTCTGTGGTTTAGACCACGGCGTACCACCTTCCAATTCCTTTAGGTGTTTTCTCCTCAGCTGAGGGAGAAAAGTGCTTAAAGGAGGTTGTGGGAAGGGTAAGCAGTGAGAGTCCAACTTTCCTTTTGGCTATCTGTCATAGATGCTTTCGCTGAGATTCCTGAATTGCAGGGGGTTGGACTAGATAACCCTTGAGATCCCTTCCAACTCTACAATTCTACGAGTCTATGACTCCTCCCCCTTGCACTGCTTTTGCTCTAAGCACTGGCCCTTAAACTGTTCTGAAGTAAGCCCAGTTCATCCCCACTGGACTTTTGCTGAGTATTTGCAGAATCAGCCATCTGAGATGTGCATGGAACAATACATGGCAATACATACATAAAGTTACAATGAATAGAAATAAAAGTTGAATTTCCCTCCACACCGCATTCCTTTTTGTAGTTGTCACAGGACCCCAGCCACACCCCTGCCCATGTGAGCACCTCACCACACTCGTTTGCTCTCCCCTTCCCCAGACTTTCCCACTGTCCCCAGGTGGAAATTCTTCATTTAACCCCCCTGACAGCCTCCATGAAACAATCTACGCTCTGCTGGACCTCGAGAACACCTTCGTAGATTGGCGTTTCAAAAGTTTACTTAAAAATAAGAAGATTTTTCTTAGCGGGGGGGCGGTTTAGCATGGTTATATGCACATAAAATGGGACTCAGGTGGTGCTGTGGGTTAAGCCACAGAGCCTAGGGCTTGCCGATCAGAAGGTTGGCGGTTCGAATCCCTGCGACGGGGTGAGCTCCTATTGCTCGGTCCCTGCTCCTGCCAACCTAGCAGTTTGAAAGCACGTCAAAGTGCAAGTAGATAAATAGGTACTGCTCCGGCGGGAAGGTAAATGGCATTTCCGTGCACTGCTCTGGTTCGCCAGAAGCAGTTTAGTCCTTCTGGCCACATGACCCAGAAGCTGTACGCCGGCTCCCTCGGCCAGTAAAGCGAGATGAGCGCTGCAACCCCACAGTCGTTTGCGACTGGACTTAACTGTCAGGGGTCCTTTACCTTTTGTGCACATAAAACATTCCCCAAAGGGCAAGGGAAATAAAACAGGATAAATACATCCACCTAGTCCTATCTAAAACTCTTTTTCATTTCCTCAAATTCTTTTAAGTAAGATTATTTCAGTAGAGAGTTCTTAGGCTCTTCTGTCTGCTAGCAGCCCTAGCTTTTTCCTCCTGCACCCACCAGGCTAGAGTTCTTCAGCTCTTCCTATATGCTGCTTCTCATCTCTGCAAGCACCCCCCACCATCTGGATCCCTGAGCTACCCTTTTGAAATCTCAATCCACAAACAAACCAGACAACAAAAAGTTCACCTTTGTCTCAATTCCATCTACAGACAAGATTTCAAGCAACCCACACTTTACCTCATTATTTTTAACACCTGAAAGGTTTACCTGCCAGACAAAGTTGGCTCCAGTAAAATAATAATAATAACCATAATTCTCAAACCAAACTACATCCCAGATTTTTTTATTTCTTTGTAAACAGGAGTGAATCCGAGTCATTCCCTCAGCATCCCAGAACAGGATGAACTGTTTTTAACAAGTGACAGTTGGCAAGTTCTATTCTACATTAGTTGAGATTTTAGCATTGCCGTGGGTCCCTTCCAATTCTACAGTTCTATGAGGTGCTCCCAATGACTCCCAATAAAAACCACTATCACCAAGAGAAGGGTTGTAAGTTGTTTTAATATTGTTTTTAATGCTGTCACCTGCTCTGGGACCTTAGCGTAAAGGGTCTGTTATGAATAAATTAGTAACAGAAAGGAGTATGGGAAACATGGAATAAAAAAGGAGGGAAACGATAAAAGGTATAAATGTAGGTGCCATACGGAGTCAGTTTATCATTGTATCTGGATTTGGGAGCAGTCGGCCTCCAGTATGAAGTGTGGAAGATGGTTGGGAAAATAAAATGCTTGTAAAAATTTATCACAAGGGACATGGGTGGCGCTGTGGGTAAAACCTCAGTGCCTAGGACTTGCCGATCGTATGGTCGGCGGTTCGAATCCCCGTGGCGGGGTGAGCTCCCGTCGTTCGGTCCCAGCTCCTGCCCACCTAGCAGTTCGAAAGCACCCCCAAGTGCAAGTAGATAAATAGGTACCGCTTTATAGCGGGAAGGTAGACGGCGTTTCCGTGCGCTGCACTGGTGCTGGCTCGCCAGAGCAGCTTCGTCACGCTGGCCACGTGACCCGGAAGTGTCTCCGGACGGTGCCGGCTCACGGCCTCTAGAGCGAGATGAGCACGCAACCCTAGAGTCGGACACGACTGGCCTGTACGGGCAGGGGTACCTTTACCTTTAAAAATTTATCAGGTGTAAGAACACGATTTGCAAACAGAAATATAAGACTGCCCTCTTTAGTTTGGTGGTTCCTATAGTCAGTTATAATAGTTTGAATAAGATATCTCACTCCTGACAGAACAGTGCTCTGCCAAATTGCTGAAATAAATGTTTGCTTTTCAAATTAAGAGCAATTGACAGAATCAAGCAGATAACGCTTTTTCTGGGCTGCTCCTCTTCAGACTGCATGCATACTCATGACAGCACTGAGTTTTCTGTGCCTCCCTCATGTCTTCCACTTGAACCGGGGAACCACCTATGGGCAGTTTGCTAATCTCACTGCTAGTGCTTCTCTAAGGGGCAGAGGCTGACTGCAATACAGAATATTTTACAATATTCAGCCAGTTTTATTTCTGTCCTTAAGAGATTTCAAAGCTCAAATTTAGCTCTTAGAATCAATTACGCAAGAATCTTGTCTAACTTATTCTGAAGTTCGACTTGTGAAACATTCAACTTCCAAAGCACGGCTTCTGATTGGCTGCAGGAGCTTCATGCAGCCAATCAGAAGCCGCAGAAGCCCCATCGGACATTCGGCTTCCAAAAGAACGTTTGAAAACCGAAACACTCCAAGTTTCTGATGGTTCGGGAGCCAAAACATTCAACTCCCAAGGCGTACAGGAGCCGAGGTACAACTGTATCTGAATTTTTGTACCACTTTATTGACTTCATGAATCAAAGGAAAGATGCCATAACTGGGAATTAGCAGGCTTTCCTCCTCCCCCCACTTGCTACTGAACTAAGCAGAGGCTTGACAACCATATGTCAGGAGTGCTCTGATGGTGTTTCCTGCTTGGCAGGGGGTTGGACTCGATGGCCCTTGTGGTCTCTTCCAACTCTATGATTCTATGATTCTATGATTCTATGACTTCCAAGCTATCTATGATGGATCAGGGTTGGCGCCACCACAACCATAAGTAGGACACCACTCCTGAGTCTGAATATGTATATGATCATCCTCAGCATGCAACTATAGTTCTGTCTCTGAAATAAGCAAGACTTAAGTTGGCAGAGGACTTCCTAGAAGTATACTGCAGTGGGATACCTGGAAGAAGAGAAGAGTATGGGTGCGCCAAACGAAGAAATCCAGTTTTTGGACTTTGGATAGGCCCCATGTCAGTTTGTCTCTTCCTTGAACCTAAAGCTACCAGGTACGTGAACTTGCTGATACTCACATCTGTGACATTGACCACACCAATCTGTGGCTTGAAGAGGTCAATCTTGAAGGTCTTTTCCCAGTACACAATGAGCTGTAGGAGCAAAAGAAAAGGGAAGCATTTCATATAAATATGGTGATTTATTAAGCGGTGCACAAATCCAAGTTCACCCAAATAAATAATGGGGCCTGATAAGTGGGAAACTAGAGGTAAAGAAAGGTTGCCATCCAAATGTGTGTGTTATTTTTGTAAGACTTGGGCTGTTGTTCTCCATTTCTCGTTCAATATTTTCTTCCCCTTTCCTCCTTTGTCTCCACCAACACATTCCAGAAAGTAAGGGTTAATTTGAGCCAAGTACAGCTGGCAGAATGGTACTTTCCGTGCCAGAGTTCATCTCTAGGAGATTTGCCGTTGTAGAAGTGGATAGGAGGGTGCCTATGAATCTATCTGGAGCACTGGGAAAATTACAACAAAATGACAATAACGCCAGGCCATCGTACTCACCAGAGGAAAGTCGTCTGGGTCAATCCACACAATGCTCAATTCAGGGTTGTCGGTATTGTCTTTAGCAACCTGCTTGACAATTTCCAGGAATTCAAAGCCATCTGAAAAGAAATACGGTCTAAGTTCCTCTCATGCATAGGTGTCAGATCAGGGTGAGAACAGGATGTCCCAAGCAACCCTGCCAGTGGCAGAAGAGAATAAATAAAAAATATTGGCCCTCTGCATTTTCTCATTGCCATTCAACTGTCCTTTCTGTTCTGGACATGGGGAGTAGCCCGGTAATCTCTTCATTTCTTTGCCCATCTTCTCCTCTGCATGAAGAACCTGCCTCATGACTTAGATGGCATGTAAACAAAACATTACTGGAGCAACAAAGCCATGTTGGAAGCCCCTGCAAACAAAAGAGCTGAGCTGCGGGGAAAGGGTTCCTGTGAGCAGCAGTAGTTGGCTGTACAAAGTGCAGATTAGCTGGTGCCTCTGATATCACTGGCCCCCTTCCTCCAAATCCCTGAGGTAGTTTTGCAACTCAGGAAAAGCTGTACACTAATAATAATAATACTAATACTAATAATAATAATATTGAAATGAAGCAACATATTTGCACTGTTCGTAGCCATGAAATGCAAGAACTGTAGTCTCCGATAGATTTACACACTCTCACATAAAGGAAAGGTGTGTTTACAACAATTCTTTCAAACAGTAGTAGCTTGTTCTTGCATTTACGTCAGCAGTAAATTACTTCACATTTGTGCAGTTCAAACACAGCCAAAACATGAGGGAGCAAATTCTTGCTGCCTTTACTTTGTCCCCAGGGTGAGTAGAAAAGTATCACTGACCAAGTATGAATCCTACAGACATAGGAGGGTTAGAGATATCCAAGCAAATGGTTTTATTCCATGATCTGCTCTCTTGTGTTCTTGCACGTAGGAAGGGATATGTTGTAATTTCCATTGATCTCTGCGCTCCAGAAAGGTGGACAAAGAAAGATCCCTTACCTGGGTCATCTTCTTCAGCAAATGCCACAATGTGAATGCCATCGAGGTCATCCTCCTGTGGACAAGAAACATGGGATTGGTGAGCGGAAAGTTAGGGACGACAGTGCGCTAGGCATGGGGAGATGGACCTGAAGATCGGTCAACCAGAGAATGTCAAGAAAAATCTATGATTAGAAGTGTTTCTAGAAATTAACAGAAAGATAAATATGAACAGAATCAACAAAAAAAAAGTAGGCAAAGTTCAGTGGGGAGCTGAAAATAAATGAGCAGACACAAGGTGGAGATACACTGGAAAGGGTTCTAAATGACTTGCCTCAATATGCTAATTCCGCATTTTATACTCATGGCTCCTACCAATAGAATGTCATCCTTGTTTGGGTCCAAAAGCAGTCAATAATGACAACCTTACAATGAATTCCAGTCTTCACTGTAGACTGTCTCACCAGAGTGGTGCATGCTCTGGTCATCTCCTGCTTGGACTACTGCAATGCACTCTACGTGGGGCTACCTTTGAAGGTGACCCAGAAACTACAACTAATCCAGAATGCAGCAGCTAGACTGGTGACTGGCAGCATCTGCCAAGACCACATAACACCAGTCTTGAAAGACCTACACTGGCTCACAGTATGTTTCCGAGCACAATTCAAAGTGTTGGTGCTGACCTTTAAAGCCCTAAACAGCCTCAGTCCAGTATACCTGAAGGAGTGTCTCCACTCCCATTGTTCTGCCCGGACATTGAGGTCCAGCTCCGAGGGCCTTCTGGCGGTTCCCTCCCTGTGAGGAGCCAAGTTACAGGGAACCAGGCAGAGGGCCTTCTCGGCAGTAGCACCCTCCCTGTGGAACGCCCTCCCACCAGATGTCAAGGAAATAAACAACTATCTGACTTTTAGAAGACATCTGAAGGCAGCCCTGTTTAGGGAAGTTTTTGATGTTTGATTGTGTTTTTAATATTCTGTTGGAAGCTGTCCAGAGTGGCTGGGGAGGCACAGCCAGATGGGCAGGGTATAAGTAATAAATTATTATTATTATTCCTGTGATTGATCGGCAGGTTCCATGGTCCATAAGGCTCTTCCCCCACAAGTTATTTTTCTTGCAGAGGGATAAAGTGTCCCAGAACACATATGGCAAGCCACTTATTTATAATGACTCAAGCAGACTTGGGAGTACATAGATTCTGTCTAAGACATGTAGCACAGTTACTAATCTGAACTGCACCTGAACAACCGCTGACCAGCTCTCTCCTGTGGCCCAAACCCCAGCAATCGAAAACTCCCAACTGAAAACACCAGCCTTTTTCACACAACTCCATCATGTGGTCAGTGAATGTATGAATGCTTATGAAGTTAAGAGTGCTCCCACCTTTCTACAAAATTCTGATGGGTATAACATTTCAAAGACTGTAGAGAGACTCCAAGTCATTAAGGACCATTAAAGTGGTTTTGTACAGGTCGTGATCACCCATAAAGTTTGTAAGGCAACCAAACAATCACAGAAGGTTCTTTCTGGTGCTGTCCAAAAGTGAGAATTGAAGGGGACAGTTGGGGCATAGGAATGGGAGAAAGGAACAAAAAGATTCTGGCAGGGGTGTCTGTAAAATCTAATAAGAGGAAAAGAGAATTGAGAAAGGTTAGCATTTTAAAAAAAATAATCTGGGATGGTTTTCTTCTTAAAAGCCACAAGGTTGGCAGCAAGGCCTTGGGTATCTGGGCACAATGAAAATTATATTGGCAAAGGCCATCTGAGTTGGCAGTCAGGTTGTTTATTGTGCACCTGCTATGAATGTCATATTGGAATTATACCATGGAAAACCCTCATGTTCCTTGTCTTCCACCAATCCCAGCTTTCAATTTCAATTGGTATTAATGCAAGAGGAAAAAAATCCATCTAAATGCTAATTTCTTTCCCCTCTGAGCCCACCAGTTACAGAACCCCCATAAAATGAAGAGCTAAAAGAATAAGTGGAAAACATCTCTGGGGGAAGGTGGGGGAATTGTAAGAACGAGGCTTTAGAGATGTTTGGAGCAGATTTACTACTGAAATGAGAGCAAAAATAGTCCACTGTAATGTGTGGTTTGTGTGTTTCTTTTCTTCCAACCCCCCCCCTCGCCCCACAAGACAATTCAAACTGTATTAGCACAAACACAATTCCAAAGTCGATAACTCATTAAACAAGTGGCAAAGGCTCATCTCTGATGCAGTGGAAGAAACCCGGGCTTCATTTTCCTAGCATCTCCCAGTGTGTTAGAGAACAGAGGCTGCCATTCAACTACCAATGGATGGATCTGTCCATTTTGGTTTATCTGTGCTTCAAAATCCACCCCCCTTGATTCCGCTTCACCCTATCTCTGCATCAGTTTAGAATTAGTATTATTTTTTGAAGTCATCTGTATTCATCTTCATGTGCCTTTCTCCTAATGCAGGCACGTCCAAAGTCCGTTCGGGGGGCAGCTTATTCCAAAAAGCTCAACAACTTTCACTTTCAACTTTGGTTGGCCCTCTTTGAAAAAGGTTTGGGCTCCCCTATAATGCATGCATTTTGCTCATGATTTTGCCATATATACATATGACAAATTCTCTTATATTTGTGTACACTATTTTCATGAATACTGCCTTTGACTGGGGGGGTTGGTCCTTGAGGGTGCCCCCCTGGTGAATGCTGGATAGCAGAGCTACACGAGTCCCAGGTTCACATACCCAAGCTTCAAGTAGCAAGTGGGGGGGGGTAATTTCTTCCCAGTTCTTTGCTGCATGGCTGCGGTTTGCAGCTGTTAACATGCCCAGGAGATCCGAGGGCTGTGATTCTTCCTTATGACATAATTCACCTTCCCAGATGCCTTGGATTTGGTTGTAGCAAGCATAACAATTTTACCATATACTTTGCATTCTGAGTCTTCTTTACGGGCGTGCTTGACAATGCAGCTAGACTAGATACTTTCTCACGAAAATATCCCCATCCCTATAGCTCCCAGTGCTCCCAATTTGTTTCACTTACCCAGGTCTCAAACATATCTTCTGGGCGCAGCTTGCGCAGTGTGGCTCTGAAAAGAAAGAATAGAGACCTCAGTTTTATGGGTGAATCTGTATGGTGATTATGATTGTAAGATTCTGTGTAACAAAAGTAGACTCAGAAGACAGGAACTTCCACTGGCAGGCCTAAACCAGATTGACACAGTGGTCCATCTTTTTTTACAACTGCAGTAAGTCTGATTCCAAACCATACGGGAGCATCAGCAATTTCCATTAACACAAACAGCAACAACGTGGGAGCAAGGAGGAATAGACTCTATCCAGGCACAATATATCATGTACAGTGGTACCTTGGGTTAAGAACTTAATTCGTTCTGGAGGTCCATTCTTAACCTGAAACTGTTCTTAACCTGAGGTACCACTTTAGCTAATGGGGCCTCCCACTGCCACCGTGCCACTGGCACGTGATTTAGGTTCTCAAAGTTCTTAACCTGAGGTACTATTTCTGGGTTAGTGGAGTCTGTAACCTGAAGCGTATGTAACCTGAGGTACCACTGAATTTTTTTCTTTTGTGAGTCGAGGCCCCACCCCCGCTTGGAGAGAAAATAATACACATGGACCCAAGTATTTAGGTTAGTGGGCTAAGAAGGCCACAAATTTATTGGTTACAGAATGTGAGTGGCATTGGCTTAGGCATTGGATCGGACAGACTATACTTGACTCCTGCCCGCTCTGCCAGGAGTCACACAAGGGTTAACAACCAGTAGGGGGAACTTGTTGATGCAAATCAACTGGAAGCTTTCCCCTAGACTCACCGGGGGTCAAGCCATGGCCCTAGCCACCCCCAGGGCATAGGACAGGAACCACAACCGCAGGCTTCCTTTAACAGAATACCCTTCAAGGGGAGTGGTAGGTGATGGCCACAACCTCCCCTTTGACACACAACGCGTTTGCCTAACCGCCAAACCTGACAAAGTTGTGACGATTTGCTATGAGGTAGGCGAAAAAACCAAGTGGCTGGTGCCAATCTGCCAAGTGGAAAAAAATTCCTACCAGGCCCCCTGGACAACCAAGGTGACCAACCGAAGTCCATAGCAAGGTCAAGAAAAGAAGGAAGAAACCTAAAGGAGGGTGGGCGGGTGATCCGAGGAAGCCAGGAACAAGAAGGGAGAGTCCGTGTGCCCGTGGTCGTTCAAATACAGCTAAGCCATGCACCCACCCAGCCTTATAGGCTGGCTGGTGAGCGTGACGCGGGCACAAGACTCAGAGACGCAGGGGGCTGAGTTACGCCCCCTGCCAGCGCGGGAAGTGGCTCCCGCTCACAACACCTCCCCTCCGTGAAGAGGAGAGGCCTTATCTGATAATTTTTATTTATGATTTTCAATTTTATGTATTTCAATAATTTTACAATCATTTTAATGTTTTGAAACTCAACTTCCTTCCCCCTCTTTCTGCGGTTCCTTCAATTAATTTTTTTAATATTTTCTGCATATTCCAAATTAACTTAATCATTTATTCATCTACTTTAAATGCAAACTCTTATAAAACTGCAGGTTATTACAATAATCCTGCCAATGTTCTTATCTGTTTACAGTTTGTTTGTAAATATTCAATAAACCATTTCCATTCTTTTATCAAAAGTTTGTTATCTTGATTTCTTATTTTTTCTGCTAAGTTTCGCCATTCCTGCATATTCCACAAATTTTTGTATCCATTCTTCTTCCATCAGGACTTCTTCTGATTTCCATTTTTGGGCAAGTAAAATGTATCTTTTTCTATCCACCTACTATTTGCATACGTTTAAAGGGTTAGCATCAATGGTGACCACCAACATCCAGAAGGATTTATGGTATTTTATGCCACCAAAGAATTTGGCAGAATCAACAGGAATGCGCTCCCTTTCCCTGTGAAAGTCATCTACTAAGGCAGCAAAGTTCATGTCTGTTCCATGACCAGACTTGAAGCCAGATTGAAATGGGCCTAGGAAATCAATTTCATCTAGGGAAACCTGGAACCAAGACGCCACCACCTGTTTCTGTTTGGGCAACACTTTGCCCCCTAAGGAACTATTTCAGACTGACCAATAGTTGTGTAATGCTGTCAAGCCCAGCGACAACTTTTCAAAAAGTGGCCTTACCTCCTCTTACTTGAAGCCAGATGGCATTATACCTTGCTAAAAAGAGAAATTGGGCACAACACAAACCTATGTGGCCAGACCTTCTCTGGCAGCTTTTATTAGCCAGGATGGGCAAGGATCTAAAGCACAGGTGGTGGGCCCATAACTCCACAAATCCTAGCTACATCCCTGGGCAACACAAGCTGCAAATAATTCTTCATTGCAATCCATGTACTGTATGTGTGCGGATGCAAACATGGCCATGCAGATTATAATGTTGTGTGCCACTCAGTAACCCTCCATTCTATTGTTCTTTTCACAAATAAATAAACCCTGCAGGATTTCCAAATTACTGGTCTATTGATACACCCCCATTTTGAGTTACCAAATATCTGCAAATCACTCATGAAGAGGTTTTTGTGCAGGCTGTAAGAAGGAGAAGGAGAAGAAGAAGAAGAAGAAGAAGAAGAGGAGGAGGAGGAGGAGGAGGAGGAGGAGGAGGAGGAGGAAGAATTTGGATTTGATATCCCACTTTATCACTACGCTGGCGTGCTCTGGTCCATGGGGTTACGAAGAGTCGGACACGACTAAACGACTAAACAACAACAAAGAAGTCTCAAAGCGGCCAACAATCTCCTTTCCCTTCCTCCCCCACAACAAACACTCTGTGAGGTGAGTAGGGCTGAGAGACTTCAGAGAAGTGTGACTAGCCCAAGGTCACCCAGCAGCTGCATGTGGAGGAGTGGGGAAGCGAAGCCGGTTCACTAGATTACGAGTCTACTGCTCTTAACCACTACACCACAATAATCAAGAGACCTGCAAAAGCAGGGCCTGTAAAACACAAGCCTTCAATAGGACGTTTGCCACTCTCAGATGAGAGACAGATTGGAAAGACAGACACCTGAACTCATACCCTCCAACATTTCTCTGATGAAAAAAGGGACGTCCTATTCCATTATTATTATTATTACCCCACCCATCTGACTGGGTTGCTCCAGCCACTCTGGGCAGCTTCCAACATCTATAAAAACAGTAAAACTATTACAGGGCTGCTTTCAGATGTTTTCTAAAGTTTATAGTGTTACTAATCTCCTTGGCTTGGGAGTCGTACAACTCCATATCCGTCAACATTACTCCGTTTAAATTGGGATGGTCTTAGGAAAAGGGAGATGTTCTAGGATCAAATCAGAAACAAGGACGGCTTCTGTAAATCTGGGACGGTCCCTGGAAAATAGGGACACTTGGGGGGTCTGCACTGCAACTGGGATGCCCTGACCCTATAGGACAAGGGGTACTATTCTGAGTTCCATGATTGATACCTTCTGTGCTCATTCACAAAATCAACCAGTTCTTCTTCTGTATATGGCTTGTCAGGGACATGGACCGGTTCATCCATAAAAGGCTCATAGAAATCCACCTCATTTAGCTTCAGGCCCAGTTTCTTTGCAACCTATAAACAAGCAAATAAACTGGTAAATTATGGGCATTTCTTTTGCTGAAAAACATTTCTCTCTAATATATTGTCAGCTCACACTGACCACTTTCTGAATGATAGAATTATTCAACATGTAAGTATGTGGAAAGTTAAAATACCGCAACAAAGAAATATAGCACTACATACTTTCATAACAAGAAAAACACTGCTTTCATCAGAATCAGCAATGCTCTTCTGAAAACTAACAAAGCAAAATTGAATCTAGCAAGGTTGAATGGCAGTTTTCGTTTGCTTGTTCTTTAATCCCACATGCACAGTTTAAAAATCCCCTTTCTATATGCATATACAATACTTTATTATGATAATTTACATCTAGTCCAAATATTTTAAGCGGCTTGCAGCTAACAACATAAATAACAACATTAATAAGTTAAAGCAAGAACATCCACAGTTGCTAGGAAAAGATCTAAAACAAGTTAGCATTAAAAGCATCAGGCAATAAAAAATGTTTATCTGGTGCGGAACAGACATCAGGATCGGCAGCACTGAGTGAGTCTCCTTAGGGACAGTATCCCACAGCCAAGATGCCAGAACAAAAATACAATTTCACTGGTCACCATCCACCTGACTTTAAAAAATGTGGGAACTGAGAAAAGTGGAAACTCGGATGGCAAGGATACTGTTACATGTGGGCAGATTATAGGAGTGAATGATTATTTCACACGAATAAAGAAATACACAAGACCTTTATATGCCCCTTAACAACTATGAAACACTGTACATAAAAAAGAAGCAAGCTAAGAAAATGCAAAAGAAATCAAATACACTCCTCATCTTCTTTTGAATTTCATTCCAAGTCATCAAGGTTTGAGTATCAAGTCCCAATATAAATGGCAAGAAAAACTGTGGCCCACACCCCACTTCATCAGATGAATGAAGTGTTATCCTGAGTTGCAGGTACACAGATATACGATAGGGTGCGAGATTGTAAAAAGTAAGGTCAGAGGGAGATTAATTTTTGAAAACTACAGATAATGATAATTACATTCTCAGCAGCGGTAATTCACAAAACAATTTTGATAACACAGACATCAGCTCAACCACCCGGCTCTCATAAGCCATTCTTGAGTTAAAAGGTAAAGGTACCCCTGCCCGTACGGGCCAGTCGTGTCCGACTTTAGGGTTGTGCGCCCATCTCACTTAAGAGGCCGGGGGCCAGCGCTGTCCGCAGACACTTCCGGGTCACGTGGCCAGCGTGACAAGCTGCATCTGGCGAGCCAGCGCAGCACACGGAAACGCCGTTTACCGTCCCGCTATTAAGCGGTCCCTATTTATCTACTTGCACCCGGGGGTGCTTTCGAACTGCTAGGTTGGCAGGCATTCTTGAGTTACTATACCAATAATTTAGGAACTTTCATCACTTTGTAACTAAGCTAAGTGCTACTGCCTCTGTAACTTTTCTGACTGATGTATGGTAAAGCACATGACTCTGACCTTTGGAGAGTTTGTAAGTAAACTCTAAACGTGTTTACTAAACGTGGTCTTTTTCCTGTGCTGGGGGGAACGGGAAAGTTTGGAAAGAAACTTTTGAAGGGGACATTCTGGAATTTACTTGGTAGGGGATATTTAAAATGTCTAAGAGCCTATGTTTCCACACATTACTTTGCTGCATATTTTGTGACTTTAAACCTCTGCTAAGGTTGTCTCTCCAAAGAGTACTTGCCCCAAAATTGAATCTTGGCATTCAAGAATTCTCCTTTACACACACACATACACACTTGCACCAACACCTAGGACCCTGTGCAGTAGTTCTTGCAAGCGACGCAGTGAACAACTGGCAAACTCGCTTGTCATGGGAGTATTGCATGATTTAGGGGTCAGCAACCTTTTTCAGCCATGGGGCGGTCCACCGTCCCTCAGACCATGTGGTGGGCTGAACTATATTTTTTGGGGGGGGATTGAACGAATTCCTGTGCCCCACAAATAACCCACAGATGCATTTTAAATAAAAACACACATTCTACTCATGTAAAAACATGCTGATTCCCGGACCGTTCTCTGGCCGGATTGAGAAGGTGATTGGCCCACATCCAGCCTCCAGGCCTTAGGTTGCCTACCCCTGGCATGACTCATATTTAACCACCACCAGATTTAGCCATTGCTAAAAGCAATGCTAAAAAAAGCATTGCTAAAAGCCATTGCAGGCCAGTGTGGTGTAGTGGTTAAGAGCGGTAGTCTCATAATCTGGGGAACCGGGTTCGCGTCTCCGCTCCTCCACCTGCAGCTGCTGGGTGACCTTGGGCCAGTCACACTTCTCTGAAGTCTCTCAGCCCCACTCACCTCACAGAGTGTTTGTTGTGGGGGAAGAAGGGAAAGGAGAATGTTAGCTGCTTTGAGACTCCTGAAGGGGAGTGAAAGGCGGGATATCAAATCCAAACTCTATTGCTGCAATCCTTCCTAACAGCTCTTATGTGGAATTTGCGGGGTTCCAGCTGCTTACCCCTTTGTCAAAGGTGGCAAAGAACTTGACGTAGGGCTGGAAGTGTTCCGCTGCCTCCTCAAATGCTTTGTAATCTGAGAAGCAGAAAGGAAGGAGAAGATTATTTCCCGTTTGGTCATCTTAAATGAAGATTAACACATGCACTGGCATCAGCTTCTGAAAGCTGGATCAAAAATAACTCCCATGGTAGTCAGTCTAGAAACCAACCCTGCATTTCCACCCTTGCTGCTGCTGTGCTATGCAGCCTGGCCTGATTCTGCCATTACAGAGCCCCTCTTTCCTCACAGAATAAGTGGGAAAGAGGGGGAAACACAAAATCAAGCTATTCTCATAATATGAAACGGGACATGAGTTAAAATATCACTTTTCAAAAGCACAGAGAACCCTTTAAAATGAGATTTATTTGTCTACATTATTCTCATTTGAAAACCACATGCATCCAGCTCCAAAGTTTAAGGAATCCATGTTGTGGATTTGCAAGAGCTCACATGTGTTTTCTCTCTCTAGCTTTTGCAGTGAATGGGAAAGTGAAAATATTATGTAGTTAGGAGAGGTTCATGGAGGTGGCAACCTACCTGCAGCTTGAACTGAAAAGTTTAATAATAATAATAATAATAATAATTTACTATTTATAGCCCGCTCCCAGCATAATATTAAAAACTTCCCTAAACAGGGCTGCCCAGCTGTGGCTTGAACTGAAAAGTTAAATGCCTCAAGAGGGTGAGAGACGCTCTCCCGAAAAACGTATAAAGGGGCACAAGGGGCCACTTATACAGAGGGGGTGGCTCTAATCACCCCAAATTAAGCTTGGAGACTAAGAATGGTTAAGGAAGTTCATGTAAGGACAGCCCCTGCCCTGCACTCCATCCCCCATTCTTCAGGAGGACCCCATCCTTCTGGGATGTCTTCTTGAGGGATGCAGGCGTCTGCGGAGGCAGGAGGGGATGAGAAACTTTCCTTCTGTGTGTAAGCCTGCACGCTTAGGATCTGCTCAGACTTTTGGATGTGCTGAGGATGGGAGCAAGGGCACCACCCACCCCCTTGCATTCCATCTCCACTGCACACATTTCGTGACCTATTTTGGTTTTCCGTTAACATGCTGAACAGAACACGGGAATTGTATCACAAGACCAATTCAGTAGCAAGGCGGACAGAGCTCCCTTAAGCAAGTCTGTCTATCTTGCTGCAGAATTTGGATGGGAAACGTTGACCTTCTTAGACCCCTTCAGAATCCGCCAAGATCTATGAATCCCCCGACCAAACCTACGTTCTGAGTCTTCTCCTTTGAAGTAGCCAATGAGTTTGGTCTCTTCTTCCATGTGGTCAAAGGCCTGCAGCTCCAATTTGCTGTTGATGATCTCTACTGGGTCTTCCATCAGCTGCCATGAAGAAAGAATTTGGTCAAGAACAACTTATTAGCAATGTAAATGGGGTGCTTACTGCCTGATATGAAACAAAGGGTGGATCTACAAACAGGGGGAAAAACACGCTATAAATAAGTCAGAAATTAAATCATTACAACAAAAGGGGGAAAAACTATGGAAAATAACATAGTTGTTTTATTTTTGCTCTCCAGCGCCATCTGGTGTTGCATGTTTGTAATGCATTCAAAATGCTGTTTTCTTTTACTAATGTAACTTTTGTAGTAAAAAGTGTCTCATCAAGTGGGACTATTTCTCTATATGCCATCTGGGATTATTCACTCAGCTCCATAGTACTGAGTACTGGCCAGATATTTTAGACTATAATGCCCATCTGTCTGGCCAGTTATGCTGGCTTGGAGTGATGGGCGTTATAGTCCAAAACAGATCAGGGAAGATTGCTGTATACAAACTAGGTACTGAGGATGCGGCTGTACAAGAGCTGATTCAATGGCATTGTCTGCATGTTAAAATCTTCAGAATCAGCATTTAGGGAATATGTCAGAAATAACAGGTATTATTGCATCATAATCCTAAACAAGTTCACTCAGGAGTAACCGTGTGTGGGCTAACTTTCTAGTGTTACAATTGGTGGCCATGCAGTCCAATCTAATGCACAACTATTCAAAAATAAGTCCTATGATATATAGTGAAGTTTACTCCCAATTAAATGTGCATAGGATTGCAGTCTTGGGTAGTGGTCATGCTTGGAACAAAACAAGAGTTCTAAATTTCCACTTGAACAGTATTGGAGAAAAAAGGAGACAGCGTTGAGAACAGTCCTTTTTAGACAAAGCGTGTTTCCATTCGCAATTTATGGCTTATATATTACATTTGCCCGGAGACCAAGAATAAGGTACCACATAAGTTGCAAAGAGCACTAACACCAATACATTATTTCAACTATAAATGTGGGAGAATTTATTGGGCCAGTTCTGGTTTTGTTTGTACTTACATCTAGGAGGAATTCAACCAAGACGTCTGCAGCCATTTGCCCATCAAACTCGATGATGTGATCCTCCTTAAAGATGTACAGGCTCCCTTCTTCATCCAGACCTGGAGAAAGGGCATACAGAGAGAGCAACGACTTTGCAGTTAGACTAAATGGGCTGGTGAGGTTCCTTCCAGCCCTGTGATTTTATAGCTGTAAAACTGGATTATGTAGAAAAAGAGCCTGCTAAAATGGTCACACTGGGTCTATTAAGAATCTGCTGTGTGATGTTAGCTGGAGACCATTCTGGAAGGTGAACAGCCTTCCTTGGCTGGAGGCGGTGCCAGCAATATCTGCATCTGAAACAGAACAAAGGACAGTCAGGGCTCATCCACACTGCCATTTGTCCCACAATTTCTCCTATTTGTCCTGTGACTTCTATGTTCTTTTCTTCTCCTGCTGCTCTGCCCGGCAAAATAAATCATAGGACAAACAAAAGTTTGGATGAGCCCTCAGTCCTGAGACTGGAGTTGAAAAGATTCAGATTCAGCCTTGACACATACCCTCCAACAGCTCCATTTTCTCCAGGGTCACAGTATACAGCAAATATTCCTTTTAACTGTTTAAATATTTCAGAGTGTTGCACTCAGTTCCTCCTGGTCCTTTCCCTCTTGCTAGACAATAAAACATCTCTGGGCAGTATGAAGCTATCTCGTTCTATCAGCACAAGGATTTCCACTTGTGCAATGAAACTGTCAGGAGCTTCAGGGCAAGAAGCCTAGAATAAAATATAAAATACTAACAGATGTAAAGGAAAGAGGTGGATTTGCCCTGCCAGACTTTAAACTTTACTATGAATCAGCAGCTTTTTGCTGGTTGAAAGAATGGCTGCTTCTTGAAAACACAGACATTTTGGATTTAGAAGGTTTTAACAATGTATTTGGATGGCATGCATATCTGTGGTATGATAAGGTCAAAGCACATAAAGCATTTAAAAACCATATTGTCAGGAAAGCATTGTTCAATGTTTGGATAAGATATAAGGATTTATTGGAAAGCAAAACCCCAAGGTGGCTGTCACCGATGGAAGCGAAAGCTCAGAAAAAGCTCAATATGGAGGTCAAATGGCCGAAATATTGGGAAATTTTGGAACAAGATGGAGATAGACTGAAACTGCAGAGTTTTGAGAAATTAAAAAACAAAGTGCGAGACTGGCTTCATTATTATCAGATAATGGAGGCATATAATTTGGACAAGAAAATTGGCTTCCAGGTGGAAAAATCAAAATTAGAAACAGAACTGTTAGAACCCAAAACTAAGATTTTGTCAAAGATGTATAACTCGCTGTTGAAATGGAATACTCAGGATGAAACGGTGAAATCTGCTATGATTAAATGGGCACAAGATGTTGGACATAACATAATGATGGCTGACTGGGAACAGTTATGGACCACAGGTATGAAGGTATGCAATGCCTTAAGAGAGAATATTATGAAAATGATATACAGGTGGTACATGACACCAGTCAAGCTTGCAAAAAACTATCATCTGCCCGATAATAAATGTTGGAAATGTAAAGAAACTGAAGGTACATTCTTTCACCTATGGTGGACGTGCCCAAGGATTAAGGCTTTCTGGGAGATGATCTATAATGAATTGAAAAAGGTATTTAAATATACCTTCTTGAAGAAACCAGAGGCCTTTCTCCTGGGCATGGTTGGCCAATTGGTGTTAAAGAAGGATAGAACTTTCTTTATGTATGCCACAACAGCAGCAAGAATACTTATTGCAAAGTATTGGAAGATACAAGACCTACCCACTCTGGAAGAATGGCAGATGAAGGTGATGGACTACATGGAATTGGCGGAAATGACTGGCAGAATCCGAGACCAGGGAGAAGAGTTGGTGAAAGAAGATTGGAAGAAATTTAAAGACTATCTACAGAAATATTGTAAAATTAATGAATGTTAGAATGATGTTAGAATGAAGTTAAGTGGTTTAAGCAGTAATGCTATAAAGGTGTATGTAAAAATGGATTGATAACAGGTGAAAATTTAAAGTTATACTATATTAAGTTAAAGGATTAAGAGAAAATAAAGAGGGAAAGAAATTGTTGAATTAACTAATTGAATTGGAATACAAAAAAGGGAGGTATGAGGAGGTCAGGGAAACAAGGATATGAATGTAAGGCATGGAAAGATTGATCTATTTTTTCCTTTTTAAGTGTTTTCATTCTTTTATTCTGTATTCTGTATTTTGTATTTTTCTTGTATTTTTACTTTTGTCTTTTATTTTTGTTTTTCTTGTTTTTATGTAATTCTTTTTTCTGAAATTTTAATAAATATCATAAAAAAAAAGAAACTGTCAGGAGCTTGTCCTACACTCGAGTAGGACCCTGGAAGAGACACATGCTCGACTGGCAGCCTTATCTCCCTCCCGATCGCTTGCCAATCAGCGGCTTTGTTTCAACACCCCCTTCCCTCTTTCAAAAAAAAAGAGCGTGATCTGCTTTTCACGCCTGGGCAATTCGGCTCCAGGGACCACGCATTCGCTCCATAAGACGCACAGACATTTCCCCTTACTTTTTAGGAAGAAAAAAGTGTGTCTTATGGAGCAAAAAATATGGTAGTTTCTTACAGGTCCTACTCCAAGCCTTTCCAACAATCTCTGTCTTCTGCCTCCTCTCCATCACTTTCTGTTCCTCCTTCAGGCTTTGCCCCCTGCTATTGGCGGCTCTCACCTTTGAGTGCCGTAGCTATTTTTAAGTACCCGCACAGTCCTTATAAACTACCACAGAAGTACAGCAGCTTTAACTTTGCTCCAGTGTAGTCATATCATTGTTGTCAAGGGCTGTTTCGTTCACGCTGGTATCATTGGAACAACTGCATATGAAAGACTGAATTCATCAACTACTCTAGAGTGAAATTTGGGCAAGGGCCTCATTGCAGCCAGCCTGAGGCCAGATGGCCGCTGCAGTGCATCTTGTTGGATCAGGGCCCTGGCAAGGGAAGCCTAGGCGCTGGCGGTAATGTGTAAAAACCCAGCAGAACATTGGCTGCTTTGCGAATCGTAATTTGACTTTGGTCATTGGATATGTGACACTGGAATCCCCTCAACATTCACTCATGATTATCTTCAGCATTATAAACAGATCACACTTACCCAGCTTTTTGGCAAGTTTGGCATCTTTCTTGGAATCCACTAATCCAAAACCAATGCCTTTCTCTTCTAGGACCTGTGCAGCGAGCTGAAGGAAAACACAGACAAGGTTGTCAGTCCAAACTTCCTCAGGCCAGTATCCCACAGATAACATTTGATGGAGCAGAAGACAGAGCCAGCCATTTTGAGAGCCAGTGTGGTGTAGTGGTTAAGAGCGGTGGACTCGTAATCTGGGGAACCGGGTTCGCGTCTCCGTTGGGCGGGATATAATAATAATAATAATAATAATAATAATAATAATAGAATAGGACATACCTATTTTCATTGGAGAAGTGTTGGAGGGTATGTAGAAGTTCTAAGTACAGGGCAATGCAAGGGAGTGATTCCCTCACCTTTCAATTTTGATATACTCTTAGTGGCCTGACCAACTTGCCATGGGTTACAGAGGGAATGAGGGGAAACACTGGCTATGTTGAGAGGTCAGTTTTATTGGGCTTCTCTTCTCCTTCAGTTGTTTCCATTAAAGCTGCCCATTTATAAGAAGTCTGCAATTCTAAGAACTATTGCCTGAGTTTGCTTGTTTTCTTCTGTCCTCCTCATCCCTTTTCCATTGTGTCTTGCAGATTAAACCTGAGGGCAGAGACAGTCGGGCTTCTTATTGATCTTCCATGAGCTGCCCTGAGAGCCAGATGAAGAATGGGGTAAACATGCTTTCACTACATAAGCAAACTTGTTCTTGCTGTCAGATCTTTTTAGCCCTTTCCCCATGGTTCTCATAATTCCCCTCTTTTCTGCATTTTCCTGTTTTGAGGCAAGGTGACACCCAAATTGCTTTTTCCCCAGACCCAGAACTGAGGGGTTATTGATGCTTTATAATAGTGTCCCTTTGATATTCTATACCCCGTTTTATATTTTCAACATAGTTCCCAGTGTTTTATTGTGTTTGAGGCATTTTGAGCAAATTCTACCTGAAAACTACCTAATTTGGTTCCAAGATCTCTAGTGAAGTTTTAATATAATAGGTGGAAATATCCAAATGATATCCAAAATAATGCTAGAGGTATTATTATGGTTTTATTAATTGACGAATCGCCTTTCGTATAAGATTCAAGGTAATTTACAATCATGCAATAAAAACAGCTAAAATAGCCTTTAAAACAATATAAATACACATCGAAAGCACCATTAAAATGTTTTTCTTATCCAGCTGGGAAGGCTTGGTATAATATGGGTTGAAATAAAATGGGAACCAGGGACCCTGTCAATGCCCAATAACCTGTGCTTTGCAGCTGACATGACCTGCGAGGGTTACGAAGTGGAGCTTGTGTAACTTTCATTTTTCTGCAGAAGGAGAAAATTTGCAGCTAAGCTTTTCTCACCTTTGCACTTGCTGAAATTCTGCATATCTGCTGAAGGTATAGGGCCCCTTACTCTCCTTTGTATCTGGACACCCTTTGCCAGACTCCACCTCTTTGGTTCAGTGTAACAATTGGGGTCATCAACAGGACATGTTGATCCCACTGAGAACCCACAGATTTTCAGTTTGAATTTGATCTCAGCGATTCTGATTTGTGCACATTTGCAATTGAGCCTTTCAGTGGGGTTGCCATATTTAAAGAGCAAAAAAAGAGGATGCTGTGAGGGCCATTCAAAGCAAATAAATGGAATTTGTCTCAAATGGAAAAAGAGGACGTGTCCTGGAAAAAGAGGACACATGGCAACCCTACCTTCAGCACAAATTTGGACTTTCACATCCACACCATGTCTGCTCCGTTGTGGGAAGTATACACAACTGCCACAAAAGAGATGTGAGACAAAACGGAAGTAGAGGTCACGGAAAGAAGAGTTGGAAAGAAATCACCAGATCTACCCAGAGGAAAAAAATAAGTGCATATCATCTGATCCCGACACTGATGCAATTTGAACACATCCCGCTCCCCCCGTGTTGTTGTTTTGATTATCTGTGAATCCAGTAAAAAAAAAAAGAAAGATTGTTGATTGAGAGTGATGTTATGTAGACAAAGCCCCATAAATGGAGACTTAGGGATTATTCACATTCACCTTTTGCCCTGCTTTTTCCAGGCACATGTCCACACTTAAAAGCTCTGTGTCCCAGGGTCTTTACTTTTGCTCCATGCTTTCCCCACAACAGCACATTCGTTAGCACTGGATCGGAACAAACATCAATTCGGGTTTCCCACGGATTCGGGTTTGCTCTGTTTGAGCTTTAAGGTGTGAGTTTTCATGGGGGAAAGCTCCAGGGCAAGAAAAAAAGTGTTTGACACAGACCTTGCCTGGAAAGAGCAGAAGAAAAGTAATATGCATAAGCCCACAGGCAGATTTTAATCCACATTAAACTCCAACGTGGACAAGCCCTTACTCGGCATTTAAAAAGTGTTTCAAGAATTTAAAAAGTTCCACATATATTATGAAGTTTGTTATGTATTCAGTGGTCTGTGTTTGCCTGAGCTTGAGTCTGGACTAAGGATTCTGAACTCCTGTGTTCTGATTCAATACATGATATCCAATCACAGAACATTTCAGGATTTGGGCCTCTGCCATTGGCCCTTAAACTCTGAGTTGTGATTCGAAGCTTGGAAGTTCAGACAGCCAATCACATTGGGAGTGGGAGTGGCCCAGGCCTTCAGAAATGTATATAAGCAGTTGTTTTGCCTTTGTTGTCCAGTTCTGTTAGTTCAAAAATGGTTCTTGCTGTTATGACTGTGTCTTGCCTTGTGGCAACCCACCTACACTTCAAAACTGTAATTTTTACAACAGGTAAATCTACTAACTGATCCTTGTATTGTGGTAAACTCAAACCTCTCTTTTGCTCCTGCAGTTGGAATCTGTTCTCTTGCTATTTCTCCTCTGTTACTGGCGTGCAAGGCAACTCAGCAGCCTGCAACTCCAGGCCCAAGAGCCTGGAAAGGCTTCTTCTTTTGGTGACACATGTACAACATATCCCCCCTTCAATGCATCAGCATTTGAACATGGCAACTGGCCTTGCAAAATTGGCAAAGGGCCACACTTGCAGGCAGATAGGCCGATTTTTAAAATTCCGCCCACATTAAGCACAACACCCGGGAAGTCTGAGCATAAACTCAGGACTTGCTGTCTTAGCACATGCCAAGACACATTCCCAAAGTGGCAGCTCCCGGAAAGGGGTTTGCCTGACAGCTTGCTTTCACCTTTCCATTGTGTTCAAGTGACACACCTCTGCCTGGAATGGAAGCATTCAGGTCAGGCAATGAGGCAGAGGAGAAAAACAAAAGTCAAGCCCTGCTGAATTTCACCAGAAAGGCCTGTCTCTCTTTTGCTCCTCTGCTGTCCATCGGCTCCCTTGTTTGGCAACACTTGGTTTCAAGTGTTTTCCTTGCAATCAATTAAAGAAAAAAAAGATATTTTGTCAACCAGAGCCAGGGCTTTTTTGGCCGTGGCCCCGATCTGGTGGAACGCTCTGTCACAAGTGACCAGGGCCCTGCGGGACTTGACATCTTTCCGCAGGGCCTGCAAGACAGAGCTGTTCCACCAGGCCTTTGGCCTTTGGTAATCCTCATGGAACTCTAGCCCAATGGTTGCCATTAATTTGACTCTAAATTGATTTTAGAATGAATTGATTTTAGAATGTATTTCAATTAATTGATTGTGAACACCCAAGGTCACTTTTCCACTCACAAGAAAGAGGAAGGCGGCGTATATGCTAAAGAAGGCCCTGCCCATGTCCACCTTGTATTGCGCCCCCCACTCTATCAGATCCTTCTCTTTGGGATTACTGAAATGTCATACAATAGCATGGCTCTTGTGAAAGTGCAGCGTGCCCTAAATCTTTGTTATAAATAGCCCAAGCCCAAGTGTGCTCTGAAAGCACCAGGAGGCTGAAGAAGATAACAACGGCCAGCTGGAAGCCTCTTGGGGGGGGGTCTACCACTAAATCTGCTCATGGCGCTCACTGACAGCAGTTCAGGCTTTTGTTGTAATGTTAGAAGCAAGGGCAGCGCAGCCAGGTTTAATCTGAGAGCTCTTTCCGAGGAGAATTAGGCTATTAATTTGCAGGCACAACTTGGAAGAGCGGTGTGGGCTATTTGCAAAATGGATTTTGAGCAGTCCGTTGGTGTGCTTTGAAGTCCCAGCAACTGGGGAAGGTGGCAATTGGTTAGCTTGGAAAGTTACATGCATATCGCATGCAACGGAATCTCTCCTTATGCGTTCTGACATGAAAATTAGGAATTATGTGAGGAAAGGATATAAAACAGAATGTGTGGTTGGTTGTGCCTAATGCAGTGTCCGTTGAAATGATGATATCCTAAGTCCAGCAAAACATGCCTCTCCTGTATTGGTCTCTACAGACACAGCAGGCAATGCAACCTTCCAATAGTTTGACTTCATTCCCAAAGACCCACTCCTCCATTGTCTTCTGAGAGCAATGGAATGTCCAATGAGATTAGGAGGTCAGTGGAAGGTAGTTTATACTAAACTCTACGTATCTGATGCACCACTCTGCCTGCGTCATATAGGTAGCATGATCCTATGCACGTTTACTCAAAAGTATGCCCTGCTGTGCTCACTGGAAGGACCTGAAGCAGAGGCGCCAATATTGTGGCCACCTCATGAGAAGAGAAGACTCCCTGGATAAGACCCTGATGTTGGGAAAGATGGAGGGCACAAGGAGAAGGGGATGACAGAGGATGAGATGGTTGGACAGTGTTCTCAAAGCTCCTAACATGAGTTTGACCAAAATGCAGGAGGCAGTGGAAGACAGGAGTGCCTGGCATGCTCTGGTCCAGGGGTCACAAAGAGTAGGACACGACTGAACGACTAAACAACAATGCTCTGCTGAGTTTAATGGAACTGCATCCCGCAACCATGTGCAAAAGATTGCAGCCCTAGCCAAAAATCCTGTACCAGTTGCAAATCCCAGCGAGAAACCGAAATCGGAAAGACTGCAATTTCTGCAACCCATCCAATTTGTTTCTTTTACCAGACTTGTAACAGGGCGTAGGAATAAGTTCTGGAGTTCAGCATGGCCTCACCCTAGGTTCACAGGGCTGCAGGATGCCTTTCGCTTAAGGTCACTAAAATTAGGAACACCCAGCCCAGCTAAAAATATGACCTAGTAAGACTATATGAAACCTTTTGTGAGGCAGTGTGCAGATCAGCCCACCATTGTGTGTCCCAGATGCCTGTAAACTGAATTCCTGGAGCATGAGCAGAGAAACCTCTCTCCTGTTGGTGAGGTAACTGGAGAAGATACTCTCCGAGGGAGATTTAACAGACATGTCTGCCTCCCTGGAAATGGGGGGAAAGTCAAAGATGTGCCTCTCTCTCTCTCTCTCTCTCTCTCTCTCCACCCCTCACCCCATAACCTATCATCTCAAAACTGAGATGGGAAACTTATTCTATGCTGAAGGCCTTGGTGGGTAATCTGGTGGGGGCCACATACTGTGGGTGGGTGGGGCAGAAGCCAGCTGTGGGTCAGATCACAAATGGGTGAAGCCACTCCTTTCCTGTTTTTCTCTGCTTGCATTTTGTGTGCTGGGTAGGAAGAAAGGGACTTCTTTTCCTCTCCACCCAATACAGGAACACAGGACTTATCCACCCTTACTTACTTTTTGCCTTGCTCTTTCCAGGTGCAGATATGCATTTAAAAGAGCCACGTCCAAGTGTGGGTTTTTTTTTTGGGCGGGTGGAGATGCCCCGGAGCTTTCCCTGCCAAAAACCAAAACCAAAACACTCTTTAGCACTCAATCAGAGCAAACATCAATTTGGGTTTTCTATGGATTGATGTTTGCTCCGAATGAGCGCTAAAGAGCCAGTTTTCATAGGGAAAGCTCTGGAGCAAAATAAAAGGGTGCTTGGACACAGAGCTTTGAAGTGCGGATTGTGCCTGGAATTTGCAGAGGAAAGGCAAGTGTGGATGAGCCCTGACATGAAGGATGTCAGGGCAGAGTCAGTTTGTAGTCTGTACCCAGATTTGGCCAAAGGAATGAATTGAGGAAAGCTTTGCTCTGCTCTTCACACCATTTGCCTAGAGCGGGTCAAATCAGAGTGATCTACGCTGGCATCAGGGGCAGACGTCGGTAATCTTTCGTAATATGGCGCCCTGCACTAGGTCAACATTTGGCACCCCCAAATCCATCTTCTCAATTATCAATCGTCTCAATTTTATGCCCATTTGGCTCGGTGCCTTGTGCAGGTGAACCACACGCACCATCCTAAATCTGGCACTGCTGGCATCTGGGTCAAGCTTGCTAGTGAGCCCAAGGAAATCTGTTCCCTCTGCCTTAGCACACCCTCATCCAACAGATGCTGGTCTTCCAATCTCCTCAGTTGTTCTCATTATACCTGAAGTATACCTGAAGGAGCGTCTCCACCCCCATCATTCAGCCCGGACACTGAGGTCCAGCTCTGAGGGCCTTCTGGCGGTTCCCTCCCTGTGAGAAGTGGAACCAGGCAGAGGGCCTTTTCGGTAGTGGCACCCACCACGTGGAACACCCTCCCATCAGATGTCAAGGAAATAAACAACTATCTCACTTTTAGAAGACATCTGAAGGCAGCCCTGTTTAGGGAAGTTTTTAATGTTTAATGTTTTATTGTATTTTTAATTGGGAGCCACCCAGAGTGGCTGGAGTAACTCAGCCATATGAGCGGGGTATGATGATGATGATGATGTTGATGCCACGGACTGATTGCCAGGCCTAGCAAGACCTGTAATTGCACAAAGGCCACCCAAGAACCTGCTTCAAAAAAAGAACAACACAATGTCGAAAAGTAGCCCTGTGAGCCAAGAATGGAGCATCCCTTAGAATGGGACAGAGCTTTAAAGGGCAGGTTTTCGTTCAGAAAGCTCCAGAGCGAAAACAAGGGTGCTCAGACTATGCCTGGAAACAGCAGGGAAAGGCAAATGTGGATAAGCCCACAGTCTGTCTTTCGCTGGTTAAGATGCACCATGGGCTGATTCCTCAACCCTCTTTACGGAAACAATTTGCTACAATTCGTCAAACAAGTCTCTCCACTGCTAGCAACACTGTGGCACACTCAAGTCCCTTCGCCATAACTATTTCCGTGAACAAATTTCCCAGCTCTCTCTGTGTTTCGGCCCCTGTCTCTGCCATGTTTCTTGGCCCCCTATTTTTGCCTATTGGGTTGCCGTATTAAAAGGTTTGGCAATGTGATCTCTTTGGGGATGTGCCAGGGCTCTCGTTCCCCTGCGATTAAATCTCTGAGGGGAGAGGATGCAGCTCCTTTCTGGCATGCAAGCCTGCAAAGGCATCTGCGTGGACATGAAGGCAACATGCAGCCGTGGCAGGAAGATGTCCTGGTTGCAGCAGGTGGGAGATGCTAAAAGTTGCCACTGTCAACATGAATTTGCTCTACCTGTGATTAGTAGGGGAACAGGCTAGGAGAAGACTTCCTTCCTTCTCATATCATACAGTTGCCTTGCTTTGAGACACCCACAGAAGTTCACAAGACGCAGCACTAGGAGGAGGCCACAGTAGGAATTTTAGCTGGGAACAGGGCAATGTAGGACGGCTTCTCTGTAAGAAGGAGCTGTTGCATCTCTTTCTCCCAACTAATATTCTTAGCTTGGCAATTTCAGGAGAATCAGATTGCCAAAAGGTATCCCTCCACTATGCCTTGCGGTCCTTTACATGTTTTACAGTGGACGCTCGGCTTGCAAATGTGATCCGTGCGGGAGGCACATTCACAACCAGCAGCATTTGCAACCGCAGCGCCGCGTCTGCGCACACGAGGGTTGCGATTCAGCACTTTTGCACATGCACAAAGCGCGATTTAGCACTTCTGCGCATGCATGAGTGCCAAAACCTGGAAGTAACCCGTTCCGGTGCGCAACCCGAAAACACACAACCTGAAGCATCTGTAACCCGAGGTATGACTGTACTTATAGGATTCCTCTGGCAGCCAGTATAGCATTTTGTTTTGCTCCCTGATAGTGGAACCTTCTCACCACCAGAGCATTAAACACATTCTTGGCTCAGAAATAGGTTTTGACAATAAATAAACATGAACAGCAAACGGTGAAGAGATCTGAAAGCAGGCAGCAGAGAACAAACCAGCGTCTAGCACAGACTGAGGCTTTCTAAGTGATGGAATATTTTTTTCAGCTTGATTTAGCAGAGGCTTGCTTGGGTCGGATTCCTGACAGGGGCAGAACAATGGCTTTGATACCAGAATGCAGATGGAAGAAACACTTGGATTAAACATAAGTGACTGGGAAATTCATTCCGAGAGTTTGGCTAGTGGATGAAAGCCTATCAAGCTTGCATTTGTGATCTTGTTGAATTGCTCTGATGTTCCCCACTTACTGCAACTCAGAGGCAGCGCCCTTGCCCCACAGAAACATTGACAGCTTTGAGGAGGTTCATTGGCACAAGCCTTCCAGACCGGAAAAGTTAAGATTTAGGTGCAAATCTACACTCAAGCATATTTCAAAGGCCTCTTTAGAGGTCCCCAATTTGGTGTGTCCCCCCTGCCAAGGTGCCGAGTGTGACCGTGACATGCAACCCACACTTACCTCCAGCACCATCTCAGTCATTTGAAAACGCCTCTGCGAAATTTTGTCGGATGCCACAGGCTCATGAAGGAGCACGCCGACCATGTCATACTTCTTGAAGGCCTGCTTGTAGTTTTTCTCGCTCAGGTCAATCACCCGATCTTTCCCATCGTAGGTAGGGAATTCCAGTCCTTCTTCTGCCCTGCAGCAAGTGAGCACGTAAAAAACTGCCAGGAGCCAGCAAGCTGTTTTCATCTCGGGGTGTTTCTTGTTTATCTTGGGGGAAGGAGGAGGAATTCCAGAGCCTGCGGAGGTCCAGCTCTCGGGGTGCCAGCTTGATCTGCTACCCTCCTGCCACCTCAGCTTTCCCTATGAATCCGTCTAGATAGATTGAGGTCACTGAGAAGCAAACTAGCAACCCTGGTTGGAAGACAAAGGCAAAAAGACAGACAGGAGAAGCTGGGAGACCAAACCCTGGATACCTTACATAGCTTGGCCCGGCTTCTGGGTCATTAAGAACTCCATTTTTAGGAAGCAGTTGTTTCGGGCTATAAATAGACCCTGCAATGAATAAAAAGGACAGATATGACACGATTGAGGGACTTCTCTGGCACTCTGCTTTGCCTCAGAGAGAGAAAGGGAATAGCGGAGAGGGGAGGAGGGGCAGGAATGCGCAGAGATGCCTCTGCTGTACAGAAAATGCACGCATCTCCCTTTGAGTTTCAGAAGGGGACAAGCAACTACATGGACTTTGTGGGTAACTGGCCTTAAAATACTTCCATTATTTATCGGGAGGCAATTAGGGGTTTTCCAAAGAGATGTTTTATTTTCTGCATTCTAATTTGCCTCCATGAAGGAGAATTCCCCTAGACATGTTTGGCTGCTGTTAGGTGCTGAACTAAATACAAACTTGGACTCTCCCTCTCCCTATGTTCTTATGAAGAAGAACCCAACCCCCAAAGTGATGCAACCAAGAGGATTTGTCGCACTCCCCACCCCCGCTTTTTTTGTGGGACTGAACCAAAGAGACACATTTTAAGTGACATGGGCTGTATTTGTTTATTACATTTCTAGCCTGCCTTTCTAGACAATGGAGCTTAGGGTGGGTGCATGTCCATAAACAGATCTATTTATTTCTAAGCTACACTGCTAGTAGCCCTACCAGCTTCTGAAGTGGTTCACTGATTAAAATAGCAATGCTATACAGACCCTCCAAGTGTCCCTATTTCCAGGAGCAGTCCTGCATTTACAGAAGCCATCCTGGTTTCTGATTTGATCCCAGGATGCCCCGCTTTTCCTTAGGACTTTCCTATTTTCATCAGAGAAATGTTGGCGGTTATGGAGTTATGTGACACACATACACACACAGCCAAGGAGATAAGTAACTATGGAACCTTTAGAAAACATCTGAAGGCAGCCCTGTATAGGGAAGTTTTTTTTTTAATGTTTAATTATGTTTTTATATATGTTGGAAGCTGCCCAGAGTGGTGGGACAAGCAGGTTTCAGGCTGCAGCTCAGATTTATCCCACACCTGAAATGAAACATGCAGACCCCTGGCTAGCAGAGCACAGGAGTACAGAAGAACATGCTAATCTTTCTCTGGTTGTAGATTCTGCCCCAAACAGCTAGATTTTGGTATTTATCAAGGCACACAAATCTCCAGAAGACTTTAAAAGGTTTGGTTGAAACAAATCTCCATTTCTTGCATCTAGAAATTATGCCCAGATGGGCTTGTTGAAAAACTGCTGCTTTTCATTTGATCTGAACAAAGCGTTTCCAGGAGAAAAGTTATGGGCAGTTTTATTGACACACACTTTCTCACTTCACCCCACTGGTTCAAGATGATTCAAGTCACCAGGTGGTAAATCGGGGGGGGGGGGGGATGTAAAGAAGATGCAATTGCTTCTGTCTGTCACTAGATAGAGATGTTGCACAAAACATTTAGAGTTAACTGCTCAAGCTGAAGGGACCACAAAGTTTGTTACAGGGAAAGTTTATTCAGCTAAGGAGGAGTTTTGCAAAAAACAAATACCCAGCTTGAGAAAATCCATGGCATTTTTCAGCTACCTGGTGGTGAATTAGCCTCCAGGTTCTTCTGTCAGGTAGGTAATCCAGTTGCTGTTCAACTCTGCTATATGAATAAACGCAATTCGCATTGAAATCTCATATTGCTGCTACAATAACATATAAACACGGAAAGTTAAGGGTGTGCAAGATTATTATTTTTTCAATTTGGGATTACATTCATTACTGAAAACCCAATTTGTTTCATGTATATATGTTAGAATCTCGTTTCACAAAATTATTTGTTTGTTTGTATGTTTATTTATTTAATGTCTATACCTCCTTTCTGTGAAAATCACAGGGCGGTTTACAGCATAAAAACACAAAAATACATACCATAATAACAAAAACAATACCCCCAGTTTAAAACATCGTGGATTTACTATAATCATTTATCACTCTTTCCATTCCCCCCCGCCGCCGCCGCCCCACTTGTGTTTTCCTGCTGCCTGCAGGGGGAACAGGCATTTTATTTTACCAAGGGGCATTTTGGGGAAAACAAAATGGTAGTCACCCAGAGCCTCCATTGACGGCAGATGCATCCACAGCCTGTGCTGCCATAGAAGGGAGGCCTCGCCTATTCACAAATGGGAACCCATTAATTTCCCTCTGCGTCAGCTTCTGTATGAATGGAAAATGAACTGAATGGGCCCTTCTTGATTCAATTGTCCTGAAATTTGTCCTGAAATGAGAGTAGACTCCTACAGGAAATTTGTTATAGTAGGTATCTCTGGGATGAATTCAATATCACTCTCTCCTGATCATTTCGTCAGCACAAGCATTTGAGCTTGTTAGATTCAACTATTTGCCTCTTCTTCCCCTGCACACTGTTCTGGGGGGTTGTCCCCCCCCCAAAGCCAATTATGGGAGCATGTGGGGGGAAAGAGCAAAGCCCCACTATGCAAGACGAAGTCCTTCTGTATGGCTTCTGCTGGTTGGACTCCTCAGGTGAATCCCCACCCTATATTTTTTTTTCCTTTTCAGGAAATTTTTTTTTACTGCTTCTGGCAAGTGGTCTGAGCCGATCAGCTCATGTCCCTAAAGCAATTTTAAAAGACAGCTGTGGAAATTAACAAGATCACCAATAATTAGAGTGCCAAAGTCATTTCTCCAATCAAAGGCAAATGTATGGGTCAAGCAATGTAAAAGAATATTGAAAACTAATGTTATGAGTTTGAGTGAAGATCTAGGAGCTCCTGATTCAAATCTATAAATTGCTATGAACACAGTAGGTGGCCTTTGGAAAGTCATTCTCTCAGTCTCAGCCCCCTCCTCATATTATTGCCCCTATATGGGGCAACAACAACAACAACAACATTGACCTATCCTGCTTGTTGGTAAGGATCACTATGCTAATGTATCAGAAGTGCTTTGAACATTCCAAAGCACTATGGAAATGTTTATTACTGATCTGATAATTCTTTTAGAAATAATTTACTGGATTCCCAACTACTATCCCTGGAGCATTACTGAGAAATGTCTCAGGGCCTGGACCGTACCAAACACCTTTTCCTCTAAAATTGTATACTTTGACATCCTTGCTTACACAGACAGCGTTTGTCTAAATGCTAAAGGGTTTTACAAGGAATCCATTTTGCTGCTCTTCAGCATGCAAATTCAACCATGAGGTTAAACAACAGATCAGGAACATAATTGCTCAGGTCGGCCTGACGTATTCCTATTTTGACATTTTCCTGCCGCTGAAAATATTTTTGAAAGGGAGCCCTATATAAATCAAATTAGCAGTTGCATTGGCCACAAGTCCTGAGAAGACAAGATTCAAGCATTGTCATTGGCATCAAGAAGCCCTTTGAAGAACATGAACTATCGGAGAGCAGTTCAGCTAACTGATACCAGCTGGGCCATTAACACATCACAATCAATGATATAAGAAGGATCCTTGAAGACTAAAAGGCCATAATGTCCCTCTGTTCAGTTTCATTGGGGTGGCTGGGCAGAGAACTAGCAGAAGAAAATACTGTATTTTCCCGTGTATAATATTATATTTCCCCCCAAATTTTTTAAGTTTAAAATTGGGTGTCGTCTTATACACGGAATGTTGCAATTAATTATTTCTTCATTTTGGGCTAAAAAAAGTATGGGTCATTTTATACGTGGGGGCATCTTATACACAGGAAAATACGGTAGCTAGGAACCTCAGGAGTGCCTTCCTGGATCAGATTAAAGGCCTATCTAGCTTAGCATCCAACCAAATGCCTCCAGAAAGCCCCACAACCCCACATAAGGGCAATAACCCTCCTGCGGTCTTGCTGCCTAACAACCTGTAGTGCCATCATGGATATACAATTTAGCAGCCATGCAGCTAAGAGCAATGGATGTTGTTGTTTAGTCGTGTCCGACTCTTCGTGGCCCCATGGACCAGAGCACGCCAGGCACTCCTGTCTTCCATTGCCTCCCGCAGTTTGGTCAAACTCATGCTGGTAGCTTCGAGAACACTGTCCCACCATCTTGTCCTCTGTCGTCCCCTTCTCCTTGTGCCCTCCATCTTTCCCAACACCAGGGTCTTTTCCAGGGAGTCTTCTCTTCTCATGAGGTGGCCAAAGTATTGGAGCCTCAGCTTCAGGATCTGTCCTTCCAGTGAGCGCTCAGGGCTGATGGATAGACCTCATGAATTATCTGAAAAGCCGTCTAAACTAGTGGCTGTCACCAAACCTGGCAGTGAATTCCATAAGTGAGCTATGCACAACATACTACTTTCTGAATCCTTGCAAGACACAGACTCTGTGGGTGAGGACTTCAGGAAGGTGATAAGTTGCCCGCCCTGGGTGATGTCACCCTCTCCCTGAAGGAGCAGGTTCATGATCTGGGGGTGCCCCTAAATCCAGCCCTGTTCCTGGAGGCCCCGATATTTTCCATTGCTGGCCGTGCCTTTTACCAGCTTTGGCTGGCAAGACAGCTACAGCCATTCCTGGATTTGTATAGCTGGACCACAGTTTTCCTTGCATTGGTAACCTCAGAGTTGGATTACTGCTTTCTGTGGGGCTACTCTTGAGGTTGATACGGAGGCTGCAGCTGGTACAGAGCACAGCAGCTTGGGGGGCAAACTGCCATTGTTTGTGGGATTTGCATTTGCTGCCAATCTGCTGCTGGGCCAAGGTCAAGATTTTAGTACGGGCCTATAGGGCCCTGTGTAACTCAGGACTAGGTTACCCAAGAGATCAACCGATCCCTTATATGCCCAGCAGGTCACTGTATTCTGCAGGAGAGGTTTTCCTTCAAGTCCCAGAAACATCAGAATCTGCTCCGCAGGAACTCAGAAGAGGGATTTCAGCATTCCTGTTGCAATACAACAGCCGCTTTGCTAGCTCATCTTAACGGAAACAATTAAAGGAATTTTTCTTTTGACCAGCTTTAACTTAACAGATGGATGGGAAGGTCATTGCCTTAGATGTTCATTTTGCAATGTTTTTGAACCTGTTGGGTTACTTTTTTATTTACTTTTAAAAAACTGTTTCTAT